TATATTTTCTTATTCAAAAGTGAGTTGTGGTTTTTATATTTTCTTAAATAAGGATAGTACAAAATAACGTTTATGTAACATTTCAGAGTTTTTTATATTTTCTAAAAAAACAAATTCCGGAAAAATTTAATAATTAACAAGATAACGACGGTCAAACATGTTAATCACCCTGTATATAGGTATATAATATATTGTACGGAGATAAATATATAGTGTGTTATATCAGGTACCTACGCATAGATTATTGGCCGCGAAAACAATAGACGTTAACGAAAAAAAAAACATTGTTTTTCATCTTGTATTGCATTAAGTGTGATTTTTTTTTCCCGCTACTTGTACGTAATTATTATTTTTACAATTGAATTAATCCGACCTTCGCATCTTTATATCGCACACGCAGCATGGAATCGTACATGCATTGTTTTGTCGGTGGCCCGGTCATGATAATAATAATACATAAATCCAATGATGAATTTTAAACTCGTAAAAAAAAATCGCCGTGCTGCATAATATATGACACATATTATAACAACGTTTTCAATCGTATTTTAAATATTAAAAAATGTTATATTATCCTTATCATATTTGTTATTATGTTTGACAAAAATAAATTCTATATAAATTGTACGTGTATCGTATAATATTTGAGCTCCTTGATAAAAATATATAACAATTACAAGCGATAACCTAATTTCATTAAAGTTTTGACCAAACAGATGAATATAATATTAATAGTGAATATGTCATCAGCCATCTAGAGATAATAACATTAATAATATATTATAATCCAAACAATGAATTATGAGAACGTGGTACCTAACCTATCAGTGCAATATGCTGCCTCTGTCTTACAAAACGTATGGCAAAGCAAATTTGCATTCAGCAGCAAAGGCGCCTGGAGTCGAAAATTCAGGCGGGGGTACAGCCTTAATTTTTATTAATAATCAAACATTTTTATTAATGTATTATGTGTATTTTCAAACATTTTTAAAGGTATTATAATATAATATTAAATTTTGTACTTATAGTAACTAATTGGACACAAATTGCAATTTTATTTTATTTTTCCAAAATCTGTTAACAACTTTTTCTACTAAATTTCTACAAAATAAGTTCTTCGACTTTTTTCTTATGTAAACTTAACATACATAATCCGAAAACGATTCTCACACATTAGATAATCGCAAGTCAGCTGTTCACAAAAGATATCCACAAATGATCAGCTGTACATCATTGAATATTGCAGTGATAATAAATTATTAGAATTCTATTATCACGAAGTATACTTACCGACTAGATACCAATAAAAGTGTATTGATAAATATCAATACACATTGGTAGCAATAATGAATTTTGTGATTTTGAGATATTGAATTTGGATATAATTATTTTAACTTGATAGGAAGTTAGAGGGGAGTTGTCCCCTTAGTTGTTTCTTTCAAAACGTACTACACTTGTCGGAGCAATATCAGGAAGGGGCGGTGGATTCACAATTTTCGTCAAAATTTGATATTCAAATTCTTATAAATAAAAAATTACGTTAAATTCAACTTATTCTTGTTGAGCACTAAGTGCAACGTATAATAATGAACCTTCTGTTAAATTGTCAAGCATTTCTGTTTGGTCTAACAATTTTATCCACAGAATACCTACTGATTAAATATTACGTAAAAAAACTTGCAAAATTAAAATACCTAATAGCTTAAAAATGGCTCAGAAAAGGTACTTCTGAGCAAGATTTTTGTTCTAAGTAGAAAAATTAAAAAGACGTCCTAGGATAATAGGGACGGGTGCAGCCACTGTTATAGATAATTTAATGTATATCTGTAAACAATGATAAACCATTGCTAACGAAAAAACGATTCAGAGTGGAGTTCAGTTGATAGTGATAATTTGTCCACAATAATCATTTTATAGTAAAATAATTAGATAGGCTTTATATATTTTCTTTAATAATATTTGTTTAATGTTGTACCGATTTTCCCAGTATTTCTACGTTTTTCCGGTTTTCCTATATTTTATCTCGGATTTTCACATTTGCTGGGAAAATTCTTGAGAAAATTGGAATATATAAAATAAAAAAAATAAACATCTTTGTAAAACTATAAGCGAATCTAAAATATACAATTTCATTAAAAAAAAAAAATGATATTTGGTATATTTGTATAGGTTTATGTAAAATTATTTAACGTTTATTGAAAATGGCCCAGTAGTTTTTGAGTATTTAGCTAACAAAACATCTATTTTTCTGAGTAAAACAAGAAGTGTTTGAGTGTATTGGTTTTACAGAAATTTTTTTTTAGATTCTGAGTGGCGGGAAGAAGTTAATGGTTTTACAAAGATGGTTTTTTTTTTTTTTTACTGTGAACAATTTTTCTACCAGCAATTTTGCTTCAACTTTTAATGATAGCAATTTTTCTAAAAGGAAATTCCACTAGGGAGGTACTTTAGAAAAGTAATTTTTCGATTTTCTCCGGATTTTTCTAAGCAAATGTGAAAAACTGGGAAAAAACATGGGAAAACCGGAAAACGTACGAAAACCGGGGAAATCGATACAACATTAAACAAATATTATTGAAGAAAATATATAGAACATATTTAATTATTTTACTATAATATGGTATATTTAATGTTGACTAAGCATCACTATTAATTGAACTCCGCTCAGAATTGTTTTTTTGTTAGTAATGGTTTATCGTTGCTTACAGATATACATTAAATTTACGTCTGTATCCTACTTTCCCAAATTCCCACCTACCCTAGTAGCTGCACCCGTCTCCATTATCTTACCTTTTTATTATTTTTAATTTTTTTATATTGTGAAAAAAATGTGTACCAAATATTTTTTTTCGATCTTCAAGTGTAACACCTTTTCTGAAAGGATTTTTTTTATTTTTCAAACGACTTTCATAATTATTGAGCAAAACCTAAAATAAATGTAAAAAGAACGGAAAAATTTACAAAAATAATGCTTTTATTATTTTAAATTTTATTGTTTTGTTGAAATTCTGTTAAAAAAACTCGACATTTAAAATTTGAAATTATATTCAGAAATTACAACCTTGCTTTTTTAACGTGGTGAAATTTTCAAAATATTTGAGCCATTTTTGAGCTACTTATAGATGTTTTAATTTTGTGATTTTAAGTTTTATTCGTTAGGTGCTCTATGGATAAAATTGCTAGACCAAACAGAAATGCTTGAAAATTAAACAGGAAATTCATTATAAGTTGTACTTAATGGTCATTGGTCAATAAGAAAAAGTGCTATTATTGTAAAACGGAGCAAAATTTTTGGTAGAAAAGTTGTCTACAGAAAAAAAAATAAACATCATTGTAAAACCATAAGCTTCTTCGCTCCACTCAGAATCTAAAATGACTTCCCCCAATACATCAACTAGATTAAAATGCAATAAAAAATTGTTAACAGACTAAAAAAATCACCCACATCAATACATCATAGTAAAACAATAAAATTCTTATTGCTAGTCTTAAAATCTAAAAATCACATACTATAGTAGAAAATCATACATTCGTCGCTGCGTTTAGAATCGTATACATAATTTTTATCGCTTCATTTTCAGCTAAAGTAATTTAAGTCTGGATTAACAACGGTTGAGTTGGCTAGGTAGGATTAATCTGTCAAATATTTTAGCAAAAAAAAAAAAAAAAAAAATGGTAATCACTGTTATCAATTAAAACACAAACCATGAGAATACTGTACGTATTAATATTTTTAAAATAATGTTAGAATTTTTGTCTTTGACTATTAAGAATAGGTTCATGGTAAACTTTGTATACATTCTGAAAATTATACCATTCCTAGAAAATATTATTTTAATATTCGATTAATATTAAAAGTCTTACGGTTATATTTTACTGGTGGAAAACAATGTACGTTACAGTTTAAAATAGTGAAATCGTACTCTGTAAATTTGTTCGTTTGTCATTTTTTATATTTTATTGGTTTTCCCACAAATTACTATAAAAGTGTTATTTTTCTGTTAGAAATATCAGTTGTTTTTATATATTCATGCAATACATATACGTGATTGCGTAATTGGTTTAAATTTTGTTTAAATAAAATAAAATCATATATAGTCCTTTGAATTAAATATTAAACAAATTGACAGTTTTCATAATACACACGACGCACCCGGTTGTAGGCTAGTTGCAATCGTATATATTTTTGATAGACGTGTCTTATTATATACAATAAGATTAGATAATTTATTTCCCTTTGATAAGACACGTAGTCGCTTTGAGTTAGGTTTCACGTGCGTTGCACCGGAATAGCAAATTATATTTATTAATATTATTATTTTTAAAATTAGAAAATTCTGGTTTGTTTAATCTGAAAATATTGTATAATATAATTGGTATTTGGTATGTAGTGGCCGAAGAACCGGATCATTAATTGAATTTAAAAAAAAACCGTTGAAAATAGTGGCTCCATCACAGGGTCTATCCGATATAAATGTAAAATATTAACGGCCCAATGACTGTACACACCTTTTTGAAAAAAAAAGTCCACTGTAGCCCGATTCCCGGGAGAGTGTCCTATACTACCGGCATTTCCGATTGCCAACAGGTAGCCATAGTCGGACGTAAACGGCGACCTTTAAACAGTTCATATATAGGTTGACTATATTATTATAATAATTATATTATACAGTTAATCGAAACCCAGGTTTTCGTTTGAAAACGCACGCCCGCGGAGGACGAGGCAATTATTTTAATATATTACGCGCGACGTTAGACTGACAGAAAAAAAAAAAAAAAACTACAACAATAATAGATTTATTGTAATAATTGGCGTAAATGTGTGTGTGTGTGTGTGTGTGTGTGTGTGTGTGTGTGTGTGTGTGTGTGTGTACGTGAGATGGAGTGAGTTGGAGTGTGTGCGCGCGCGCCCGCCAACTAAGCAGTGGCTACCGTCGACTGACAACCGCCGTCGCTGCACCTCGCGACGGACCCGCAGCGTCGTTGTTGTACACCACGCACGGTCCCGTGTGCGCGTTTTGTCGTTGCGTATATCGTGTAAAATATTATATTGTATACGCGCGTTATATATATGCACGTTCATTATGTTGCACCAAACAACGACGGCACAACCCATTGTCGACGATCGTAGACAGACAGACACGATGACCGACACGGAACCATCGTCACCACCGACCCAGCAAAATATCCGCCCACGCGAATCCGAAAGCTCGTCGCCGCCGCCCTCGGCCGCGTTGTCCGAGCCCCCGGGAGCCGGTTACATCGACGGCGATAGAGCGCAAACGACGGTCGCGGATACCCCGACGGAAGAGACTGCAGCGATGACGGCAACAGCTGTATTGGCGATTACCGCGGAGGCGGTCGCCGATGAAAAAGCGATAACGGATGCTGCGGTCGTCGGCGAAAAGGCAGCGGCCGCGGCTAATGTAGAGGTGACAGAAACGGCGGCTGCGGCCGACGAGAAGCCGGCGAGCACCGCGGTACCGCTGAAAGTAAGTGTTGCGGTTTGATTTTTTTGATTTTTTTTTTTTTTTTTATGCTATTATCATACCGACGACCGAAATTATTCTAGTGTAGAATCCCTAATTCCGTAATATGTACATTATACACTCCCGAACAAATGTCCGAATGCTGTTACACACTTTTACAGAGAAGTAGTGTAGGCACTCTATATTACACACTATTATATTCTACACACTCAAAATGGTAGCGTGTAATTTGTAAAACTCTGTATAATGAAGAACACATAATCCGCGGTGAATACACTTTAGTCTATTCTGGTACGATATACGTGCTATATTTTGTATGAAGGTTTTTTTGCTATTAAACTGGTTGTGTTAATGCTTATACTAAAACACAATCGTTTTAACTACTAATAATTCAAGAGATTAATTAAATGATTCATGTGATAAAATGTTATACATAATAACAACCCATAACTACTCATGTATAATAGTGTATATATATACATACACACATCAATATATATTTATGTAATATAATATATCTACTTATATTTAATACATAGTAAATACAACATTTTGTTTAATGATTTTAGTTGCTTTTAAAAATCCATCGTTATAGTTTATACGACCCTGTGTTTAAAATGTATACGCATTAATGCATTATTATGTTAAAATATAATTAATACGAAATAATTATTATTTCTAAATGCTAAAAGTTTTTCAAACAAGTAACCTATGTCAATATATTATTTGTACTTGAATGGCCCGCCTAACAACAAATATAAGACGAATGCAAATGCACGCACACTTTGACTGACCCGACGGAAAAAAAAATGAAACGTTTAAACGCATTTCTTCGTTTATTAAATGATTTCCATAATACACATAAGTAATTAAATAGTGTACTATCGCTTATAATATGTATAAATAGATGATTGCCGATTGATATTAATAGTTGCTATCTACTCTGAACAATTTCGTGAAATCATTTCTTTCGATTGTACAGAGCTTGATAAATGTTTTGAAATAAATGCTAATTTTGAGTGAATAATAGCGGAAGAAGTTTCTAAAGAATACTCACGGCCATATGGCATTGATTTCTCAAATTATTAACAAAACGAAATAATACATTTATTATAAAAAAATAACGCTTCGCTAATTAATGGTTTTAATTATATCCGCGGTTACCATTATTTACTTGTTATCTGTTATTTATTTGTTGAATTATCATCAATCAGATATTAATAAGTATCAGGTGCGTGTATAAGGGGGGAGGGGGTTTGGGGTTCGAACGCCTTCAGAACTTTCATGAAAATTATGTTTAAATAGAGTCTCTAACCACTTGGTTTCTGTCAGCGAGGAAGATAAATACAATTTTGGTTTTGTTTTTATTTTATTACTAGATAGTAGGTTATGATCCTATATGTGTATTGTTTTATATTATTATTATTTGCATTTCCAATTTTTTGTGGTTTTTCTGTTTTTAGAAAATTATAACTGATACGGTAATATCACATAGTTTGCATTATTATCAAAATTATATGAATTACGTTATCATTTAGGCTGTAGTTACTAAAAAAATATTAAATGTAAAAATTAATAATAGGCACTTATAAAAGGATAAAATTAAATGTTATAAAATAATGAAATTTTTAATATAAAATAAATAATCCTATACAATTGAAAGTACATAATCTTCTTTGCTATAAGAGTATGAAAGTGTGCAACCTTAACATCCCACTTTCCGAAACATTTTTTTATAAACGCACCTGATAAGTACAAAGTATAAATGAAAATTCAAAAGACATTTCCAATATATAAAATGTCGATGAAGCTATACTAAAAAGCGAACTTCTAATAACAGTAAATTAAAACACAATTATACACGATTTAAAATAATAACTTGAACTTCATTAAAAGCTGTTTTGGAAGGTAATTTGATAATTCTTTAAAAAAAAGGAATTTAATGCAAATAAGAAAACAATTTTGTATTTTTTCCATCTGTCAACAAATTTTCTACCAGCGATATTCCTTTGATTATCAACCTCACGGGTAGTTTCTGATAGAAAATGTTATCTAGCTGTTGTGCTTAGGAGGTCATTTTTTATTTTTATTTTCAACTGTTTTCTTAATAATTAGGAGAATGTAAGGAAATCGGAAAAACGCACATTATTTTTGACGATTTCTGTTATTTTTGATAAGCCCATCTATCAATTATCCTTTTATCAGGGTTATGTTGATTAGTTGAAGCACTTTTTTTATGGATTTTAATTGCAAATAAATCAGTTCCCTAGCTATTATAATCTAAGACAGTAAGTGTGTCTTCTTAATAAAATTATTTATTAGTAGTTTTAAAATTCGTTTTTTATCTTTGTTATTATGTTTTACTATGTAGGTAAGTACCTGTAATTACACGAAGACAAAAATAATAACTACCTTAATAATCATTAAAATAAATTATTAATAAATTTGAAATCAATATGAACCTATTAAAGTTTACTTACTCTTTATTTTATTGTAAGTATAATTTTACCAGCAAGTTTAATCGTAGTTGTATTATTAATGTCTATGTGAATTATTGTATATTACATTTTTATAAGTATAGAATGTATGCAATAGGTAATTCAGTATCAACTACCTATTTTAATTGTTTTCTTATTATTATCGATATTCGATACCATAGCTATATAATATTTTGGCCTATATAGACTATTTAGACTATGTATATTACTTATATTTGAAAGTTATCTGTTGGAATGATCAAGTTGCGATAAAATTATAATTATGAATTATGAACATTCATTTCATTTTCTAATAAAAATAGTTTATCATCATAGACCATTTTTTTTACTAAGATAGTTTTGTTGAGTTTTTTTTTTTAACTTATCAAGATCCATATTATAAAATTAATAAAATATAGCGAATTATTTGTGCAATTATGTAACCAATTATTGATATAACATGGAACCCATAGAAAATAATTTTTTTTTATATAACTATTAGTTGAATTTGGATCTTAATATAGTGACTAAAATCTACATTATAACGGATACTTATATATATTTAAGAATTTATTTTATGTGTATAACGTAATCATGTAAGTCTAATAATAATAATAATAATTGTAATCCAATATTAAGTAAACGTTGATATTTAAATATTTCAGAATATTGAAATTAATGTGAATAACAAAACTGAAGTCATCATTGGTGTTACACCCCAAATGCAGGTAATTGTAAGATCATATATGTCTACTATAAAATGTATAAAATTGTGGAATATTTGTTGAAAATGTGGATTTAAAATGAAACATTTTTGATCAGCACATAAACGAAAAAATAACCGCTTGAGAATTAATTTCAATTTATTGCCATATTATCATAAGGGTAAATAACACATTTTTTTTTTAAAGGTTAGATTCTAAATTAATATTCTATTAATAAGATGTTATTTTAGATTTTCATAGTGGGATTAAATAAGTATATTTGCTTTTTTTTTTTTTTTTTTTTTTAAATTGACTCAAAACATTTAAAAAAAAAAAATACACAACTAATACAATCTACTCATCATGAATATAATAAATAATTACACATCTGATCAGTTTTGATTCTTTATTTTACATTAGAAGCGAAGCGAGGGATCTGTTGGTTTTACTGTAATATGTGCCTTTTTTTTTTATCTGTAAACAACTTTTCGAAAAGAAATATTGCTAAAACACACTAAAAAGTGTGTCATATCTATACAATTTTAGTTCCTGTTATACATCATGGTCATATTGACATATTTGTATGTATTTTACAATACCAAATAACATCAACACGTTAAACAATAAATTTAAACATATTTTAAAATGTACCCAATTGATATAACTTTTAGTAGTAACATAATAATAGTAGCCCGGTATGTAAACTTGTGACATTAGCTTGCTATATACCTTAGCTTGCACCGGAACGTGCTTATTAGGGGAACGAAAAGGAAATAATATACCTTGATATTTGTATACTAATACTATAAACCTATATCTGTAGAATACGTCTTATCATTTAAACACGTATTATAATTCATTTTAGCAGAATATAATATTACACACATGATATGGAAAAATAGGTTTTTCAATACGTATTTAGTATATAAGTGAATAGCTAGGGCAAGGGAAAAGAACGTTTTTGAAAAATATGTAATTGTACATGTAAAAAAAAAAAAAAAAAAAACGAATAAATATGCAGAATAGACCTAGTAAAATACTAAAAGGTTATCTGTGATTGTCAATAACATAAAAATAAAAATAATTTATTTACTCAAAAGTTCAATACAGAATTTATGAATAAGACACAATTTAATTTATTTTATTTTATTCAGGAATTATAATCTAGAATATGAAGTAAATACATAAAAACAGGTAAGGTAATTTTAAAATGACGAATTATAATATTGTATTACCTATTATATTTATTTATATTATTTACTAGCTGTCCCGTGCCCGGCGTTGTCTGTGCCAATTTTTATTATTATTATTTTACTCGTATCAATTTTTGGAAAAGTTGGAAAGGTAGGATATAGAGATAAAATTAATTTGTATCTGTAAGCAACGATAAACCAATGCTTACTAAAAAGTATTCTAAACAGAATTCAGTTGATAGTGATGCTTTGTCAATATATATGTCATAGTATGGTAAAATAATTAAATAGGCAATATATATTTTCTTTAATAATATTTGTTAATGCTATACCAATTTTCCTGCTTTTTCTACGTTCCTCCAGTTTTCTCATGTTTTGTCCCGGTTTTTCATATTTGCTGGGAAAACTTTTGGGAAAATCGAAAAATGACCTCCTTAAAATACCTCCCCAGTCAGATTTACTTTTAAAAAAAGTGCTATTATTGTAAATCGGTACCAAATCGCTTGTTGAAAAGTTGTTTACAAATAAAAAAAATCATAGTAATTTACTAATCTAAAAAGTATCTTTCGTACATTTTCCCGGTTTTTCTCACTTTTTCCCTTTTTTTTTGGAAAACTGCCCAAAAAATCAAAAAATTACCTTCTTATAGTATCAACCTAAGAAAATTTCCTTTCAGAAAAGCGTCTACATTGTATACATCAGAGTAAAATTTTAATTAATTAATTTATGATTATTAACTATTTTGTGTTTACTTTATTATATAATATTATAATACTTGATTTGACTGAATGCTAATATTATTATTATCTCATAAAGTCCGTGTATGTGGCGAACCTAAATATTTTCAATTGGAGAAGATATAATTAGTGGTAGAAAATCACTACTTTCAATGTAATGGGCTACCACTATTCACACAGTTCTAAAAAGAAGTTCTCCTCAAAATTTGTTTTTTTATTTTTAAGTAATACGCTACTTTTTTTGACTTATAAAAAGGAACTTATGTTTATCAATCTTATAAAATATAGTACCCTAAATATTAGTTTTTATTACGATACAATATAGTGACAATTTATTTACGTTTGATGTTTCCGAAAAGAGAAAAATAATCTATATCTACATATTTTATTTACCATAGACTAAAATAAAAATTACACAACTAGAAATTATATAATATTTTATTGAATTCACAATTTTATTTTAGTGAAAGGTAGCGCTTAAAGTAGCACATTTTTATGAAAAATGTAGTGTTATTTACTAAAATACCTAATTATACGCTAACTACGCTACCAGTATTGCCTCAAAAAAGGTAACACTCCACAGTAGCGTCGTACAAATAATGTGTTACTTCCAACCATTGGATGTAATAAATTATAATCATAAAACATGAATGAATCATACAATTTTCTTCTATTATACCTAACCCGAATATGAGAATTTAAAATTCAGATTCAAAAAAGCAAATTTTTATTCAATAAAACAAGCTTTTTCCTTGTAATTTGACAAATATATAAATTCGAAATAAAATTAATACATTTATATTCATAGCACTTATATTTTTAAGCTAATGAGGGAAATATAACCCTTAATCCTTCTACGCATACCACTGTGTGTTTGTATTTAAATCACTAGGTAGTCTGATGGTTTATTTCCATCAATCAAATTATCAAAGTTGGTAAACGAATGATTTTTCCCGTAGGAGAGAATTAAAATACTCCCACGGTACCTATCGTAAGAGTTGGAAACCGAGGTTGCGTTAGATCGAAAGCAGATTTCAAATTCTGTCAAACAGTATGAGAAGTTCTAAATTAGACTTTGGCAGATTGTCCTATCTCAGATGTGCGCGAGGACAACAGGTGAGAGAACGTACCACAGTGCATGATGTTTGTAAATGATATAGCTTTGATAGAAGTAAATTTAGAAAAAGTTAACAATAGACTTGAAGAAAAGAGGTTAAGAATAAATAGAAGTACAAGAGTATAAATAGATTATGGGTATGAAGGAACAGGACAAAGCGGGTAATGACAATAAACTGTGACGTAACAGGTGAGGTATAAAGTTTTAAATACCTAGGATCTTTTGTGTAAAAGAACGGTGGCATTGATGAGGATGTGAAACATAGGATTAAGTGTGATTAAATAAAGCGGATAAAAGTTTCAGGTGTTTTTAAGTGAAAAGAGAATTCCAATGAGACTTAAAGTAAGTTCTATACAATTGTGATAGAATGATTATGTTGTATGATTCGGAGTGTTGGGTGGTAAATATAAAAATAGAACAGAGAATGAGTGTAGCAGAGATGAAAATGCTTAGGTGGACGAATGGAGTGATGAGAGAAGGTTAGCGTGGTTTCGATAGTTGACCAAATGAGAAAAAATGAACCGAGATGGTTTGAACATGTCATGGGTGAAAGAAATCTGAAGTAGTAAGCATTGTAATTAAAATAAACACAGGAGAAAATAGGTGAAGACGAAATCTGAAAAAGCGGTAGTTGGATGTGATTGAGAATGATATTAGAATAGCCGGTGTATGCAAAGTGGGTGATCGGGTTAAATACAAATTTATGACGAGGTTAGCCGACCCCACATAGTTGAGATGAAGACAAAGGAGAATAAGACGATAAACAAATTATTATTAGGTATCAAATATTTATTTTTATTTATCTAGTTAGTATTTTTGTTATTTTATCCGAATAAATGATTTCGTTTCAAAAGTTAAAAACATTTCCGTTATCAGCTAGTTGATGATATCAAAATTTTGATAAATATTTTTAACGTGTTACACAATGCACTCAGTTTAGATTTTTTTAGGAAGTATTCTGACAATATTATCCCATATATTTTATCATATATTGGTTACATAAATTAAATTCATGATAGCCCCATTCCTCCCCCTCTATACATTGTTCAAAATTAAGGGGATTTAACCCCCGGGACGTCCCCTAAATCCGAATGCACCTATTTTGTTTGTAATTGTAATCTGTGGCTAGCTGGTACCTTAATAAGCAATATTGGCATTATTGGTTTGGCATTGCCGGATTACATTCAGACATTATTTGTTTACCTAATATTAATACCTATAATTATTTTTATTATTTTAGATCAACGTCAATAGAGAAAACAAAATTATCAGTAAAAAACTCCAGAAAATGGAAAAGGATAAGGTCAGTGTCTATCATATACTTAATACTTACTTTTTTGTTCAGTAAGTTTATTATTATTATTATTTTACGAACTTTCAATAGTAAAACATATTTTTTAAAAAAAGGTAAAATTTATGTCCTCACCGTTTTTAACAAATTCTTGGACATTTTAGATTCTGAGTGTAGTGAATAGCATATAAGATACTAAAATGTGTTTTTTTTTTCGGAAAATAAAAAATACATTTAAATTTTTTTAAAGTAGGAAACAGACAATTTTTAAATAATATGTAGACTACACTTCTATCGTAATTTTTATTTAAAAATCTTTCTTGTAAAAATGGAAGAACGCGGTAGATCAAAATATTGGATATTTCGTATGCCGACTGTTTCTATAATAGGTATAGCTTCATACTACTCAGATGGATGCAAAAAGACGATACTAAAGTACTGCATTATAGCCAGGTTAGGTCAAGTACTTAAATGCCGTGTTGACCGTGTTGTTCCGTCTTCCTAATACTATCATTGTAGATAGATCTTACTCGTAGATACACAAAATGGACGAATGGGCAACGCAATAGATTATATGATTTACATAAAATGACATGGCAGAAATTCGTATTTACGACCGGTCGTCAAGTGACTGACTTCCAATTTGTTTGCACTTGTTATACCTATATCTCGTGAGTTTATTCAAATCTTTATTAACTCTATGCTTGATATATTTTCAACTTAACAAAAAATATGAAGGATAAAAGCACTACATTAAATAGACTCAAATAAATACCATATGGTTCATGTACTTACATAGTTACATATAGGCACATCAAATATTGGATTATGGCTTCATATATTTTAATTATTTTATACACAGGAGGATTCATTTAAAAGGCTATTACAAATATTGCTTCAATCGAAAAATTACAAGGGATCGATTTTGTTCCTTGTAATTTGTATATCATCATTAATAGAGAACGTTGTTTTTCGATAACTAAAGTATTTTTCATAATAATTATAAAATACCAAAAAAAGGAAAAATACAATTTTTTTCAAGTTACAGCGCTAGAATTCCTTTATTTTAAATTTTTACGGCTTATGTTTTCTACAAAAATACTGTTCCAATAAAAAAATGACAAGAGACATTTTTATTGTATTTTTAATCTAGTTGGTGAGTAAAAAAGTCGGTTTTTATTTTCTTTGAAGTTTTTTTAAAAATTTAGTAAAACCAAAATACACTTAGAAAGAACGGGAAAATTTACAAAAATGATTCTTTTATTCTTTTAAATATTTTTTTTAATGCAATTGAGTTAAAAATATTCATTGATAATTGAAATTTTGATAGAAAACTTATATTTAATTTTTCTAGACGTGGTTAACTTTTCAAAAAATTTGAACCATTTTCAAGGAATTTATACACATTTTACAAACTGTATGGGTACACATAAATGATGTCCCACTACTTTCATCCTTACTGAAACTTAAAATGAAATATGTCGTCAGCAGGTTGACGGAAATTAATAATTTCAACATCAAAGTGTATTAAATTAATATTCATCCATTTATGTAATTTTGAATTTTATTTTTCATTTGAAAATCAAAATTAGGTAGTTTTTTTACCCCAAACAGAATGTGACATTTAAGAATATATGATTTCAAAAAGTTTTAAGTTATTATTTTATTTTTAAAATAAGTAATTTATGGAAAATTTAACAGTTTCTTGAAATTTGAATGATCCTGTATTGTTATGCAGGAGTATGTCTAATTAACCACCTCACAAAGAAATTAAGTACATTACGTAGTTAGAGAGAAAATACATAGTTTTCCGAAAACCTTTTAAAAATATATTGAAAAATAGTGTAATCCGTAGTTTTTATGTGAGCATTTTTCTAGAAAAATAATATGTAGAATTGTATAAGTGAAATGCAAACATGTATTTCAGTTTTAATTTTGAGAATTATTTGTAATAATAATCGCATGTTCACGTTCAAATAATAAAACAGACAACAGTATACTGACTTGCCTCCTGTGAGTTGTGACCCACCCAAAACATTGACCTGTCAAATATGTCCGTTTTTTTTATATATATCTATTTGAATTTTACCTTTTCATCCTTTTCATTAAGACGGTCTTTTTTTCGTGATTTTGACATTAAGCTTTCTCTTTTTGTTTGATGTATCATACAAGAGCTACACAATATTGTTATTGCCGTGATGGCAACAATAGTGTGGCAACAACGCTGTGGTGGAACGATAAAAAATTAAAGCGCAATCATGTTTATCAGATTATATTCATTATAATATTATAAACACTACATACGTATACTACATATACAGTGGCGTAGGAAAGGAAGTCTTGCCAGCGCGTCCGGGTCGCTAAAAAATATACACTTTTCATACAGGTACTTTAGAGTAAACAAATTCACGTATCCACTTAATCATTTATTTTTCTATTATTTAATTAAAAAAAAAACCATACTTATTATCATTATACTATAGGTGCTAACTATTAAATTAATTTTGAATAGTAGTAAAAGCAGTTAAATAGCATTATATTGTAATTGACTTTTAAATTTTTTTTTTTTTTTTTAAAGACGACTTTGTAAGTCGCCTATACCTAAAAGGCTTATATTCTTATATAGGTTCTCTATCTAATACTTATACATATTTATAGTTCTAATTCCTATTTATAAATACTTATTCAGCTAATTAAAATTTAATCGTTGAATATTATAATTGTATACTTTTAAATCATATTCATCGGAATCAGATGAATCAGTGGACAATGAATAGGTAGGTTCATAATATTCTAATCATTTATTTGCTAGTATAATAGTACACATCGTTCAAAATAGTTGTTTAATGCTATGATGTTGCATAGTTTTTAAATTTCAAATTACAACACACCTATTTATATATTATATTATAATATAACACACGCACACCTATATCCAAGTTGTTTATTGTACGAAGTATGTACCTATAAGCATGAGTAGTATGACATTTTTTTTATTAATCATCCTTGGCCACATGTTGTGTATGCATGCATATCTGGGATTAAATACATGCTATTATTATACCTACTGTAAATGAACATGACTCATTTCAATACTGTTTTATACATTTTTTAAAAAAAATGTATTATAATAAGACTTACATTGGCTTGTACCGAATTAAACAAATTCAAACTGTAAATTTAATAGATATATATGTAGCTTTAAATAATAACGGACATACTTCATACTACATACTTGTAGGTGAGAAGTTGGGAAGGTAGATGGGAAATTTAATGTATATCTCAATGAAACGTATATAATTGGTAACGAAAAATGATTCTGAGTGGAGATCGTTAAAAAATTACAAAAGCCGTAATATTTACAATTTGAAAATACATTTGTAAATTGTCCTACTTTTCCTATTTCTTATCCAAGTTTTTTTCAATTCTTATGAAAATCAAAAATCAAAAAAATGAACTCCCTAAAGTACCACGTAGATAAATTCAGAAAAGGTGCTACTCATGATACATTTATGGTAATAATTTTCTTCATAGTATATAAACAAATTAATATCATTGCTAAACCAATATATTTCTCGCTTCACTCAGAATCTTTAAAACATAAAATATGCAAGCACTTCTGCATTTTAAAGCCTTAAAATATGTATTAAAAATATTTTTTCTAAATATTTAAATGATTACTAATATTATTATTTACCAATTGTCTCGCTTGGCGTAGTTGTCTGTGCCAAAAGAAATACTACCATTACTATCTTATTATTTATTTTTTTGTTTTAATATATTGATTTAACAATGATATTAATTTTATTTTTATATAATGTACAAAATTATTACCAAAAATCTCACTTCGATCTATCAAGTGTAAAACCTTTTATGAATTTAATTAGGTGGTACTTTAGGGAATTCGTTTTTTGATTTTCGAAGCAGTTTTTATAAGAATTGAGAAAAAATTGGACAAAAAATAGGAAAAATAGGAAAATTCACGAAAATAATATTTTTATTATTTTCAATTTTGTTTTTTTGTTGTTATTCAGTTAAAAATGTTCGCAATTGAAATTTGAAATTTAGACAGAGAATTTATATTTACCTTTTATAAAAGTGGTAAAAATTTCAAAACATTATAGCCATTTTTAAGCTCTTTATAGATATTTTAATTTTTTGAGTTTTTTACGTAATTTCATTCGGCAGGTACTTTGTGAATAAGATTGTTAGTCTAAAGAGAAATGCTTGACAATTTAACAGAATACATTATAAGTTGTTCTGAGTTATCAATGAGACAAAGTTGAATTTATTGTAGGTAATAATATTTCTTTTTTTTTATAATAATTTTAATATCAAATTTTGACAAAAATCCTAAATATTACGGCTTTTCAAAACATGTCTGAACATAACCAAACTCCACTCAGAATCATTTTTCGTTAGCAATAATTATTCATTGCACACATATATACATCAAATTCCCCACTAAATCCTACCTTCACAAATTTTAACCTACAACAATGGTCTACCTAATGTGTGAAATATGTCCGTCTATTTTAAATTTTGTTTTGAATTTCATCATTGTCCCCTGGGCAATCTATAATTCAACTTCAAATTAAACAAACTTTCGTATTTATATTTCAGAATATTCAGTAGGAATTAATTAATATATATTTAAAATAATAATATAATATTTTAATTTAATTTAATTTAAATTATATTCCATACCGTGACTAAATGTTTGAAAAATATTTTCTCTTGATGCAACTTTAACTTTAACTTTTTATTTATTTAAAAGATATTGTATTAGTTAATTGATTAATAAATATTTTTAATTTGAAATTCCTTCTTCGGACACTCAAAATTAAAATTTATTATTTATATATAAATGAAAATTAATTAATTAATGTTAATATTTTATGGTTTTATTTATGATAGTCGTTTTGATAAATGTTATTTTTAAGATATTGTGTAAAATATCCGTAAAAACCTCAAATGTCTTAAATAGCAAAAAAGACCTTAACGTGCAAAAATAGGCAACGCAAAATTATAGATTTGGCTTTATTGTAAAATGAAACAAATTTCTTGCAACTTTGCAAAACAAATACGTAAATGCTAGGAAAGCTATGCTATTAGATGTAAAGTTATTAGTTATAAAGTTTAGATGTATAGGTACTCATATGTAAAATGATCGATTCCGGACGAGCAAATTAAAAACAATCTTCCAAATGTATAATAAAAAAGATTTAACGTTATTTCAACATACAAATGCAATAACTAATATTTATTTCGGGGGAGGGGAGTAATTCCTCCCCCATTGGGCGCTACCTGTGGGTGCCCATGCATATTCACAATAAGTTCAAAAATAAAATAATATAAAATTGCAAATTGTATTAAAATATATGTATAAATAAATAATATCTAACTATCTTAGTATCTACTTAACGCTGTACGTTTCTTTATTCGAATACAATTTAATATATAATATAAATTAATGTTATGGAAACATTTTAAAATATTTAAAGTTTAAAGTCACCATTATTAAATTTTCATATATCGTATAAAAATACAATTTGGAAAATATCAATGTTTGTTTTAAAATTGTATAACGTCTATGCGTAATATTAATTACATAATCGGTCAATATGTTAATATAAAAATAATAATGTACTGATGATTATTATTTTTGAATATAGATAATAATTTAAATAGGTACCAATAATGCGCTAGTATTCAATTAAACGTACTTAGTTTAATTTATGGTAATGCATACGGGATAAACAACATAACGTAAGACACTCATTAAAGAAATTTTTCATAATGTCCGTTAAATACTACAGTAAAAATAACGTCCGGTTAAATCATACAGTAATATACCTATTAACTTTATAAATGAAACTTTATTTTTTGCATCATCAGATTGCTTAAAAGTATCCTGTTAAAATGTTTTATTATATTTTGTTATAACCGTTTTTTTTAATTTTTTTTTTATTATTATCAATTTTTCTAATAATACATTTTTTCCTCCTAAAATAATTTCTATAAACATGATATCGTAAATGATCCAATAAAAAAAAAAAGTTTTCATTAATATGGTAATTTCACAAAATTTAGGGGAAAAAACCAAAACCTATAAAATAGTTGATTTTGCTCCGATTAACAATAATAGCACTTTTCATAAAAAAAAATTGACCGGAAGAAGAAATTGATTTTCCTAAGAGCATTCCCAACAAATGTGAACTGTCTACTGAATTCCATGACTCGGAATCTTTTTTTCATTAGCAATGTTTATCGTTGCTTAGAGGTATATATTTAATTACCTATAACAGTGTGTGCACCCGTTCTCATTATCCTAGGACAGCTTGTTTTTTTTTGTTGTTATTCAGTTAAACATTTTTGTGCACGCTTGAAATTCGGACAGAAAATTTATATTTGTCTCTTTTATAGGTAGTGGTTTATCGTTGTGTACAGATATAAATTACATTTTCTTTTATATCCTACCTTCCTGACTTATTCTCACCTACAACAGTTGCCTACCCATCGTGCGAAGTATCTCCGTATCATTTAATTACTTTTTTTTTACCATTAGTTGCTATAGTATTTTATTTTTCGTTTATTATTATTTAATTAAAAAAATAATTATTGTTCTTAATAATTATTACTGGTAGTCGTACCTACACAATATATTTCGCGACACGACAATATAACTAATGCGTCGTCGTAATTGGAGGGACTCACCCGAAACTTAGTGTATTATTATTATTTTTAATAAGTAATGAGGTAAATAATATTATTTTGCTAATTTTTGTAATTACGTCTTCCTCCACGCATAAAAAAAAAAATCACTAGTTTCACAAATGGAATGCAATACCACTTAATTATTGCGTATAACCAGACTACGGGGCTCTGCTATGATTAAAACATGCCGGAAGAATCTTTTAGATTCCGACAAATTATCGTATAAGATTATTAAACACGGACAAGATAGTAGGTATTTAGTAGTTTTAATATAACAATAGTATAGTGATTTGGCCTATTATCGAACCTAAAGATGAATTCGTTATTCTGTACGTGATTATTTTGGTTATTTAATATATATCTGCAGTGTTTTGTGTGGAAACTTACAAAATCTTTTCCATTACTCGTCCGCTACCGAACTTAAGAATGAAATACCCCGGCAACCCGTTGACGGGAGTCAATATAAAAATGTATATAAGCTAATATTGTCTATTTTGAAATTTTTAAAATAAGTTGCTATTTAAAAATCAAAAGTAAGTAGTGGTTTCACTCCTCAAAAATAAGGGTAACACAAAATAAAGGAACTGAAATATTTTAGAGCTGCTTGTTTCTTATAATTAAAAAAAAATAAATTGTGAAAAATGTAATACTTTCCCGGGATAATGATTATTTTAGCTTATGTTGATCATTCTGTATAGTGCTATATTGTATACCATTTAATTAATCATTTATTGTAAATTGTAGTTTTCTAATATTTATTTACATTGAGTGATAAATTTAATGAATTATATCGTAAGCATTCCAATCCACAAAACATAATATTATACTACGTTAAAGATTTATTATATTTAAAAACGTTGATATAGATATAATAGTTATAATAGTAATTATTTGTATATTATGTACAAGAACATACGTAAACATTATTTGACAGTACAATTTTTTAGTGCCTACATTAAAAGTAGGATTTAATTGCCTTTTTCAAAACTATTTATTGATTAGTATATAAATTGTCCGTGGTTATTATTTTTAATATTGGTGATATTACATTTATATAAGTATTCGTTAATATTGTATCGATGTTTGTGTTTCTAAAAATAAATAAATAAATAAAAACACATGAGTAGCAGAGTCCCGTCACTAAAGTCGAATTTGCACGCAGCTTACTTGTTATAATATTCTATCGTATGTTCTTTGTTTGGTAAAGAAATTAACAAAAATTAAAACAGGCAAATTAGTTCTCGTGGTTTTTAATGAAATATAAACATACATTAGGTTGAAGATCAAAAGTTCAAATTTTTAAAAGGCACATCCTCGACAAAAATTATATTTATATACATACATTTTAACCAAGTTACTTACTTTCATGAGTTTGTAAGGAAAAATATTTTTTTTAAAACTTGATTATAAAACATTGACTTTTCTCTATTTTCTATAAATGCAATAGTCCAGTGGTGGCTTATATAATGCACGACCTTACTTGCCTCATCTGGCGAGCCGTCATTGTAATATGCTTATATTAAAGCTTCCAGAAGAAATTCTTTAAATACTAAATATTAGTAAAAACCGTATCAAAATCTGTTAAGTAGTTTAAAATACAAGCAGACAGACGCGGATAGCGACTTAGTTAAAAACTATTGAGTATTTACATTTATTAAGTATACATAAGATTGAAGATATATATAGATATATATTATATATTGTAATGTTCGTCGAAAATAATATAAAAATAGAAGTAATATATTTCTATTATTATTATATCTTCTTTTAAATATTTAAGACACAATGAAAAATCTATCACAGATGGTTTTTATTTCATCGAATGCATAAAAAAAAAAATGTATATAATAGGGTGGTTTTTTTATTCCACGTTGGATAGACATCAATTAAATCTAAATAGTAAAAAAAATTACCTTCGACCTAATCTAAACATAACCCTACCCTATTATACATAGTACATTTATCCCAATAAATAACCAATTTTTCTTTACTCGATAAATAATAAGAACAATTTGTATATTTTTCAGTATTATTTTTAATAAGCTTTTATTTTAAATATTCTAAAGAGTTTCCTGGTTTCGGTATCTATACTCAAGTCGAAATGTTTTTAATTATGATGTACGAGTACTTACCTGCATAATTATTATTGGATATTGAATTAAGAATGATGTAAATATTTCAAGATTACATATCGTGCATGTTAACAATGCATAACATGCATAACTAATATTATGAATTAGGTATAATTAACAATCTTTTAAGTATATACGAGTAGATACTATAGTGATAGGTAGGTATATAATAAGTAATAATATGTGTACGTACATACCCGAAAACAAATTTGTGGTTGGTTCAAATATTTAAATGGAAAACTTAACCAAAATCTTTGGAATAAGTACATGATACATAAATAAATATTAAATATATTATATTTTATATTACAACACGGGCTTTTGCCTAAATTACAGTTCTTACATTTAAAACAATACTTTGTTGGTTATTTTAAGTATTACTAAAGCAGGAAAGAAGAATCTTGATTTGCTAAATACATGCACTGGCGTAAAAGCTCATTATGGTCATAATTAATTGAGGAAGCAGGAACTTAAAAAAATAGGGTGGCGTGAGTGCCGAACTGATACATTAAAAGAGATATGGGATAATATGTACGTTGAATTAATTTTCCCTTGCAGTAATCGGGCCAAGAAAGTGAGGTTAGGTTTCCTGTACTTAACACGTATTTTTCAGTTTTTCTTAATTATTAAACTACCGAGAAAATTAAAAAACGACCTGTTATTTTTCTATTAGAATAATAATATATAGAAAACATAACCTGTACAAATTTAAATAATGAAATCGTTGCACTGTAAATTGAAAAATTACGTATTTTTCGTCTTTTTTGGTTTTTATTATGGAAACACTTTTGATATTAAAAACGACTTTCTTTGTCAGTAGATTATATTATAAGGGATCTTCTGTTATTTTTTAATTTGAGCAAGATTTCTGAAAGGAAACATTATGTATACAAATTTAAAATAATGAAATTAGTAATGCCCCGGCGCGCCGTAAATATTTGCCGTTTTACCTATAATTTTCTTTCCGGGTTTTCCCAATAAATTTGAAAAACCTTTTGAAAATCAAAAAAAAATCTTCTCAACTACTTACTTACCTATTTCTTAACACCAATTAGACAAAATTATGCAAACAAAAAAAAAAAAAAAAACACAAATCATAGTACAGTAAGACGGCTGTTAATGGTTCCCTCTATGTAACGGTCATTCTTTTTGGTTCCGTTAAGTGTTATGCCTCTATAGGAAACCGGAAACCTTTAAAGGACGATCACCTCTAAATAACGGTCATTTTTACAAATCCGAAATTTCATATTTAAAAATGTGCTGATATTCGAAAAACTGTCGCTAATGAATCTTTTGAAATGCCGTAACTTTTATGAATTCCGCCAAACTTTGGTTAATGCTTATGTAAATAAAAACTAAAATATAAAAGTCAAATTTTGCAAATATTTTTTTTAGATAGGTCGATTAAATCTTAGACCGTAGGTTCTACGACTCACGCGATACCCAATTAGCCACTATCAAACGCGAGAAACCAACTAGATATTTAAGGCAATAACGTAATCCCGACAAACCTCAAACTTTTATAACTTTTTTAATAATTATTTCCGCAAAAAACGACCTATAAGTACAATTTATAAAGAACCTAGTGTTAAATGTCCAAGTATTTCTCCGTCATACAATTTTATATTCCAGATTTGTATCGTCCAAGTTTTTACAGTCCAGGTTTTTACGCACTCCCATGTACGAGTAGATATATGTAGGTAATAAATACTTGCAAGGGTTAGGTTGGAATTTTTTTTAAAAATACATGTGAGCCGGTGCGATTTTTTAAATTTTAAACTTATTCCAGGACGGCTCGGTCGGGCTTTAAAATTTAAAATTTATTACGGATCGGGCTACATTTTATAAACATTTGGTTTGGTTGTTGTTTAAAACAACAACCAAACCATTTTAAAATAAATAACTTATTTTTTACATTTTTACTGTAATATTGTTTTTTAATAATTTTACTGTAACCTAAAATTAATAAAACTCTAATAAAAACAAAAAAATATATATATTTTTATTTTGCGATATTATTTATTACATTATGATTAGGTCAAGAATTATGGCCCAAAAAAAAATCAGAAGGGGATCAAGCCAAGGGTGGAGGCAATGGTCCCTACTCGCAGCTCACCCCTGTGGACGCCTTGTTTATCTACCCTTTTAAGTTATTTATTTATCGATTATCTTAAATATCATAAGCACAAATGCGTGGTACGAATGTAGAATATTATTAGACTATTCAAATTTTCAGAAAAAGTAGATTGCAACTAGGTGGGTTAACTTAGTTTAATACCCGACTAAAAATGATTACTTTACACGAAAATAGTCGTACTTACCCTAGTAAAAATTTGCATAAGTAGTACAATTTCATCTAAATTATAAGAGTCATATTTTAAATCAAAATATTCCATGCCAATTAAGACCAGTTTGATCAGGAAATAATATATATTAATAAAAAAAAGTATAAGTAAGTTGCAAATAAATAGGTATAATAATAATATCCAACTAATAACAATAAGGTACTTAGGGAGATTAGGTTTACCACTATATAACTACTTTATTAAATACATTACCTAATAATAATTAAATGGTGTATCCATTGGGCGTAGTCATAGGCGGATAGACCTACAGGGAATTTCACGGTGAGCCCCAAATGGGGCCCTTGGATTTCCCTGGGTAGTGATAGACACGAATGGAAACTATTGAATTATCAGTTTATCCATAATGGATCCAGGTATGTAGGTCCATGTTTATAATGTGTTATCAGTCATGTCAAATTATAAAAAACACTCGAAGATTGTCCAATTAAATAAAAGGTTTTCATGTAGAGTGTAACTGAACCTTTCATGTGAGCCCTTTTTAAAATTTCCCGGTAAGCCAAAAATGGCGTATCCGTCCATGGGTGAAGGTATTTATTTAGAAGTATGCACACTCAGCACTCCCCCTCCTAAATTTATCTCTGCTCTCTTGTTATTTCAGAGTAATAAGGATTATTATTACTAATATAAGTATAATGTTATCTCTCGAGCGTTGTATACGTTTTACTTTCGGTGTGGAGTCCTCTTAATACTTTAATGGTTTGATAGATTGCATTTTAATATGTGCACAAATAAGTACCTACTTCAAACAATTAATATTATCAGTTTGCCTTAAGGTTGGCACTCTTGTAGTTTTCGTGATACCGTACACGTTAATAGTAATGATAAGGTAGCACTATAATCTGTGTGGATTAATCAAAACCAAATTTTGTATTTAAAGTCAACCGTGAAATTCGTTATAATGTGTAGCTAATTATTTTTTAAATGTGTTCTTTATAAAGTAACTCGTTCAAAAATGTTCTAATTTAATTGATAACATTTATTTTTATTACATTAATTTTATAATTTAAGTATGTTGTGTTACGTGTTATTTCACAGTTATTAGTAATAATTGTGTACCCATACAAATTATATTGGTATAATGAACTCAAAGTACAAAATAACTAACAAATTTAGCAATGAATCTTTACATTCACTTTTAGATCGTGAATCACTTAATAGTCCAACAGGATCAAATTCTGTATGAATCTAATATTTAAATAAACTTTAAATACCTTCCTATTTTATTATTATTATTATTACTATTATTACTACTATTATTATTTCATTACGATTTCAGTTGATAGCAGAACATGAAAAGATGTGGCTTACGACCAAAGAAGCAAGTGCAGTTAGTGCTGAAGATGTGTTGTCTAGATTAAGAGTTAATTTTAGAAGTGGATTGTCTTGGAAAGAATGTGAATTCAGAAGACAAATAACAGGATACAATGAATTTTCTGTACATCAAGGGGATCCATTATGGAAAAAATATATAGAACAGGTAATTTAATATAATATATTAATTTTGGCAATAATTTGGTAGGTAAATTGATTCTTATAAAGTCATATTATGTAATAGTCATATTCTATTGATAGTTTATTGTGGCAATATAATTTTAGTTACTAAACATTTTTAGTTAATTTAAAATTAGATGTTTATGATGCAATCTAAAAATTATTTTATATTTATATATATTTTAACATAATTATTATTTTTTTTTTGTACAATTATATTTTGTTCAAGTCTTATTATTAAATAGTTATTCACGGGCATTATCAGAGGGTGTATGAAAGATACATCTCTCGTGAGTTTTTTTTTACATCATCAGTGCTACAAAGTACAAATATGTAGAGTATTATAGGTAAACAATTTTTATATTACTTCTCATATAACATTTGTTTTGCACCACTGTAGTTATTATTTTTTTTAATATTACTTATACGAATTTAATATCTATTATATGGTTAAGTTTTTGTATTTTGTTTACTAAATAAAATATTAATGCTTAATATGTATTTATACTATATTTACTGAATAATGGATATAATGTTTATGTATTTGCGTTTGTTTCAGTTCAGAAATCCATTGATACTCCTCTTATTAGCTTCAGCTGTAGTCAGTGTGTTTATGAGACAGTTTGACGATGCTTTCAGTATTACCACAGTATGTATTACTTAAACCAGCAATTTTCAAACTGCTTTGGGAGGTGAGAGTTGAGGGTGAGAGGTGAGAGTAATCTAGGTTTTAATTTAGCTCACAAGTGACTTTACAATTTTTTTTTAAAATTTGTAGAATTTATGGTCAAAAAATTACAAAATACTGAATTTCCAAAACTATAGTTTTTAAGTTAAAAATATCAAACATTTAATTTTTTGTAAATATTAGTATTTTGGGGCTCAACTTTTTGTTGAAATCAGAATTAACCTATCGTACTAATTTTGTTTGTTATTGTTAATAAACCATGTACAACTTAATTATAAAGTTATTTTAAACACTTACTTAATAAAGTAACTAAAATGTATTATTATTTTTATTCAGTGTTGTGTGTAACAAATATGAAACCACTCATCCTCCCCTAATCCCAGCGAACCTAATTTTTATTTTAAATTTTGTTTCATTAATATACAAATATTTAAAACAACTTTTTAATATAGTTTCATGCAATTCGTTAACAATAAAATAAAAAGCAAGTTTGATTTCACCAAAATGTTGAGCATAAAAATATTAACATTTATAAAAAAAAATTCTACATTTTTAAATTTTTGATATTTTAAACTTAAAACATAATTTTTGCAAAAATTGAGCAGTTTGTAGTTTATTGACCATAACTTCCAAAGGAAGTTTAAGCGACTTTTTGAAAATATCATAAACATAAGCATGCTAAAACACATATTTTGAAATCAAAAATTCAAAAAAATTGATTGGGAACTAAACTACATTTGTTCCTCTCATTTTATTAAATTTTGAGATATTCAGTGTTGCAATTTAAGCATCAATCTAGTTTTGGACTTTTTATAGTAACTCAAGGGCTCTGTGAAAAATACAATTTTGAGAATCGCTGATTTAAACAATTAAATTATAAGTAATAATAAAAAGTAAATATTTTATTTATGACTTCTATATTATTCTTATTGTCACAGTTTCAAAACTAGTAAAATAACACTAGTACTGAAAATGAATGATATTAATGCTAGCCTTTTTAACTAAGTAATTTGCTATTTATTTATTAAATAACTACCTACATTACTGTATTATTAGTAGAATGTTTATTATAATCTTATTCCATCATAGTAATATGATGGGAAATTTAATTATATATTCATATAGTGATTGTAATTATTTTTTAAATGTATGATATTGAAAAGTGGATTTAATATTTTTTGTGTATAATTTCGTCAATGAGCATTTTATTTGACTGATACTTATATTTGTATAAGATATTTTTCTAGAAAAAGTAAATTATACTACTTAAATATTTCTTATACAATGAAAAATAACTCTAGTCCAGTTTTTTTTTCTAGAGCTGGTACAAAACATTTTTTTTTGATATCTGATATTCTTTTATATATGTTGTCAATTAAAGCTAATAATTGATCCAAATTTTTCTTTTCTTGCATCTATGAACTGATATAAAAACCTATTTATTTTTTAAAATGTGATAACCAATATAAATCAAGTAATATGTATACATATATATTTCAAAGTAGCATTATTTTCATAACCACCATTATTACATAAAAATTGATATGCAACTGTGACTTCAAAAAAAAAAACTGATACCAATAGTACCAATATCGGTTATCAGCAGTTCTCAAATTGGTGGGAGGGGAAGGGCATACAACTTAAATTTTAAATGCTTAAAAAAAATATTCTATTATGTTAAACTCTGTGTTAAATTTTTAAGCATTTTTGCTGTGCCAAAACAGTTTTAATCAAATAAAATCCTAAAAAACTTGTAAAATTCCAAATGACTATAAATAACCAAAAAATTGCCAGAATGGTTTGAAAATTGAATAATATCTGGAAAGTCATTATTCTGGTAAAAAAACTGTTTATATATAAAATCTCTTAATGGTTATGTTAAGTTTAATAATTGCAAGGGACACTAATTTTTCTAAATTGTATAACCTCTCTTCTTTTATTTTACCAATTCAAGCACTGTATCAGTCCAGCTCTATTTTTTACTATTATCTAATAATTTAATATTTTAACTTTAATTAGGTGTTGAATTATTGATATGTGCATATTTGATATTTATTAACAGGCTATTATTATTGTCGTTACTGTTGCATTCATACAAGAATATAGGTCTGAAAAGTCATTAGAAGCATTGACAAAATTGGTTCCTCCTACATGTCGATGGTTAGTATTTAAATAAAAATCTATTATTATTATTATCATAAATATTAAAAACAATATCATCATTATTTGTTTGGGTTATATTATATAATTATCCATTAATTTATTTTAAAAAGTTTGTAAATGGTATGTTTTATTTATTTTAGTCTTCGAGAAGAACAATTAGAATCTATGTATGCAAGATCATTGGTGCCTGGTGATATTGTTTATTTAAGTACTGGTGATAGAGTCCCTGCTGATATACGATTGTTTGAGGTAATATACATTATAATTTATAATACTGATATTTAAAATTAAAAGAAATTAAATTCACCTAATTTAAACTTATTTGAAATATATTGTAATTGCATACTTGTTAATTCTTAGATATAAGTATTATATAAATTGTATACAAATTAATTGTATTGTATTTTATTGTTAAAAAACATCTGTTATTATAATAATCTATGTATTTGGACCAGTCTGTTTAAAATTTAAATTATAAAAAAAATAAAACCATTTAAATATTGCAGGCTACAGATTTAGCAATAGATGAAAGTAGTTTTACTGGTGAAACTGAACCATCTATGAAAACAACAGAATTAGTTTTGAGTCCTAAGGGCCATACATCAATGAAAAACATAGCATTCATGGGTACATTAGTACGGTGTGGAAATGGTAAAGGAATCGTAGTAAATACTGGAGAAAAATCAGAATTTGGCGAACTTTTCAAATTGATGCAAAATGAAGAGGCCCCAAAGACTCCTTTACAGAACAGTATGGATATTCTGGGTACTCAATTATCTGTGTACTCATTTTTTATTATTGGCTTAATAATGATTCTTGGATGGATTCAAGGCCGTCCTATTTTAGATATGTTTACTATTGGTGTCAGGTAAATAATTAACTAAAGTTGTAAAAATGGAGATAATTAAAGTAAACAAATATTTTAATAGTTTGGCAGTAGCAGCAATACCTGAAGGTTTACCTATTGTTGTAACTGTGACTTTAGCACTTGGTGTGATGCGTATGGCTAATAGAAAAGCTATAGTGAAAAAATTGCCAACTGTCGAAACTCTAGGTAATTTTAATATATTTTAAAATATATTTCTAATCTATAATCAAATGTTTTATTTTATTAGGTTGTGTTAATGTCATATGCTCTGATAAAACTGGTACAATAACAAATAATGAAATGACTGTAACTACTATTATTACTTCGGAAGGATATTATGCTGATGTACGTTTTTAAATCTATTTAATAATTGAAATATATGACAAAAATAATTTTATTGTGGAAATTGCAATTTAAATATTTCAATGTTTTTTATATAGGTTTCCGGTACTGGTTATAATGATCAAGGTGAAGTTCATTTACTTAAGTCATTCTCTTCAGAACAAGCTAAGCAGTCCATATATAATTTATTAGAAGTATGTATACCAAATTGTGAACAATTTATACAAAATAGTTATTTTATTTGCAATTTCTGTTTCATAATAAATGTATTACTGTCAAATTAGCTTTGCATATCTAGCAGATTTGTTTAAACAGTTCTCCATATATTAGATACATTTGAAAATCAGAAATAATACAATTATTTAACTTGTATTTGTTTTTGAAATGTTATTTCAATATTTGTAGGGAGTAATTTAATAAAATAAATTTAATGTATTACAGATAGGAGTTATTTGTAATAATGCCACTATTAATGGAGAGACATTACAAGGCCAACCTACAGAAGGAGCCCTTTTAGCAGTTGCAATGAAGGTAATAACTAAATTGAATATTATATTATTTAGTATTTGCATTTTACATCTTTTATAATATTTTTAATTTTAGAATAGAATGTATGGTGTTAATGAAAAATACCTAAAACTTCAAGAATATCCCTTTAGTTCTGAACAAAAACTTATGGCTGTGAAATGTGTTAATAAATATGATGACGTGAGTATATAAAATTGTATTATATTTTTTTATTCATAGCTATATTGTTTTACTAAAAATTTAATTCAAATGCATAGGTAAAAGAAGAAATATATTTTGTAAAAGGTGCTTTAGAGAAAGTTTTGAAACAGTGTACAAAATATTCTAATGGAAATGATAAAATATCATTAAGTGCTAAGAAGGAACAAGAAATATCTACTGAAGCATATGAAATAGGTAGAAAGGGTCTTCGAGGTTAGTTGTATTTTAAAATTATTAATCAAATTTTTTATTGATATCTAATTGTAATATATTATTTAGTTATTGCACTAGCTAAAGGAGAATCTTTACAAGATTTAGTTTATTTGGGATTAGTAGGAATTTGTGATCCTCCTAAACCATTTGTTCGAGAATCAATTGAACAATTATACAATTACGGGGTTAAAGTAAAATTAGTCACTGGAGATGCTCAAGAAACTGCTGTTGCCATTGGTATACTGTTTATAATATAATTAATAAAAAATTATTATTAAAAATACACATACTTTAATCTTAATTATAATGTAATTATAGGAAGTATGATTGGTTTAGACATGATTCATGGACAAACATTATCTGGTACACAAATTGATAATATGTCTGATCATCAATTAAAAGCTATGGTAAACAATGTGTCAGTATTTTACCGTGTTACACCTCGTCATAAATTAACAATAATCAAGGTACCTAATACTTTTAATTATATTCTCTAAATTGGATTTATTTGTACTATATAGGTAATTTTAGTTTACTGGTTTTTTTTTTCTTTTAGTATGTTTTGTAGGGTTGAATTTTCCACTAGTCCAGTATGGTCAATTAATTTTACTTTTTTTTATTATTTATTAAATAAATAATTAAATTCTTAAATCTAAATTGTATTTTATTATTTTTGGTTTTTACTCGAACCTTATAGAGATAGAAATATTACTTCTTTTTAATTACTATTCTAAAATATTAAGTATTATATCTTATTGGTTGATAATATTTAAAAACCGTAAAATAATTTATGTAAAATGTAAATTAAATTTAAATTTTATATTGTATCAGATAAGTTTATTTTTACATATTTATAATTATAGTTTTTTTTTTCATATTTAACTGTAGGCTTCGACTACACTGGTCATTGGCCGCAATTTTAGTTTTGTATGTATAATATAAATATATATTATTATTAGGCGTTACAAGCAAATGGTAATGTTGTTGGAATGACTGGTGATGGAGTTAATGATAGTGTTGCATTAAAGAAAGCTGACATTGGCATTGCTATGGGTAAAAATGGAACAGACGTGTGCAAAGAAGCATCAGACATGATATTAGTCGACGATGATTTTCAAACAATCGTAGCAGCCATAGAAGAAGGGAAAGGAATATTCTTTAATATTCGAAATTTTGTTAAATTTCAACTTAGTACTAGTATTGCTGCATTATCTTTAATTGCTTTAGCAACTATTTTTAGAATACCAAATCCTTTAAATGCTATGCAAATATTATGGATTAATATAATTATGGATGGACCACCTGCTCAAAGGTATATTATTTATTTATTTATTTATTTATTAATTAGTTAACATTAATGCAAAATTAATACTTTTCAGTCTTGCAGTTGAACCAGTGGATAAAGATGTTGTTAAACAAGGCCCCCGGAATGTTAAAACACCCATGATAACAAAAACACTTGTGTTGAATGTTCTTTTATCAGCATCAATTATTATTATTGGGACCTTATGGGTATTTAAACGAGAAGTGAGTTATTATATGTCACACTAAATTTGTTAAAATGTCAAACATTTGCTGTATAGTGAAATAATAGGTGATATGGTGACTGTATATTTTAGTCGATTTATACCTAAAAACCAGACGAAAATGTAGGAATTATTTTTCAAAAATATTTTTAAAGTGTTTAGTTTTTAACTAATGATAAACTATAAGATAGTTAAAATTATAAAAAAAAAAAAAATATTTAAATGCTGATAGGTGTGCCTCTGTTATAGGCGGTAAGTTGGAAAAGTAAAATACATAGTCATTTAATTTATGTCTGTATGAAATGATACATAATACTAATAATCATTGTTTGAAAACAATCCGGTAGGAAATAGACCATTGGGAAGACCAAAAATGATGTGGGAAGATACTGTTAAGAGGGAGGTGGTTCAAACTGGAGAACTGTGGTAATGAAGGCAATGAATAGATATGGTTGGAAAATTGGCTGTGAGATGGGATAGTCCTTGTAGTCGGATATACCAAACAAAAAGAAAAAAAATCATTGTTTTAGAATACTCTGAAATTATCATGTTTTTCATCAAAATGTGAACTTAAAAAAAAAAATTACTAAATTATGTTTACTTTTCTTTAAGCTTATGATGAACCTCATGAATAATTTTTAAACATTTTGATTTGAACAAAACAATTTTATTCATGTATAACTAATTAATAATTTTAACAACTTCAAATGATTATTAAAACTCAAAAAGCACCAAAATATTTTGAACATTATCCTGTCTAAAAACAAAGTATCTAAGTATTTTATAAAAATATCATATAGCTAAAGTTATTTTTAACCATAGAACAAATTAAAAAATAATGACACTGTTATTGCAGTAAACTTTCTCGTTTTTCCTAATTATTAAAAAAACTACATGATGAATAAAAAATCTAATATCTATAATGTATCAAATAGAATTCTACAAAAAAACTTTCTTGTCACTTTTTGATTGAAGCTAAATTTCTGGTGGACAAGTTATTTACTGACAGAAAAAAAAACAAATCATAGTAAAACCAATAAATTCCTTACTTTGCTTATAATGTAAAAATAATTCAAACTTATTTTAGTAATAATGATAATATGTTTTCAAAATTTAAATCTGTCGAACACAATTGCAACAGTTTTGTTTGGGGTTTCAGTCTAAAATGTATTATTCATCGATAAATTATTAGAAAAGCTTTATCATGAAGCTGGTCACTGGTCATTAACAGTAAATAATAATAAAAAAAATATTCTTCTGCTTCAATATTATGAAATTTAGAAAACTATCATCAATCCATTTACATTTACACTATATTATTATTTATTATTTATTATTTAGTATAAAGTTTATGTATAATTTCAGATGAGTGACAACGAAGTGTCTAAAAGAGATACTACTATGACATTCACATGTTTTGTTTTTTTTGATATGTTTAATGCTCTTAGTTGTCGTTCACAAGTATGAGAATCTTATATCATAATAGAATTTTATATTATTATTAATAGTGTTGTTTAATTAAATAAATAATATTGTTTTTAGACAAAATCGGTATTCACTATTGGACTGTTTTCTAATAAAATGTTTCTTGTTGCTGTTACACTTTCTGTTGTGGGACAAATGTTGGTGATATTTTTTCCACCTTTGCAGAGTGTATTTCAAACAGAAGCACTTACTCTACATGGTAAAAAAAATTATATATATATTATATATTATTATTATCATTATTTCAATATTATTTGTTTTTATTTTGAAAATTATTTAGATATATTACTTTTATTGGGGTTAACATCAAGTGTATTTATTGTGTCAGAAATAAAAAAATTTATAGAACGACAGTATCAAAGAAGACTAACCAGAGCTCCCAGAAAACAAATGGCATTTGTGTAATAATATTGCACTAACACCATTTTTTGTATTATTATTGGTGTTACAAATTTAACAATTATAAATTAAATGACAATCGAATAGTCATAATTCGTATTTTTTTATAATATTATATTCATTTTGGTGCAATATAAATCTCATGCTTTTAAGTTGTGTATTTGCATATTTTAGTTCCTTTCTTCTTTATTGATTTAAATATTTAATATTATTATTATTATGTGAATTCAAAAAATTATGTTAGTTGTTTAATTATCTTAATTTGATTGTTCAATGTGATTATAGTTTGTTATACGATTAAAATTTCATTTAGTTATCAGAATAAAACCAATGTCATATCTCAGTTTTATAAAATTGAATATTTTTATAAATTATTGTGTTTTTATGTTTATAATAATAAAATATTTAATTACTACCAATCAAATTTTTTTCATTTTAATTTGAATTTTTTAAATAAAATATTTTTAATTAAGTAATATTACCTGTTATTAATTAGTAACTTAAAATATATTTTATTATTTATCATTGAAATATTATGTAAACAATTTATGAATACATTAAGATTATTATTTTGTTTTCTTTTTATATATAATATATGGTATATGAGTATTAACATTTTTATATTCTGAGTAATTATTTAATATATTTTATATTGTGAAACATATATTAGATGAACTTACTGTGTATACAAATACAATAGTAGTTTATGATTCTTGGAGCTTTATACATATCACCTGTATTGTATTTTAATTTGGTTGCTTGTTATTAGTATTAATTATATATCGGAGAAAATGTAAAACTAAGTTAAATTTTATTTTTATTTTATGTTGAGTACTATATTAAAAATATATATTTTATAGCATTGTATTATTATGTATTTTTAGTATTATACTAGTATTAAGTTTTAGAAAATAAAAGTTAAATGGTATCAGCAATTTTTTTTAACAATGCAAATACTATCTTACACTAATATAATAACTGTTATACATTTCATTTTTTGTATGCACATTTATATGTAAGTATATAATTTTAATACATACAATTATTTATTGATAAAATATTATTATTGTTTTAATGAATCTACTTAATTATTTTTAACTCTGTGAACAGAGCAAAATTAATAAATATATTTTGCCTTATTTTTTAGCATTTTTTCATTTGTAGAATGTGTGGGGTATGAAAAAAAATATTAATTACATTTATTTATACAAATATGTTATTAACTCTTAGTAATCAATTAATCAGTGAGACAGTGATATTTAAAATTGAACGAATTTGAGGTTCTTTATTTTGGTAATTTGTAGTTATTACCATAACTAATTTTTGTTTTTGTTTTTAAAATTTATTTATCTAAAACAAAAATTGGTTTTATTAATATATGTGCTTTTCTCTGACCCACTCATAAAGTTGTTTAATATTGTTTTTGAAATAAACGGAGTTATGGTATAGAGTTTGTTTGTATATCATACTGTGGCCGGCGCATTCGAATTTCGTCCATAAATGATAATTGAGTTGCATTCGCAGTTTTTTACACAACACGTCTGAGTTGCGTCCACGGTCAAATGTTACGAAAATAATAGTAATGATTATTTTATTTCTATATGTTTGGTGAAGTATTGAAAAATGTTCAAACACATTCACTAAAATGCGGAGCACAAATGTAACATATAAACGAAAAGAGGATGTGGAAAAATAAGACTATTACAAATGCTATGACTCAGTTTGAAAACAAATATAACACGTTAAACAATTGGCATACACACATTTGCCCATTTTATAAAAAAAAATAAACACTTAAATAATAAAAATAATAATAATATGATTTTTAACCACACCGTTTATATAAAATAAATTTTTTATGACAGTCCTTGGTCTGTTAAAGTCTGAAGGAAAATATGTCTATATCAATTATTCTTGCGGACGCAACTCGGAATAGTCGCCGAAAAACTGAAGACGCAACTCAGTTGTCGCGACGTATATTTTCGTTTTTAGGGATGCAATTCGTATGCAGCCACTGTGGCATGCTACCAAATCAGTATCTCCGTTACTTCATGATAATTCCACAGCCACACCGATCCGATCATTTTGAATAAAGTAGGTATTATACTTTTATAATAATGTTTATTACTTTTTTCTGTGAACAACTCTTCTACCAGCAATTTTGCACCGATTTACAATGACTACGGTACTTACTATTAAAGTAAGTTAAATTAAAATTGGATAGCTAAAACACTGTTTCAGTTATATTTATGTTAATCTCAAACATTTTTTATTTGAAATATCATGTGGTTGCACCTTTTCTGAAAGAAGATTGGTGTGTTGAAATACTTAAGGTAGGTAATTAAACATTTTCCCAGAATTTTTATCAACAAATGTGAAAAACCGAAAAAAAAACGAGAAAATTTACGAAATATGCGTAAAAAGTACAAAATATATGTATTAGTAAAATATTTTTTTTTTCTGTGGATAACTTTTCTACCAGCAATTTTATTCCGATATACAATGAGCACTTTTTCTGAAAGGAAATCTGACAGGTACTTTAAGTAGGCCATTTTTCGATTTTCCCAGGAGTTCTTTTAGCAAATGTGAAAAACCAGGAAAAAACATGGAAAAACCGGGAAAAACTTAGGGAAAACGGGAAAATCGGTACATTAAATAAATATAATTAAAGAAAATATATAATGCCTATTTAATTATTTTACCATAATATGACATATATATTGTTGATAAAATATCACTATCAACTGAACTCCGCTCAGAATCGTTTTTTGTTAGCAATGGTTTATCTTTGCTTACTGGTATACAATAAATTTAGTACCTATAACAGTGGCTACATCCGACCCTATTATCTTAGGATAACTTTTTTTTTTTTATACTAATATTTTAAACGTCTTTTTTAATTTTTTTCATTTAAAGGTAACTTAAATGTTGGCAATGGTATCCATACATTTTTGAATGCCTAAATAGTAAAAGACAAAAGTTATGTACACTAGGTAATAAGAACTGATATTTTTTTTTAATCTGAAATAAAGTCTTAATTTACACTAAATTGATCAACATCTAATAATCTATAGTTCACAAATAAACTTATATCGTTTATATGCATACTTTCAGTCTTAAAAATATGAAATTATTAAAAGTATTTAATAAGCAATTATGCATGTGTATGAATATAAAAGTTTTATTATAGCATAGCTACAAAACTGTATAACTATAAAACTATTGATAATATATTAATAATATATTATTAATCGTATGCCGATGGTCGCATTTGTACTATAGATATCGGAATATAACGGACTGAAATATTATTATACCTAATTCATTGGCACTTTTTTTTTTTATAATATTAAATATGCACTACCTTTTTTTTCCCGAGAAAACTAAAACTACCAAGGAACTTTAAACAAATGCATTAAAACAAAGTTTATCTGTATATATCTTAATGTAACTTAAATAAAAAAGTTTAATTTGTTTTATTATTTTCAAACTGTCCACATGAATACTTCTTTAATGTAGCTACAGTAATGTAAATATCGAAATAAAATTCCATAACAAATTTGTTTTAGCGAAGGGGCCGGTATTTTGCAAATGAAAAATTGGCAACCTTACCATCGGATATTGCCTAAATGTATGTTAATTGATGGGAACATTATATTAAAATTAATAATAATATAGTGACAAAATATAATATTTTTATATTGTGTTCATATGTACATTAGGTTAAATCATAAAATATACATTAATAACCAAATTATAAAAAATCATGAACATGTACGTGTCAGCCATTAATAGGTATTTTTTTTTTTTTTTTAAAAAAGAGTACAATTTTATTACTTAACACTATTACTAAGGACCAAGGACAATGCATCAAAAGAAAAAAGGTATTATCCTACGAAAAAGACTATGTCTGGTCATATTAGGTAAATATACGGCGTATACTCACTTTACTAATTTAATATTTATTGTACCGTATACCACCTTAAAATATGATGATACTATCATAGGTACGCGGATATAAAGCCGAACAGTTCCGTATACGATATACATATTAGAATTTTCAGCTATATAAATATAACATGGTTTAATTTAAATGCGTTTAATTAATAAGTGGACTATAAGTGAAGTATAATTAATTAATTTAAATTATTAAAGCAAGTTAAATTAAAATTAGATAGCCAAAAATTCACATTTGTTGATAAAAATTCTGGGGAAATTATTAATTACCTATCTTAAGTATTTCCAAACATCAATTTTTTTTCGGAAAAGGTGCCACACTTAAAAATCAGAGCAAGACCTCCTGTAGAAAAATTGTTCACAGAAAAAAAAAATAAAATAAAAAATATCTTTATAAAATCATAAGCTTCTTCGTTCTACTCAGAATCTAAAATATAGGTATATATATATATATACAGTCTGTCCCACCAAGATATACCCCTTGAATTATCTCTCAGGAGATAAAAGGATAATCAAATTTTGATTTTTTTTTTTTATATTACTCACAGAGATGAGGACTAAAAATATTTATTTTTGAATTAAAGTGAAAACTGATATTATCGCGTAATGCGTTTATGTTATTTCTTAAGACAACATAGGTTTTTACACGGTTTAGTAGAATTTTAAACGGTTGTTACTTAAAAACAATAATAACTATGTATTGGATATAAATGTGCGATACATTAAAATTTTCAGAAAAATAAACTCTACAGAATGGCTATCTTAATGTTTTCCGAAAATAATAAAATTAAAAGTTAATTAAAAAATAAATATTCTTAGTCCTTATTCTTATGAGTAATAGAAAAAAATGTATGCATATGACTATCAACAAAACAAAAAAAGTTTATCCCCTCTCAAAAGGAAAAAACTGAGCACGCCACTGGGCATCATCAATATTAATATTATTTTTTAAGCCAATAAATCATTTCAATCATGAGTTAAATATTTACTGTACAAGTCGTTAAACATGTTTATGTGTGTTTTGTAGATTCTCAGCGGAGAGAAGATTATATATGGATTATATGATTTTACTATAGAAAAGAACTTCTCTACAGAAATCTTGCTCCAATCAACAAATTAGTCTATTCCTCGACTTTTTCTCCATTAAGGTCCGTATCTAAATAATTCCAATTACAGCTGTAGTTATTGAAGTTTCCAACTACTATCTTGATAGGTCTATTATACACATTTTTTGGTTTTTTGAAATTGAAATTAATGTTAGGTGGTTTATATATTGAAGTAACCCCGAAGCCTTTATGATTATTTCGATGTTTCCCGTATTTGAATATTCTGCACTTTTTACAATCAGTCCAGGTTTAGAGAAAATTGCACTTCCGTATTGTTTGTTAAGTATCTCTCCAATCAATATCATTTTCGGTATTTTTGACCATGGACTGGCCATGTCCCGATGCGTTTCTTGTATGCAAAGTATATCACAGTTATTCTCAGCACATAGGATGGCCAAAAGTTGCCCCTTACATGTTGAAAAGCCCTCGATATTTTGCGATACTATAGTTAAAGTCGGGTTTGGTCCTGAGAAGGATCATTTGGAGGCGAGTATTGGCATTTTGGCACCGATGTTGATTAGATTAGTTAGCTGCTCTTATCTGGTAGATAGAGAAAACTAAGCAAGAGGTGCCGCGTGCAGGCTCTTATCATGCCCCCTGAATTAGCTATAACGACGATCGATCCTGTTCTAAAACGAATCGGTCGTAAAACGGTCGATTGATAGTCTCTATTCCAAATTCTAATAGAACAGGAGTTACCAATTAGTTTCTATGGAGGTCCGTTTTGAAACTTACCAAACTTTCAGTGGTTTTAAACAATTTTAATGAATTTTACAAACGCTAATATATACATTTTTTTTATTAATTGATTTATTTATTCGTATTATCATTTAGAAAAAAAAACAAATGATTATAAGTTCCTATTTTATTATTTATTATTGGATTTATGATTGATGTTACCACAATTTACATTTGTAAAAAAAGTGTTTATGGTCCACCAACTGAGCTACAAAAAGTTTAGGGAGGCTGGGGAGGAGGTCACAGCGATAATGGTTTTTGTATGAAGTATTAGAGTTCGTGAGACTATAGTTTCTGCCACCGGGCAGCACGTTATACCGTATTCGTTGCGTATATTTGTGTCATATTAATACCCTATTCATAACTATATTACCATTTATTACAAACGGACAAGTTCAATTAAAAGTACAGTAAAATACACAATAGTTACATAATTAACATAATACGGTAATTAGGATAACATAGGCAAAAGTGGGATTAACATTAGCAAAATTTATAAGAAGGCGGACCATGAGGATATTAAGAAGGAAATTAGAAGATATATCGGAATGTGAAAGGGAAAGAAGAACGAGTGTCATGTAGAGGTACACGGAAATTAATTTCAGCAAGTAAGGTAGAATAGTAAATTTGGTTTGATATTGTGTATAGTTTAGAAAGGAATTAAATATTTTCCATAAGTCTTCGATCTAAAAGGGTAGGGAGGTCTAGCACAAGCAGGATATGTGAATAGTCGTGAGGGAAGTAAGGAATATTTAGTCTGTAGGAGGTTATCTGAATGAACTTCCCTTAGACTCGCTGGATCATATTGCTGGTGACAAAGGAATTAGGGTTCCAAAGGACAGAACCGTATTCGAAGATGGGGCGGTTGAGTGAGCAGTATAATGATTTGAGAGGAACTTCATATCTCAAGTTCCTCAAGCAGCAGGCAGTATTTATGTAAAGCAGAGGAGTGAGGTTTGTGGTAAAAGTGAAAACAAGGTCACGAACTGAGTTGTCGGCAATTTTAAGAGGCACATCATTAATGAAGTAGGGAAAAGATCCAAATGGTTTGAGGTGGAAGGAAGACATCACCGAACACTTTAGAATGTTAAAGTAACCAGTCAATGTCGGCTTGCAATAGGAGTCAATCGGAGCGGGAGTTGATACGTAGGAAGAGTATTTTATGTCATCATTGACTATTTGCATAAAGCCACATAAAAATTATATACATTTTTGAATGAAATACATGTTCCATAATTTGTATATGGCTGGAGTAAAAGTATGTGTGAATATCACTCTAACGAAAACTCATATTATATTGCATGTTGCAAAATATTATACGTATATATTGTTTAAACAAAATAAAAACTGAAAGGAAATTAATTATTTTTTCTAAATGTTTGACTGTTTGCAAATTGTATTAAATTTTGACATTATATGACTATACAATATAATATCTATATATATTCTTAGGAATTTCACCAGAATATGGAGTATAATCATTTGACTTCGGGAATGCTCATTGCGGAGAGCTATGGTGTTTATTGGATAAGATTTTGATTTTACGATATCTGAAATATAATTGAACAATTCTATGTTCTTCTCAACAAAATAAGTTATGGAGCACGTTTCCAGTGTTGGTTTTCTGGAATAAAGAGACTTTTCATAATTGGTGATTCTATTTCTGTCGAACTAGAATCTGTTTCATATTGGTCTTCCTCCGTAACTCCTATTTTTTTTTGGCACCTCAACATCTTTTAAAGCATTCACAGCCGTGAACACTTCATTATCTGGTTCTCAGCAGTTTGTACAAGTTATAGAACATTTTATAAGGCTGTATGAACATATATGACTAAAACAGCAACGAAATGTTCTTGCAGTTGGATTTCTGTTACATCTATGTAAAGAGGTAAAATGTATTGTATTATAGTGAAAATTCAGATATAGGTAGTTATCATTAAAAATTAATTTATCAAAGCTATAATATCTATCAAAGCTGGACAGAACAAGTTAAAAAGTAAAAATTTTAGTTATAAGTTGATTTTGTTGATAACTTTTAACTTCACTAGTTAAAAAAATTAAATTTTATAAAAATAACTTGGTTATTTTCTTTTATAAATAATTTTAACATAATTTTTACTCAAATTCATTTATAAGTTCATTAACGAATTTCAACTTAGTTTAGTTATTATAATTATAATTTTTTTTTTTTTTTTTTTAGGATAACGTAATTTAAAGTTTAAATTATAAACTATAGTTAAAAAAAATGAATCACTTGCTCAGCTTTTCTATTTATATATGAAATATTTACTCATTATCCGCATATAATATAATTGCCTCGTCCGATAATTTAATACAAAAGTAACTAAACATAATTTAATATAGGTAATATAGATAAATTGTTTAAACATTTTTATACCTAATCAGTTTTTCACCGTATTATTGAAAACAAGTTTTCAAATATATTTTGTGTGAGTTTATTAGTCATTTAATATGACAATATGAAACAGGGCGGTATAGTTTCTTTGTTTGTTTTATTACAGAATTTAACCGCACTTTGAAACATAATTCTACCCTTATATAAATTATAAATGATCTGTGGATTACGATCACTTATAGGTTTTCTATTTGGGTTTGGATCATAAAGATGTTTACTATTTCCTGAGTCGAACATGTTGTTTACTACATCGATAAATTCGGCAGTATCGTTTGCAGTAGGTAATTTCTTCTGTAGCTACGCATGTTCTAATCACTGTCGAAACCAAATTACTTAAAAGTTGGATAACCAATTTACATGAAATTTTCTGAAACGGGTTAGGGGCTAAATGGTTTGGCGTAATTTTACACATCCTGTGCGCTGTATTTTTCATATCAATTTCGTATGATCTCCGTAAATCCTTCATTGATACAAATTTTGATTTTTCGATTTTGAACTCACCATTTAATAAATTATTTTTCACACTTTTAATTAGGTGAGAGAAATCGCACGGAAAAATATTGTTTGTGCTATACTATGCAATACTATGCAAGTTGGCAATAAACTTAGGTCAATAATTTTGGGTACAGTATCTTTTATTATTAGCATCAAACTATCACCTTTGATACTATTTCTGGTAAAAAATAATACAAAAGAAATCTCCAATTTGTATAAAGACCACGTAACATTATGACTAAAGCAATATGAATTAAAAAAATATTGAAAATAATATTGTTGCCGTACAATTTTCTGTTGTTCCTACATTTTTTTAATAATTTTTTCAAAATATTATAAAAACCACTTGGAAAATCAAAAATTGACCTCATTAGAGTTTCATCTAGATTCAAAATACAGCAAAATGTGTTATTCGTCATTTTTTGATTTGAGCAAGATTGAGAAATTTTTTACCAACATAGCATAAAAAAAAACAGACTGCGCGCGCAGAGAGCGTCCCAAAAAGGTTAAGGGAAAACCGAATACAGCGCTGGTTAGCTGGAAATGTCTATTATGCTAGTACAAAATTGGGTTTTTGTTGGTGCATTAGTATTTTTTCTGTAGCGTTTAGAAACGAACATGTTTATTTCTCTTGACGAAAACGTAAAATTTTCTCGTTAAACTAAAAAAAACTCCAACTGAGTGCTATAATTTGTTAAAAGAGGCGTATAGTAAGGATTCCCTATCTCGGGCGCGTGTTTTTGAGTAGCATAAATTATTTTCTAAAGGTCGAGAGTGCACCAGAATCCAATTCAGTCGTAATCCAAATTCAAAACCATGCTGATCGTTTTCTTCGATATCAACGGCATCGTGATGACTGAATGGGTTCCAGAGGGTCAAACTGTGAACCAACATTACTATTTGACAGTTTTGGCAACATTGCGCGAATGAGTTCGTAAGAAACGGTCGATATTGTGGAAAAACAAGTCGTGGATCTTGCACCAGGATAACGCACCTGCCCATAACGCGCTGTCAATGAAGCGTTATTTGGCCGCTTAAGGTACTCCAGTACTCGAACACGCGTCTTACTCACCCGACTTGGCAACCTGCCACTTTTACTTGTTTCCGAAGATAAAGTCTGTCTTAAAAGGAATCCGGTTTGAGTGAATGGAAGAGGTGAAACAAAAATCGGCGGAACTCCTGAATGGTCTTACGAAAACAGACTTCCAGCACTGCCTCGAGCAATGGAAGAAACGAATGAAACGGTGTGTGAAGAGGAGAGGAGAGTATATTGAAGGGGAACATTTGAATGTAGAATAATTTTTATAATAAAACACTTTTTCGTAACTAGTCTCGTTATTTAATAGCCAGACCTCGTAATTATCTACATGTTAGAATAGTATAAACATGGAAATAAAATAAAAGTATTTTTTCCTTCTAATAAATTAGAATTGGTGTAATTGAAATATCATATAAAAATCATTGCTCATTTATTAATTTATCAAAACAATATCAGAATTATTTATGAATATAAAATTAGTATTGAATAAGACTTACCTATTTATTGATTAAATTAAATTAAATTACAAGTGCCAAATTCCGTTTATATTCTTCAACGCATGGTAGAAATCTCCAATATTTGAGATTTTCTGTATTTTATGTTATTTATAGCAGCTCACAATTATTTTTATTCGAGTATTGTTCACTAGAATCTGCCGGATCTCCACCAGGTTGAGCTGCAGCAGGTGTTAGATCCGGGGGAGGGCCGTTGTCGATGGTAGTGCTGTAGTCATCAATACCGAAATCATCGTCTATAGGTATATTCCCACGGTCTTTGGGTGGGAGACTCCAAGCTATACAGTTAACTACTAAGCTAACTACTTCTAACTACTTCTCACCTCAGGATTTTTAATTTCTTTACATTAGTACAATTTTTCTCTATTGCCTACCAGAAAGACAGAGTAAATTCTACGCTGAAACTTGAAAGTCCATTTTATTTTATTAAAGTCCATATTAATCGTATTGTACTATAAAATTGCATTTTTTTGGAATAATAATATTTCTATTATATTTACATAATATTAAGCATATATCTGATTATACCTATTATACTATTTATATTAAATTATCGGGCAATATTGAAAATATTAATTGTAGTAATTGTATGATTGTTCATTTTTTTATTGTAGTTAAAATGTTTTATTTAATGATTTTTAGTCAGGCCATGGACATAAATAATAGGCATGGATACCCCGAAGTCATCTAATAGATAATGAGAAAAAATAACAAATTATAAAAAAGACGACCTAGGATAATGGGGTCGGGTGCAGCCACTGTTATTGATAACAAAATTTATACGATGAACTATTGCTTACGAATAAATGATTATTCCGTGCGGAGTTCAGATAATGATTCTTTGTCAACAATATATGTTATTTTAGAGTAAAACCATAAAATAGGCATTATATTTTTGTTTTAATAATATTTGTTTACTGTTGTACCGATTTTTTTCCGGTTTTTCCAATTTCATGAGAAAACTCTTGAGGAAATCGAAAAATTATCTCTCTAAAGTACCTTTACACACCAATATTATTCGGCTCTTTTAAAAAAATATATTTTTCCTAACGTTATAAAAATATGTGACATTATGTACTAATTTATAAAGTTGAATGTTTAATACAATTTTTTATTTTATGTGAATACTTACTCTGGTTATTTCCACTAAATGTAGCTATTGCTGTACAATATGGTAGCGCATCATTTATATTAGTTATTTCGTTTGTTCCGGAATCAATACAGCATACAGTATTTAAATTAGCTAGAGTAACACTTACTGAATCTATAACATAATCATTTTATCTACATAATTTTACCTAACATCATAGGTAATATGATGTTCGAGTACATAAATTTAAATTTTTAGCTATTCAATTAAAACAGAAACATTATAAAGTAATAAAATAAAACAGTAGTTTTAATTTCATTTACGTACTCGATTCCTGAATAAACAATTTCAATATGATGAACAATTTTAAGCACAATTTAATATTAACGAATTTTAAATCCATCATAATATTATGTTAATATGCTACTAGTTCTTAAATTTAAAGTTGAAACCATATAAAATATAATTTACATTAATATGGAACGACATAGAATTTAGTTTTTAAAAACACGTTAAACACATAATAATTTATTACAAAATGCGTTAAAATCCATATTGTTTAAGAGATAATATGATTAGTGTTACAATATATTTAAATGGCAGTATTTATATTTACCGCACATTTGAACACATGTGAACACTTAAATGAATTTTATTAGTTTGTATTGTGATTGTATTTAGTACAGTATTTACGTAATCAAACACATATAATTATTTAATATAGCTAAAAACATTTTACAAATTAAATACTTTTTATTCTAGTATTAAATTTGATTTATAATGATATTTTATAATGAAAACCGACACAGTTATATTTTGCTATGATTTATGTACCATTTACTATCTTATTGATGTGATTTTTTGTGAATGTTCACAACTAATATGATTATACAAAAAAAATATCTTCCAAATAAAATCATACTTTTTTCAGGAACTCTTTTTTGTGGTTCATAATATAGGGGAATTCAACAAATATAATAACTTTAGTTTTATTTAATATTTTTGATATATTTTTATTTTAAATAATTAGTATACCTCAATGCTACAATTTACATATGAATATTTTCTTTTTAAGCCGAGGACAATTTAATATAAAAAATTTAAAATTTTACTGTAATTTTTTAAAAAGAATTTAAAATAGCCATTTTGTAAAATATATGTTTAGAAAAAATTTGGCTTTTTAAGTTTTTGTCAAAGTATGGTCTTTTATTTTCTAATATACACCCTCTTACCCTGAAAAAAAAAAATGCTCATATATAGAATTTAGCGAAGAGACATATTAATTATTGAAAAAAAAATATTGAATAGAACAGAAGTTATTGCATTTGTCGAATATTCCCTGTATAAGAGAAAATTTTATTAAACCCAATTTATAACTTAAAAGGTAATAATCCGTTTGGACACCAATTTTGTTAAGTTAAACACGTCCATCACCAATACCAATAAATAATAATTATAATTACTTGTTTAGGTACCGCTTATAGTGGCGTAATTTGATGATGTATGTGGGGCGGGGAAGAAATGTTTTTACATTTTACCAAATACCTCCTCCCCCTAAAAAAAATTGTGATTACCGTAAGCACCTTTAGTGCAATAAATGTATAGATGCATGTGATAATGTGTATAATATTGTTAAAGTCTTTATTAATCTAGATAAAATAATCAAATGAGCGTCGTTGATCCGTGATAAAATAATACTTCACTGCTTGGTGGTTTATTATTAAACCAGTACCGTAATACAATATACACAATATATTTGAGCAATATCGCTATAGTGATACCTTCCCAACTTCCCACCTATAAAAACAGTGGCTGCACCCACGTGCGAAATATTTTAATTAAATTATATTATACGTGTTTATTATATTTTGCATTTAAACAATTCGAATACGCTTTTCTTCGACTAAAAGAAAATTTAATAATTTTTTTACCGTTACCGGCCATTAATCATTCGAAAACTTTATAAATGAATTTGTAATACATAATAAAAAGGATAAAAATGCTAGAAATTAACTTAAAAAAAAAAATTGTGATTTATAGATATGAATTTAATATAATTTAAGGAATTTGTTATTATAATCTACCTCTTAAACATATAAAAAAAATGTATTGTTTTTAATTTTTACCGATTTATTTTTTAATACAAATAGGGCCCTAAAAATGTGTAGTTCACAAGGATTCTGTTTCTTTAAATTAGGCCCTGGTTAGGAATGCTCTTTGTGGAGAGCAATGGTGTCAGTTAGATGAGATTCTCATTTGATGATATCTGAACCATCCTTAAGCAATTCCATGTTAACCGTGTGGTGCCGACAGGTTAACACCGACATTCTTTCGTTGTCGTTAGTAATGTTTGCAGAATGCCTTCGGTTTGTCCAGATGATCCCTCGTGATAGTGTTTTAAAATATGATTTGGCAGACTGGTTGGCTTTGTTTCGGTGGCAATTTTAACGATGAATTACGAAAGACGGACTAGAACGATTCCATGACCGTTGCGCTCCTCTGGTGATGATCAGTTGTTCTCGAGTTTGTTATGTTTGGTTTCGTATTTACAAGTTTTGCTGGACAGGTGGTAAAAAGCCAGATGCTACGGACCTGACGGAACCTGACTTTGGAGCGTAATCGATTGTTTCCGCCGCTTGCAGTTTGCTATATAGTCACTGTCGGTATCGATAATGGTTTATCGGGAGCGATAAGGTCAGGCGCAAACATTCCAGATTATCTCTTAGATCTAGCGGTAGGGAGGGGCTGTCGACGGTGCATTGCTGTTATTGCCGTTGTGCCGGCGACAGTCAGTAATACAGTAAATGTTGTCCGTGGCTTGTTGTCTGTCGATCCTATAGCGTGTAATATGAGCGACTATAGATACGTTTTCTTTCAGATTCGAAACGTCATGGAGCGTTAGGTCCTGTGTTTCTGTGGGTTGAAAAAATGGATTGGAACTCCCCGGTATTCATTCTGTTAGCGGTGAAGTGGCGTCAATTTCTAGAGGAGTTACCGCTCTTGTCACAAGTGTTAATACTCCGTCACATCGATATTCACGTAGTTAGAGAAGTGCAGTTGATTGGTTTTGTGGACGCATTCGAGTGAGGGTATGCGGCCTCAGTGTTTTTACGGATAGCGGATAATCTGAAGAGGTTCAATGTTTATTTTATCGGGTGCACGACTAAGGTTGCACCTTGAAATCATCGCAAAGAGACACTAAACTTACCATTCCGTGGCTCGAGTTGTACACGATGTTACTACTGGCCAGACTTTTGTCATACCACCTAGAGCTATTAAGGGATGTAATTAACATTAATAGAATCAGAGTATAGAAGAACTCGACAGTTGCCTTAACATGACTCACTCAAGAGCAAAAGCAATGTAACATTTTCGTGACGAACCGAGTTGCCAAGATTCAAGCGTTATTACCCAGGTGTGAATGAGCTTACGTGACACAACTGACAATACGGCTGCCTCAGCCTTTCGAGGGATGCTATCTCGAGATTTGTTAGCATGTTTGAAGCATATAGCGGGACCGGAATTTTTACGTCAGGAAGATACTTTTTGGACCAGTGATGGCGCAGACGGATATCACGGAACCTGGGGAAGGTTTACTGGAGGTGAAAACGACAACACATGCGTGTTGCACATCCAGGAAGAGGAGGACCCGTGAATGGATCGCTTTTCTTTGATCGCTCAGATACAGCGAGTATTGGGATATTGTCTACGTTTTGTGGAACAAGCTCGAAAATAGATAGGCCAGATAGATAGCATTGGCTTATCGGAGTGACGAACTTCATAATCACAGTAACACGCGGGATCAGTGATAATCTATTGTTATCAGTGATATGAGGGCCTAGTTATGTTTATGTAAGCATACTCAAATTATTTATAAAAATATTGTGTTTTTTTTTTATTGATGTTACGATGAATTTTTATCTATTATTATTTGTATAGGTCGATTGGTCTTTATTTATTAATACAATTGTAATACATATACTAGTAAAAATACATTGTTAGGTGGGCGCTTACATTGTGTCTATGTTTATTATTTTGTTCATTTTGTTTTTTTTTGATAATATTTACATTATTAGTTAGTTATCGTGTAAATTTATTTGTTTTGAATATTATATACAATCCATTTATGATTCATTATGTAGGGTTTTTAGTATTTCCCCAATAGTTACCTACCAGAAATTCATTTTCGTAAGTTTTAAGTGTATTGCTACATGATCAACAGTCACTAACAATAGTGTAGAAATGCTCATATTTAAACATTACAGGTTTAACTTGGGTTGAACTTAGATCTGCTTGTATACGTAACAGTAATTGTTTATCATTTCTATATTATAAATTTAAGAAGTTACGTTACATACGTGTGTATGTATTATATTTGTAAATGTAACTAAATAAAAAGTATTTATAAAGCTAGTATTAAATAATATTGAATATTGAATTTCAAAATGCTTACTAAGTAGTACCTATAAATAGGTACCCAATATAAGGTATTTATGGATAAAAATAGACATAAAACTTATTTTAATAAAATAATTATCCACATGTTAGAATAGTATAAACATGGAAATAAAATAAAAGTTTTTTTTCCTTCTAATAAATTAGAATTAGTGTAATTGAAATATCATACAAAAATCATTGCTCATTTATTAATTTATCAAAACAATATCAGAATTATTTATGAATATAAAATTAGTATTGAATAAGACTTACCTATTTATTGATTAAATTAAATTAAATTACAAGTGCCAAATTCCGTTTATATTCTTCAACGCATGGTAGAAATCTCCAATATTTGAGATTTTCTGTATTTTATGTTATTTATAGCAGCTCACAATTATTTTTATTCGAGTATTATTCACTAGAATCTGCCGGATCTCCACCAGGTTGACCTGCAGCAGGTGTTAGATCCGGGGGAGGGCCGCTGTCGCTAGTAGTACTGTCGTCATCAACACTGGAGTCGTCGTCTGAAGGTATATTCCCACGGTCTTTGGGTGGGAGTCCCCATGCTATACATTTAACTAGTGAGGGTGCTACGAGACCTTTTAAACCAGCGCTAATGCATTGTGTCGCCGGAAAAAGTCCACAGGTACAAGAGCAATTATGATCATCACGATCAATAGATTGTATGAAAGCTCCGGCCATTTTGTATTTAGAGATTAATTGTCCCTATAATAGGATAAATCACAAGTAGATAATTTTTAATAAGTAGGAACAGATTTATATATACAAAAAATTCACAAAAAAAAAAAACGCTTAACAACGTCATAATAGCCTTAAAAAAACCATTAAAAAAATATTTAAAAGACCAATATATGCAGGAGTTTAAAACGTTCCCCATCTATTGTTTCTAACTTATTAAAAATAATTTTTTAACACTACAAAAACCGACTATTAAAAAGTAATTATCTTTAAATATATACAAAACAAAATATATAAATACAAAACTGCTTTGTGTAAATTATCTGTCAGTGTTAGAAAATAGTACTTAATAGGGTTAGAACAGTTAGAATGGGAACCTTAAAACCCTATTACGACTTATTTTTAAGTGCTTTTATGACGATTTAAACGTATTTTTGCGGATTTTATGTACATTTAAATCAGTTTCCTACAGTAGTAAGTATTTAATGTTCTTTAATTTATTTTACATAATATTTACATCTAAGATGTAAAGTCTCACGAAATACAAACATTTGAAATATGAAATTATTTGACTAGAAAATAACATATATGTTGTTGACAAAGCAACAGTATCAACCGAACTCTGGTCAAAATCGTTTTTTCTTTAGACATAATTAGTCGTTGCGTACAGATATACATTAAATTTTCTCTCTACACCTTCCCAACTTCTCACCTACACCAGTGACAAATAATGTTTTTCTTTTAAATATCGATGTATTGACTTAAAATAGTCATATTTTCGTAATATTCTGAAAATTGAAAACTTTCATAATTACCATCTATGGTGGTTTATTATTATTTGTTTAGTTCTGGTGTTAATTAAGTATAAATTGAAGACTGCTATATTTAGGTTTGTGGCTATTTCGAATTTGTTTTGTTTACATATTAACTACTATAACTTAAATTATGACTACTATTTTTTCATTTGTGTACAAATATGATTTAATACAATCCCAAATCAAAATGTGTTCCACTAGAATTTTAATCTAAAACCTGCTATAACTATAAATTCTTATAAATAGACGACATATTTACCTTGTGTACATTTTAAAGTACATGCACGACAAAAAATAACGGGCAAGTGTTTGTTTGGTTAAGTTCGTTATATCGACGATTAGCCGTCATACCATGATGATACTATAAGAAAGTAAATCAAAAAGGCAACAAAAAAGGTATCTTGTGATTTTTCGATTAAACCATTTTTTCTGGTAGAAAACGTCGTCCATGTTTTTTATAAAGTTTTTAAATAATGAAATCGTGAAATTGTACGTTTTCCCACGTTTTTTCCTACTGTGCTTTTAAGTGTGCTCCTAAGTGCTTTTATTTAAAAAATGGCGTCAAAAATAAAAAAATTACCTGTTTAAAGTACAATCTAAACAACTTGGAAAAAATTGCTATACGTACTAATTGGAGCAAGTTTACTAGTAAAATACATGTACATAAACTAGACAAAATAAACAGCACTGTAAACCCAATAGCTCCCTCACTACGCTTGGAATTTAAAAATGATTCTGAACTATTTTATTGGGAGTTCATTGAATTGTATAGAAAAACTGTTGGGAATCTAGAAATTGTTTTTAAATAAAGTAGCGCCTAGGGGAAAATCGTTTAGAGAGCACAATTAAAATAATGTGAGTATATTAACTAACCAACAATTTTTTTTCGAAAAAAATAAAAACATACACATGATAGTCAAACTAATAGCTTCTTGGCTACACTTAGAAAATTGATAAAATTCGAACGAATATGAGGGGAAAATACGTTTAAAAATATAATATGATCCACTTATCATGGACCATCAATTTTCTTAGAGGCTTTAAGCCTCTAAGTCATATAATTAAGTCATATGATCGTCAAATCCGTTGGATTAAACATTATCATCTATCGCTAATCAAAATTGTTGTAAACACTAACACAAGCCAGCACAAAAATCATGGTTGTCATCAGAAATGTATTAGTGTCAATAACTATACTGGCGCTTTCCGATCACGGGCTTATTATTTTTGATTTCCGTTATTCCGATTTCATATTAACAGTTTTTTACGTTGCGTGGGCTATCTATGTATATTTAATTAATGATCGTATCTAGTTTAAATTTATTGGTATACACATGATCATACGCAGTGCTATGTGTAATTAGATTATTTTGGATTTCGGCTTGGACAACGTCGCGTTTTATCTCTACTATAATAGGTACATGACGACTGCTTTTACACGCACTTGCCACTTTATGCGTATCAGCGTATTGTATTATGGTACTTCCATGAAACTATATGCACATGGTACGTCAAAATTAAAATTGAAATTTTACGTTGTTATTATTTTCTAAATTTAGTGGTTGTCAATTGAATAATACAATTTTCATAAATTTAAAATAAAGTTGTAATTTTCCTTTCCTTCAATTTTACGCAGGGGGTGTGATCGTCCTTCTGTCTGAATAACGAGCCACCACTGTTTTAGACCTTTTAAAATGTTTAGAAAAATGTCCTCTATTTCAATCTGGGTTTAAAAAATGTATTACTATTGAAAAAAGCTTAAACGATTCCATAATGATTGAAAAAAATTTAGATCTTTTGTTGAAGAACGTTGAACCAGTATCATTTAATACGGTTACTTATTATTTATTGAACTTAATAAATATTGCTAGAGAAAATTTAATTTTGAAATAAATTGTTTTACAATGAAAAATAAATTGAGTTCTTACTTTTTCGTAGAAACCATTCAAAATTTCTGAACAATATTTTGACCGTTTCGAACTGGGGTCATGTGAACACAACTGAAAAAAAAAACCTATTAGTAAATAATCTGATTTTTATTAAATATACAATTATTATAATTTAGTTATTTGATTTATTATGTATTTATATTATCTAATAAAAACGTATACTAAGGAAGATTGAATATTTATTATAGATATGTACGATATTTGATGGCACATCAATTGATTCAAGAAGTATTGTTTGGTAACATATCCTGGACGTTTAGTCAGGTACAGAAATATTCAACAAAATTTAGTCCGGTGCAAAAATATCCAGTGACATTTAATCAGTGGCACCTAAAATATATATTTCAGGGGTAGGAAGAAATAATTTTACCCACCCTCCCACCCTCTAAAAAATTCAAAATTATATTATTTTATCATATTTTAATTGATAATACTAGTAAATGTTAAGGTACCTACCAATATAATTTGTGTTTTGTCAGAATAAGGTGTATTTATTTTTAAATAGATATTATACATACCAATTGTAACAGGCATTATATTTTTTAAATTTATTAAAACCTTCAAAATAAAAATATTTAAAAAATCTTGCAAAACAGCTTACCTTATTCATCAATGTTAATTATAATATAAAGTGCGGTTGTAGTAACAATATTATTTTATGTTTAATAACTAGTTATATCATAAGTACTAATACATATACTACATGTAAATAATACATGTATGACTGTTTTGACTATTCGTTTATTCATGAATTAGAAGTAATAGTTTACACTTTAATGATTAAAATTAAAATGTAATATTTTTAATCAACGATAATAATTTTAGATTAAATTTATCAATTACACGTGTGTTATCAATATCTTGCTTACAATTTATTCTCATCAGTGATTCTAGTCTATCATTGGACATGGTAGAACGAAGTCTGTTTTTAATAATTTTAAGTTTGGAAAAACTTCTTTCCATCACTACACTTTCCACAGGTAATGTAAATGCAATTTTGTACATGGTGAACGAACATAGTTGGACACATAATTTTAAGAGAACCGTGATTGCAAAATAATCAGAAATAAAAAGTTTATTGTACTTAAGAAATATTAAAATACCTATACATATCAGTTAATATAATATTAATCAATTAACAAACTATTCTTTTAAAATATTTCTATTTTTGAGTTATTTGATGAAGTATTGTTGTTGCCAATAAACCTTTCTGTTAACTGAGTTATTATACAGCCCAAAGCTGAAAAGTATGTGTAAATTTTGAAATATTGTATAGGATGAATTACTTCATCTCTAATGTTTTCATTGGCCATTTGTCTTAGCTTATAAGATCTTTGTTGAGGTAAAGGTTCAAAATCGGAACCACTATCTATAATGAACTTTTTTGTTTGATCAGTGATTTCATTAAATAATTAATTTGTTCGAAGTTAATTTAAGGATTCCGAATTGTCTTCTATCAACACGGTAGCACAGTAAATATCAAAATCTGGATTTTGGAAGTGTTGAGATGCTTTACCTAAAATTTTAAACATACTTTCAAAGCTATAAGCTATTAACAAAAATATTTCAGATGTAAAGTATTTAAGTAAACCACCAGCAGTGATACCATATCGTCTGTCCTCTGGTTCTATATCTCTAATAACTTGAAGTGTTTCAATCAAAGCATTAAATGTTTTGAATACAGTGCATAATGCATAGTAATGTGACATCCAACGTGTAGTAGTAATTCTTTTAATTCTTCTTATTAGTAATTTTGGATTAATTTTTTTTTGATTTTTTCGTATAAAGAAATTTTTTTTTGATCGAACAAATAAAATCAAAAATTTCTTCCAAATTTCCAAATAAATCCGTAGAATTGTTACTCGAGGAAACAGCATCAATAACTACTAGGTTTAATATATGGGCCCAGCATCATACACTTGCATTCTGATTTTTAATAATTGATTGTAAACCAGTACATTGTCCAAGTATACTTGCTGCTCCATCATAAGCTTGCCCGACTAAATCATTTTTCCTATCAAGATTGTGATTAGTACAGACACTACAGAAAAGTTCAGCTAAATCCACCCCTTGTGTGTTCGAAGATTCTTTTAAAGCAATAAAGTGTTCCGTGGCAATATCGTTTTGAACATATCTAATGACATAGGAAACTTGTTTTTTTCTCAATATGTCAAAATCACTGTTAATTGATATGCTAAAAAACCTAGTACAAACTATTTCTTCATCTATGAATATTGCATACATTCAGAAATTATATTAATTAACAAATTGTGTTTACTCCAAGAGATAAATGAACATTTACTTTTGTGTTTTTGTATTTTAATTTCAGTAATATACTGAGCCATAATAGGTGAATATTTGGAAATAAGTATAATGAGATCTTTAAAGTTTCCTTTGTTTTGTTCATACCATCCTTCACGAAACACTAATCTATGTCTACCAAGGTATAACGTAATATTAATTAATTGTTTCACAATTTCACAATTTGTTGACACTTTTTTACAATATTGCAATGAAGGAATTATTGGTAAAAATGACTGTCTTAATAAAATTGAACTTGCTATGTGATTTTTAGTACATTCTGATGTTCTGATACCATTTAATCTTCTAGACCATACGTTGAAACTATTTTTCGTTCATGCAGTATTTGGTTGGTTATCAAAAGAAGAAAAAAATATACAATAAATATGGTCATTGGTAATAGAATAGCTAAATTAATTTCTATTTTCTACACTTTTTCCATCTGGAAGAATTTTGTTATACTATTCGGAATGAAATCTTCTACCTTTTATATTTATTTGAAATTGCTTTTTACTATGAAAGTCAACAGTAGGTTGTGATAGACTTATTTCTAATATTTTGTTAATCAATTCATAATTTGATATTTTAGTAAACATAGTTTGGGTGGATCATTGTCTAATGTCATTATATTAGTATCTATTTTATGACTTAAAATATGAAAAAACATACTTGGCTAAAATAGTTTTATGGTAAATATATATCTTCATATATAAACACATCGTTTTATATTAACCTTCGTCGTATCATATTGCCCATGTGAAATTATTTTGAAATACTCATAATTTATTAAAAAGGTATGTTTATGATATAGGTATTGTAAATTTAAAAAAGAGTTGATACTGAAGTTGTAGGTGAGAAGTTGGGACGGTAGGATACAAAGGTTATTTCATTTATATCTGTAAGCAACGATAAACCACTGCTTAACAAAAGACGATTTCGAGCGCAATAATACATAATTTTTGAGATTTTTATTTAAATTTGATTTTAAAACACGCTTATTAAGAAACAAAAAAAGTTGTTCGATGATTTTAGACATTTTACTACGTTTAGGTAAGTCCAATATAAGTATTACGAGGTGTGGCTATTAAATAACGAGACTGCTCGTCTAGAGGGCGCCCTAGATGGGTAGTGAAAAGAACGAGTAATGCGTTGGGTATCTAGATATCTTATCTATGTACGTACCAAAACACGTTTTCGTCACTATTATAGTCTTTGTGCAGTAGTGGTTTGAAACGAACGTGTTTTTTTTCGTGCCGAAAACCATGTGTGACGAAAAACAGGAGCAACGTATCCATCTCAAATTTCTCGTTAAATTGAAAAAAACTCCAACCGAGTGCTATAAATTGTTGCAAGAGGCCTATAGAGGCAATTCTCTATCTCGTGCACGTGTTTTTGAGTGGTATAAGTGCTTCAGTGAGGGTCGAGAGAGCACTGAAGATGACCAGTGCCCAGGTTGCCCTGTCACTGTTTCAACTCCGGAAACAGTGACCAAAATCAACCAAATTGTGCGTGCAGATCGTCGAATGAGCATCCGGATGATTGCCGAGGCTGTAAACGCCGATAAAGAAACGGTTAGAAAAATTTTACATGAGGAATTACATATGACAAAAGTCTGTGCGAAGTTGGTGCCAAAAAACCTGACTCCTGACCAAAAGTTCTTGCGTCAACAGGTCTGCTCAGATTTCCTTGAAAAGTTAAAAGAAGATCCCGGACTGATGAAAAACATTATAACTTGCGACGAAACATGGATTTTTCAATACGATGTTGAAACAAAGCGACAATCGATGCATTGGAAGACACCTGAATCGCCCAGAATCAAAAAAGCAAGGATGTCCAAATCAAAATTTAAGGCAATGTTGATCGTTTTTTTTGACATTAACGGTATCGTGATGACTGAATGGGTTCCAGAGGGTTAGACTGTCAACCAGATATACTATTTATCAGTTTTGGCAACACTGCGAGAAAGAGTCCGTAAGAAACGGCCCGAGTTGTGGAAGAACAACTCGTGAGTTTTGCACCAGGACAACGCACCTGCCCATAACGCGCTATCTGTGAAGCAGTATTTGGCCGGTAAGCGCACTCCAGTGCTTGAACACGCGCCGTACTCGTCAGATTTGGCACCGTGCGACTTTTTTTTGTTTCCAAAGATAAAATCTGCTTTGAAAGGGACCTGATTTGAGTCGATAGAAGCGGTAAAGCAAAAAACGGCAGAGCTCCTAAAGGCCCTTACCAAAGAAGACTTCCAGCACTGCTTTGATCAATGGAAAAAACGTATGGAAAGGTGTGTGGCGAGGGAAGGGAAGTATATTGAAGGGGAACATTTGAATGTAGAATAATTTTTATAATAAAACATTTTTTCGTAACCAGTCTCGTTATTTAATAGCCACACCTCGTATTACCAAGTTTCAAGTCTCTACGTATATTTATAACCAAATTACAAAAACTCCCGAAAATTAAAATTCCTTAAAAGCTTAAAAGTTTTGGCGATGACACCGTTAGAAAGTACATCAAAAAGGCACCTAAAAAGATAACTTGTGATTTTTCGACTAAACCATTTTTTCTAATAGAAAATGTCGTCCGTGTTTTTATAAAATAATGAAGTCGTGAAATTGTATGGTTTCCCACGTTTTTTCCTATTTAAATAGGAATTTTATTTAAATAATGGCGCTGAAAGTCAATACCTACCATCTAGACAACTTGATATTTTGGAAAAGTTGCTACACGTAAAAATCGGAGCAAGCTTACTAAGAAAAAACGTGTCCACAGACTAGAACAAAGGAAAAAAATAAAGAAAATAAACATCTTAGTAAAACCAATAGCTCTCATGCTACGTTCGGAATCTAAAAGGGAAAAGTAGTTTTTGTTTATCCTGAAAAGTTGTTAAAATGTAACATAGATCCCTTTTAACAAATGCCTATTCAATTTCAAAATTAAATATACCTGCAACTTGTGGAATTGAGTTAACTGGAACCTTCGGCTATGGCATTACTATAGTCTGGTTTACAAATATCCACATTGTCATTTTTCTTATAATCTGTTGGCTTTAATACTAGGTCATTAACTCCAGAATCGACCACTGTATAAATTTCTAAGTATAAAATGTTATGTTAAAATGATTTCATAATTCAACAATAAACAAATAAAATACCAATCACCATTAATATATTTATTTCATTAATATTATTTGTTTATTAATATCAACTTTTACAAATATTCATTATTGGTAAATTAATCATAGTACAAAAATTGAAAACTAATTTTATTTTAAAAAGTTTTAATATTAAGTTATACTTTTTAATGGTACCAATATAATTTACCTTCCATAATAATGTTTTTATTGCATCCAATTGTAAAATAAGAAGTAATATTAGTATTATTTGATTTAATTTTTGATGATTGACAGGTATCTAAATGTCGCATCCAGTTAGTATCATTGATTTTTTTTGTTTTTAGTTTTCAGCAAATACACTTTTCAACCATCTTGAATGACGTCAAAGATGAAATTTATAAAATATTTATAAAAAAAAACACGTAACTATTTACTAGGTATTTATTTAAAAAAAAATGACAATTAATATCTACCTATAAAATAAAAATTAAAAATTGACATATTTAACTAACTATTGGTAATATTTAATACTCTAATTAATATTACAATAATTGTAGGTACTTACTAATTTAGTGATTTAAATTGAAAGAAAAAAGGCAACTGGACGGTACAAACTAGATAAATCAGTTGATTTTATTTATTCTAAGCACGTTTAATAGTCAATACTCAATACTCGAGTGAACGGTATGAAATTAGACAGAACAATAAATTAATAAACAGACAAACAGTTCATACGTTTGCAAATATAAACAGAAACACTATCACTGTCACTATGAAATGGAAATATTATAAGGAATGACTGTAATAATATTGTAAAACTTGAGTTTATTTTGGTTATGTTTTGTGGCATCGTCGCCGTTCGATGACGACGATAATAACGTCGATAACGATATTAATTAATAATTATAATAATATTATTATAGTACGCTAGGCACTAGGCAGACTGCATTTGGTCGGCCGTCGCCCGTCTGTGTCATCGCTGTTTTTCGGTATGCAATAAAAATATAATGATACATTTCCGTCGGGCATCGAACACAGGTAGGTTTATTTCTTTTTCGCCTTTACCAACAATTACTGAAGTGACCATCAGTCACCCAGTCAGTGGCGTGGCGCAGCATTAGTAATGAATATATTTCAAGTAATTTATATTATGTTATTATACTCATCCTGCATCTACCTCTTATTTTCAAGGTTTAGCGACTGCTACACCTAGTTATAGGGTTGGGCCCCAGTGATTCGTATACAATTATTACTATCCGATATTATGAGGTGTTTGACATCTTTAGCTTAATAGCCATTAAGAACCTGCGTTAACCCACTAGTATAATCAGTGGCGTCATTTGCAGGATGCAAGAGTATGCTAATATTGATTTGTTATAACACATTTAAAATGTGTAGATAGCTTAATTGAGTTTATAGGATAAAACAATCATTTTGTAATTTGATTAAGTTTAAGGGATTTTATTACAATATTTTAGCGATTTAGGTATTAAATATTGATTTATTATCTATGGATTATTACCGATATTAGTGACTGAGGCCAACATTTTTCTTGATACCTTTGTATCAATCCGTGGAGATTATTATGGTAAAATAATAAAATAGGCATTATATAATTACATAAATACATAAATATACATTTTCTTTAATAATAATTGTTTAATATTGTATTGATTTTCCTGTTTTTCCTAAGTTTTTCCCAATTTCCCCATGTTTTTTTTCCAGTTTTTCACATTTGCTGGGAAAAAATTGCCTGCTTAAAGTACTTTCCCAGTTAGATTTATTTTCAGAAAAAGTGCTATCATTGTAAATAGGAGTAAAATTGTTGGTAGAAAAGTTATCCACATTTTCCCGTTTTCCTCAGTTTTTTTTTTGATTTTTCACATTTAATGAGAAAACTTCTGAGAAAATTGAAAAATGTCCACCCTTAAGTACCACTCCAAGAAACTTTCCTTTCAGAAAAGGGTTTATATCGTATACATCGGAGTAAGCTTTCCTGTAGAAAAAATGTTTACATGAAAAAAAAATAAACATTTGTAAAACTAATAAATTCTTCGCTACACTCAGAATCTAAAATATAATTATGATCTTTACATTTTTTCATATTTCTATGTATTTAAAAATATGATATTTAGTGTAAAACAAAATTACTTTGTAATCATACAAGGTGGGCTGGCCGAAGTTTGGGAAGATTTTAGAATGTGCCGTGGCCCACCCTGGCTCACTCCTGGTACTGCCACTAATAAACATATTATTGTTATTACTTTTTTTTAGAAAATAATATATCATATTTTAAAATTTCCTCATATAATTTATAAATGCAACATTATATCTATGCCTAGTCTAATTAATACTCATAAAAAAAAAGAAATTAAACTCAAGAATAAGTAACTTGATAGCATCCACGTGGTAAACATATTTACACTAATAATAACACCAATTCAAATAATATTTTCTTGGATTATTAAAAAACACGTCCATACCTCATCATCACTATTTTGAAATGAGACTTTATTCATATGCCTTCTAAAACAAAAAACTACTCCTAGGGTATGCAAGTGCATATTTTGTATATTCTGTGCCCAAACATAAAAGTAGAATATCTTGTTAACGGATTGACGGAAACTAAAAATGTCCCCATCAAAATGTATTCGGTATAATAAATACATATCGAGTATGCTTGCGTTTGGTACTTTGGTTTAATGTGCACCAAAAATTATAGTAACTAAATTAAAGCGATAAAGGTTTTTCGGCACGTTTAAATTATAACATTAATGCATTATAGTACTTACATTTGAGTATGATATGTCATTCTTGGTATTAGAATGCCACCAGTTAACAGTATTTACAATAACACGTATATCCAATAGGCATTTTTTTAAATCATATCCTAAAGTCATTAACATTTTTAAAGTAAAATCCTGAAAGTAAAATATTAACAATTATTAATCTAAAAGTAGTAATGATAGAAAATACAAAAATAAATTATTGTTCATTTTTAATAATTTTATTTGATATTTTAATCAATTACAAATTAAATATGTATCACACGTAAACGAAATTTGTTGTCTGGCTATAACAAAGTAACAGACGAAGATTGGGAGTTAGCCCCTCCTAAAATTATTAAAAAAATAAATACATAGTTATTTTAGCCCTCAAAAATTATATTGTTATTACTTATTACTTGGGAGCATAGATATATATACATAATAGACTAGATTGCTAACTAGTGATAACATAAGAAATTTAGTTTCGCCATTTAATTTGATGTCGGAACAACAGATATATTATCAATTGATAATTTTTAATCACATTATCACAATATTATTCATGACTATTATTGGTTTTTAATTTTTTGTAATATGTACTTTTTTCTTTGTATTCCTTCATTTTATTTTTATATTCAGTCGCTTTTTAAATTTTGACTGTGATATAAATAATGATGAATTTTTAATTCGAATCTGGTCGTATAATACACTTAAAATAATACTCTAGGTGACACATTTATTAATTTATTAATTTTTTATTTATATATTTATTTACGACACTAAATAATAGATACTGTGACCTTAGTATAAATAAGATGAGAAATATAGAGATGTGTAGTTGCTATGGATTATGGATATAAAAAATATGTATTTGTAAATATAACAAAAATTAACAAATAAATGATACATTAATTTGAATACATTATTGTTTTATTGAAATTAACAAGCAAGCAAATGAAATAAACTTACAAAAACAATTTTGTTTTATAACATGCGCTTTATTTTATTATTTTTACAATCATTAAGCATTGTATTAATCATATTATTATTGTTATAAAAGTATCTACCAATAATGAATGTTTCTTTTTTGATAATTATTTACTGATGTAAAAAAAATGATGAACGTTTTAATAAAACGTAAAGCTTAACTAAATTTAAGATATAAAACTAAAAAAGGTAAGATAATGGGGACAGGTGCAGCCACTGATGTAGGTGGGAAGTTGGGAATGTAGGATATAGACGGGAATTTAAGCATGAATCTGTAAGCATCGATAAACCATTGCTTACGAAAAAATGATTCTGAGCGGAGTTCAGTTTATAGTGTTGCTTTGTTATTAATATATATATGCCATTTTAAAGTAAAATAATTAAATAGGCTTTATATATTTTCTTAAATAAAATTTGTATAATGTTGTACGGATTTACCAAATTTTCTTATGTTTTCCCATGTTTTATCCTGGTTTTTCTTTTTTTTTTCATTTGCTGAAAAAACTATTTGAAAAACAAAAAAGGACCTCTTTAGTAGCTTGCTAGTGAAATGTCCTTTTAAAAAAGATACTATACGTAGAAATCCGAGCAACTTTTCTACCAGAAAACTTGCGCACAGATAAAAAAAAGAAAACAGTAAACATTTTTGTAAAACCATAAGATTCTTCGCTCTACTTAGAAATGAAATATTCTAATTTTTAAATTAATATTTTGATTATATTACAATTTACAATACAAAAAATAAATAAATAATAACTGATAAGGCGTTCCGGCCTCGATTTAAATAGCGGATGTTGACTTCAACGTAATACACAGACTATACAGGCTATCTAGCAATCTAGTTTATTATATATATCTATGCTTGGGGGAGTAAAAAGTGTAGACAACACAGTATAGAAAAAATTCTTTACAAAAGGCGATCGTACTAGACATAAATTCATTCTCGGTCCTTTTATTCAACAGCGTTTACAAAAATTACCTATTACTTATACAAATAAACTCATAGATCAATCTATTAATCTATTAAATGTTATATATTTTGTGATGAAAACAAAAATGAATACACTTAATAAAACTACCGCCTTTAAAACTGTTAATATTTTGTTGTTGGGGTCATTCGGGTCATTCACCCCCCTTCCCCCTGTAAATGCGTTACTGACTTATTGTGCGAAGTGTGTTCGTCTTTTTAAAATGTTATAGTTTTTTGAAAAAAACTGTTCTAATTAAAGTTTTTTATCAGTTTATAATAATATTACAAACAAAATTATCTTACAAGATTATTTGACGGATCAACAGTGCGCATGTCTTCTTGATGAGTATGCCTTATAGGAAATCGTTTTTTGCATTTTTTATAACCAATGGATTTAACTAAATAAACATCAACAACGTTGTCTATAACAGAAACATCAAACCCTAAAAACAAACATATATTAATGATTAACATTAGGTAGATTATAATAATGGGGGATATCGATTCCGCAGTTTTAATATTAGTTCCGCCGACTATCGAATCCGATTATACAATCAACATAAACAAGTTAGAAACTTTGAACACTGAAGTTTGTTGAATAATTAGAGAAGAAACTGACTCACTAACTGGTTCATAGAGAAGAATTTTTGAAAATTCCATCCATAAAATATGTAAAGTAGGGATGAAAATCAAAATGTTTGAAAACGGGAGGCACTAAATTGGACCGAAATATACAATGTCTATACACACTTAACTGTACAGACATATAAAAATGAACAAACTCGCAGGTAATACAAATAGTGTTATATATTATGATATATATTTTACTCAATTGGATATAGTGTATTATCGCGTTCCATATGCCATATTTGCGTAATCTGTATAATAAATAAAAGATGTCTTAGGATAATGGAGATGGGTGCAGACATTGTTATAGGTAATTTAATGTATATCTGTAAGCAACGATAAACCATTGCTAACGAAAAAAACAATTTTGAGCGCAGTTCAGTAGATAGTGATGCTTTGTCAACAATATACAGGATGATTTTTTTGAAAATGCCCTAAATAATACTCCATTTATTAAGGGCATTTAAATATAGGTTGCTATTTGAAAATCAAAAGTGGGTAGTCGTTTCACTGCCAAAAATAAGGGGCATAAAAAAAAAAAAAAAAAAATGATATAACATTTTAGAAATATTTATTTTTTAATTTAACAGAAAAAAAAATTCGATAAAAGTCAATACTTTTTGAAATAATGAGTGTTGTTTGATAAAAAAATCACTCTGTATAATATTTGTCATATTATGATAAAACAATTAAATAGGCATTATATATTTTATATAATAATACTTGTTTAAAATATACCGATTTTCTCGTTTTTCATGGTTTTACCATGTTTTTCCCGGTTTTTCACATTTGTTGAGAAAATTCCAGAAACAATTGAAAAACGACCTCCCTAAAGTACCTCCCCAGTGAAACTTTCTTTTAGAAAAAGTTCGATCATCGTAAATCGAAACAAAATTGCTGATAGAAAAGTTGTATACAGTAAAAAAATAATATAATCCGTACATTTTCTTGTTTTTTGCGATTTTTTCCAGATATTATGAAAAACCACTTGGAAAATCAAAAAGTTTTCCCTAAATTACCATGGAAATAAAATTTCCTTTCAGAAAATAAACTATACACACTTCATTCATCAAAGCAAGATTTCTGGTAGAAAAGTTTGCACAACAAATTGAGGGGTATTTTGCGAAAAGGAAAAAATTAATGCAAATAATATTTTTTGAAACACGGTTTTGAACTCGTGTACCCTAGGATGATAATTAGGTATGTATATCCATTCGGTTACGACAAACATAATTTAATGAAGACACTATAGAGTTATTTAACATAACATATAATATCCGTAAATATCAAAACTTTAAACAGCTATAATTTCGAAACTTAATAATTCAGTTCAATTCTGACTTCACAATCATTCTTAAATCGGCAATATACATATGATCAAATATAATTAAAAAATTAGATTTGTTCCACATAATTTTTTATTCGATCTATTTTTGTCAAAATTTGATATTAAAATGTCTGTATAAAAAAGAGCAATGCATTAAACTCATAATTTTTTTTTTTTACCATAATGTAAGACTTTTAAAGCATTATTGTTCAGTCTAACAATTTTACTACAGAGTACCTACCGAATAAAAAATAGCTCAAAAATAGCTTAAATTTTTTGAAAATCTTACCACGTCTAAAAAAGGCAAATATAATTTTTCTGCCCAAATTTTAATTTTTAACTGAATTACAACAAAAATATTAGATTTTCTATAAAAAGCTTTAAAATGTCTCAAATTTATAATTTCATTGCTTTAAATGAAGAGTATCGTATAAGAAAAAATGAGGAATGAAAAACGAAGAACAAGTATGGCCGTAAGTGGAAAATAATTTTAGTAGGAGGAAGGTGATGTAAACTATAAATATGTGGTGTTTTCATTTTATTAAAAAACCCGAAATCCTCTTAAGATAGGACCTTATGTATAAGATTACCTTTTTTTAAATATTTTTCTTCTTTAGGAAGGAACAGTCCAAATAATTTGTCTGGAAAATTTGATTTCAATTTTGTAAAGAAATCTACAAGGTGGTCTTGAAAACTATCTTTATTTTTCCTCGACCAATACGATTCCTAATAATTAACAAGGAAGATAAATTTTTAATTTTTAAAAATTAATTGAATATTAAAAAAAATATTTACCGGTGCAAAGTGATCAAAAATCATTACGTCTATTTTATCATCGTTTATTAATGATACTAGTTCGTTTACAAATTTGCTAACGTGTTTTGGTTTTATACTTTTTTTCATTTTTGAGTGCCCTTGATTATCATATATATAAACATATGGGAGATTTCCTCTTAGTATAGTTATGTCATTCTGGGTTGCTAAAAAAGACAAATTATTGCATTAATCAAATTGAATTATAAAATTATAATCATATTTAATGTAAAATGAAAACTGTACAATTTGTGGCATTACGATTTCATTATTTTAAATTTTTGCACTTTGTTTTTCTACTAGAAATATTCCTCCAATAAAAAAATGACGACAAGAAATCATTATTGTTGAATTTTTATTCCTGTTGGTGAATAAGAAAGTTGTTTTTTGATTTTTTATTGGTTTTTTTAATAATTGTATTATAGCTTTTTAAAACCTGTAAACCGATCTTCGTTCCGAAACGTTTTTTGGTTAACAATTGTTTACTATATGTATAAATGGTTTTTTATAATAAAATACACGGAGAATTAAAATTTCAAATCCCATTTCTCTTCAATCACAATTGTGACATTGACCCTTTTTGCACCAAGGTTGGTTCCACACCTTTTATTATTTTCAATTTTTTTTTTGTAATTAAGTTTAAATTAATTTTTAATTCACAGAAAACTCATATTTGTATTTTTTAGACGTGGCAAAATGTTTGAAACATCTAATCCGTTTGAGGTATTGCAGATAGACATTTTAATTTTTCGATGTTTTTTACGTAATTTTTATTCGGTAGGTTACCTAGTTACTACTCTGTTGATAAAATGTTTGGACCAAACAGAAATACTTTAAAATTTAACAGGATGTTCATTATAAGCCGTACTTAATAGTAAAAAAAAAGTTGAGTGTTATTTAGTTTTTTTAAAAGTTTTTTAAATCAAATTTCGATGAAAACTTTAAAATTTAAATAATATTTTAGTTTTTTAAAACATGTTAACCGAAATTTATTTCGAAACTTTTTTTGCTAGCAATGGTTTTTCGTTACTTACAGTTATATATTAAACAACATCATGTATCCTACAATTCCAACTTCCCACTTACAATAGTAAAAACCCGTCCCCAGGATAAGATTTTTTATAAAAAAATATTTTCTTTAAGACAGAATAATGGCTACAAATTACAACATTGAATAATGTGAATAAAATATTTACTGGCTAGGTAAAATATCTCGAACAATTTGACATATCTAAGGTGTCGTATACAGGACTTCGAAACATTAGTATATGAAACCTATTGTTCTTTCCAAAAGGAAATAAGCCACAATTTATTCACATAAAACAAAGGAAATTTGATATTTTGAAATTTCAATAGCAACCTCGTCAGTGTTTTGAATTATTATACAGGTTTTTCACGATTATCTTGAAAAAACTTTTGTTCTATTTAGTATATTTGATGTATATTTTTTTTAAATAATAAGTAAGCCTCTGTGCTACAGTTTATATTTGCACTTTTTTTTTTACAGCAGGGACTTAAAATAAAAAAATGTAAAATTTTACTAAAACTTTTTTTAAAAAATTCAAAACAGTTATTTTGTAAAATAGATTTTTAGAAAATTGTTGGTGATTGAAACTTTTGTTTATAAGTATGATTTTTTATTTTCTACAATTTTATGACCATTTTAATAATTTTCTTTTCAACCATAACAATATTGTTTATCAACATAAATGACCATTATAAATTTAATTTTTCAATACTCATTAACTATAATAAGGTAATATTATTGCATGGTATTAGCTCATGGAATAGTAAATCCTCGTCATGTACCCCGACTAATAACTGATTAAATATTGTAGAAGAATAATCTTTACTATAGGTAATATTCACATTTGCAAAAACTTCAAAAAATCGTATAAAACGACCATACTTTTACAAAAGTTTCAATCACCAAACATTTTCTAAAAAACTATTTTTCAAAATTTTAATTAGTATTAAAAATTTTTTATTTTAACACCCCCTCCCCTTAAAATTATTCAAATATAAACTGTAGCGCAGAGGCATACTCATTATTTCAAAAAAAAAATATATATATCAAAATATTGAACAGAACAAAAGTTATTTCAAGTGGTAGATCATAGTGGGACACCCTAGATATTATTAAAGACAGATGTGCCAAAGCATCATAGGTATAATTTAGTTAATATCAGTATGCAACGATGAATCATTATAAACAAAGAACAATTTTGATTGGAGTTTGAAATTTTGATTAAAAAAAAAAGTCGTAAATTCAGATTTTAATATTTATTTTGGCCATAAAAACCAGGAAATAAAATCGTGTAAGAAAATTTCGTTTTTTGACTTAAAAAACGATTTAATTTGTTCCGTGAAGTGGTTCCACGTTTTTTCAAATCGTTTTCACTCCCCGATAAGAACAGCTTTTAATGAACTTTGAATCAAATTTCTAAGCATATTTAAGGAACCAAAAAAATGTTTTCATCAAAATTGAAAATAACAGAATTTCTTAATGATTCATTAATCATATTATATTATAAATTTTATTTTTTGGGAATAACAATATTCCTAATATTAAATTATCGGGCAATATTGATAATATTAATTGCAGTGTATCATGAATATTTATTTTTCTATTGTACCTAGTCAATATTTTTATTTAATAACTTTTAGTCAGGCCATGGAATAAATTATAGGTCGGGCTACCTCGAAGTCGTCTTAGACAGATAAAGGGAAAAAATAGCAAATTATAAAAAGTGAACATATACTCAATATTATTAAGCAGTTTAAAAAAAATATATTTTTCCTAACGTTATACAAATATATGTGACATTATATACTGATTTATAAAGTTTAACGTTTAATACAATTTTTTATTTTATGTAAATACTTACTCTGGTCATTTCCACTAAATGTAGCTATTGCTGTACAATATGGTAACGCATCATTTATATTAGTTATTTCGTTTGTTCCGGTATCAATACAGCATATAGTATTTAAATTAGCTAGAGTAACACTTGCTGAATCTATAACATAAACATTTTATCTACATAATTTTACCTAACATCATAGGTAATATGATGTTCGAGTACATAAATTTACATTTTTAGCTATTCAATTAAAACAGAAACATTACAAAGTAATAAAATAAAACAGTAGATTTAATTTCATTTACGTACTCGATTCCTGAATAAACAATTTCAATATGATGAACAATTTTAAGCACAATTTAATATTAACGAATTTTAAATCCATCATAATATTATGTTAATATGCTACTAGTTCTTAAATTTAAAGTTGAAACCATATAAAATATAATTTACATTAATATGGAACGACAAAGATTTTAATTTTTAAAAACACGTTACACATATAATAAATTATTACAAAATGCGTTAAAATCCATATTGTTTAAGAGACAATATGATTAGTGTTACAATATATTTAAATGACAGTATTTATATTTATGTACACCGCACATCTGAACACTTGTGAATACTTAAATGACTTTTATTAGTTTGTATTATGATTGTATTTTGTACAGTATTTACGTAATCAACATATTTAATTATTTAATATAGTTAAAAACATTTTACAAATTAAATACTTTTTATTCTAGTATTAAATTTGATTTATAATGATTTTTATATTAAAAACCGACACATTTATATTTTGCTATGATTTATATTCCTATTATTTACCATCTTATTAATGTGATTTTTTGTGAATGTTCACCGGCACATTTAATATAATTATACAAATAAAATGTCTTCTTAATAAAATCCTACATTTTCCAAGAACTCTCTTTTGGTTCATACTATATGGGGTGTACCACGAGAATTCGAAAAATGCAAAACTTTTGTTTTATTTTATATTTTATATATATTTTTATTTTAAACAATTAGTATACTTTAATGCTACAATTTACATATGAATATTTTCATTTTTGGGAGGGGGTTTAAATTAAAAAATTTTAAATTTTACTGTAATTTTTTGAAAAAAAATTTAAAATAGCAATTTTGTAAAATAGATTTTTAGAAAATTTTCGGTGGTTAAAACTTTTGTTAAATATAATCTTATTATCGATTTTTTAAATTTTTGCAAATGTGAAATTACAATATTTAATCAGCTATTAGTCAGGGCACATTACAAAGATTTTCTTTTCCATGAGTTAATATTTGTTTGGGTATAGTTTATAACGATGCAATTTAAATAAGCAGTTAGATACAAGACTTGATTTAAGTCTTCAAGATGTAGACTTAAAATCCGTGGCAAAGGTTCTTATTCTATTTGTTTTCTATATTTAGTCTGGCGTAAAAATATCCGGTAGAAAAATATCTAGTGTCAAATAATCCACATTTTTGCATAGATATTGAACGGAATTTGATTTTGATTTTTAAAACACCGAGATGTGGTAATACAAATTTGATTACTATATTATAATCTCAAATATATGTAAAAGTAATACACAAAAAACAATTTACAATAGTCGCTTCTGGCTTTTCTATTACTCCGATTATAGCTACGTTAACCGCGCAGCTATAGTCCATGGAGGCGTCGAGGAATAGAGGTCTAATTACAGATACGGAGTTACCCAATTATCTACTGACGGTGTTGTAACGTGGTATGAGTTAATCGGACTGGTATGATCTCTCTCCGGTTTGGTAGTCGTCGTCTCGTCTGCGCATCCGGCCGGTTGTTATCAGAAGACTCACTGATTTGATACAGCCCTGCTATGCGGTATGCGTACGATGGTATTATAAGCACGGTGAATTTCGAGTTGCATTAACGACCAGTATTATATATTTACTATACCACTATGTCGACCGTACAACGGATCGTGTTTTGGGCTATCGCTTTTTGTAGCTTATTTGACTGTTTGTGACTATTCCCGGTGAAGAGAAGGTCACTCGTCAGTTAATATATTCTCCATGAAAGGAATTTGTTGAAGTCACACATGAAAGGGTAAAATAACTCTTTTTAGTGAATCGTAAGTGCAGGGCGTCATCATTGTTATCTATTGGTAACGCCCAGATACGGTGTCGTCGGCCGGCCCGTGTGTTGTGCCGCGAATCCACTAGGCTCGTCGCTCACACATTGTACAGAGAACGGTGATTTAGTTGTATTACAGTATGTGCTGTGGTACGAGGCCATCGGTTGTGTCATTCACGCGCAATGCACAGAGCGTTGGTCTCGTTACAATATATTTTTAATTTTTCCCGGATAATTTGTCGTACGACCCTTATAATTTATGGTGCTCAAATAAATACGTACACACACACAAATAAATATGTATGTTTGATGTTTTAATGTTCTACATTTCATTTTAAAAATACGATTTCAGAAATACAAGTATAATTATGGTAAAACAAAATGTAGTATAATTAATACATTACCTTAACTGATTATACTAGATTATTGAAATCAAATAATACCCAATCGTTATTTTCGTAGCGTTATGATTATGAATTCATATCCGAATCACGGCCACAGGGAAAAGTCTAATTGTATTATTCTAAATGTAGAAGAACATTATATGGTTAATATAATATGTTTGTATGACTTAAAAATAATTCTTATATTACTATTTTGGAAACTTTAGGTCATATTGGAAAGGTTTAATCATAAAATGATAGAATCTACTAATGTAACTCATCATTACACTAGTAATCTTTAAGCCATTTATAAGTTTTATTAAATCGAATAATAAAAACTAATTTGAATTAATATTATAAACTGTAGTTGTATAGCCACCACAACGCAAAATTAGTAATTAAAAGGCATTTAAATAGCTGGCCGCACACAAGGGAGGTTTTAGGGGAGGGAGTATTACAACCCCCCCGGACGTTTGCGGAACTAAATAATAAGTCAGCAATTTAAAATCGAAGACGTGAGTCAGCAATTTCAACTCAAATTTTACTTGCAATGAAATGAATAATATATAAATTAAAATAAATATAGTTGTACATTTATTTATACACTTAAAATTTCTTGGTTGTCTAAACTTGTATTATTATACTATGTTTAGTTTATGATACTAATATAAATAGAAACAATAATTAATATCTATTATTGTCTTGCGTTTTTCATTTTACCACTTTGAATGGTTCTTACGCATACCGTTGTACAGACCACAGTCATAAATAATATTATGTACAATTGTTGAATTGGAGAACTATGATAATTAAATACCGTATTTATGTTCTTTTAAAATACATAAAATATGATGTCCATATTCTCTAAAAAAACTTAAAATATTCTTATTATATTCTCTTAGAAGATTTTAAAATTTACAAAAAAATCAATGAACATAAATAATAAATATATGCTTAAATCTGCAATTTTTTAAAAAATTTTGTTTACAACATTCCATAAGAAATTAGTGATACTTGTGTATTAAAATAGAATAATAGTGCAGTTAGGTCAAAGTGAGAACATAATATAAATATAGGTTATTTAATTTTTAAAAACTTAAAAATCACGGTACACGTTATTGGAAGAGTACAAAACAAAATATTTGGACATTTGAATAGTTTATAATGATTAATAATAATCAAATACTTAAATGCTTTAATCAATATGAAAACTGTCAGTATTGCAGATTAGCCAGTATTAGTTTAGTAAACGGTAACTTATTATAGGTGCGTTCTAAATACTATACCTTTTTATTAAAGTGATACACAAAAAAAAAAAAAAAAAATTATAGATGTTTAAAATATATTTTTTTTGGTTCCGTATTATTAAAACTAATATTTTTTTCTCACAATTTACAAAATATTCCAAAATATGCAAAATAAGCTAAATATTCCTTAACTCATGAAATATTCTCAAATATGCAAAATCTTTTTCCGATGAACTCAGAATTGAACGAATCATTAACTTTTCTTACTCTCAGAAAACTGCATAAGTTTAATAACGATATGTAAAAACATATAAATCCAATCTTTAATGATAATGAATAAAAATAGTTCTTAATAAATTGATATATTATTTTGGTTCAGTCTGACTCTTCTGTACCTACCAACTAAACCGTCTACAATATTGATCATTTGTTTAATAGGTACCCATTATACCTAGTATAAAGTATTTCAATATTCTATAGTATTATAATTTATGTTTAAATTTTAAATTGTTAATGTTATTTTCCTTACGCTGGTGAATTTTGTACAAGTTAATAAGTTAATTAATATTTGTTCAAAAATGTCCGATAAGTTGAAGTATAAAGGAAAATAATTAAATTAGAATGCATGGACTATGGAAGTGTTTTTAACAATAAAGGTAGAAATATGTTCTATAAGTAAATAATAATATAATATTTTATATATTTTAAACTTACTTATTAACTGACATACATTTTTTTTCCAACTCATAGTTGGATAAGTCGAGAGTTAAGATGAGTTGAACTATCATATCTTTGTAAAAATGTTTGAAATACTTATTTTAAAAAGTCGGTAACCAGTAGGTTTTATTACATAGTTTATTGGTGCTTAATACATAATTAAATAACTTATGAACTTAGTAGCTATTATTATTTGAAACACAATTTTTTATTTTTTTTTTATAATAGCATGGTTATTTGATTGGTTCATTTTAGAGATGACAATTTATAAGTACTACTTTCTATTAATTTTTAAAGAAATAGGAAAATAAAAAAATCATCAGTTTTAAATTGAAACATTAAGTTCCTCTAATGAAGCGTCTGTGGTTATAAAAACTGGGTACCTGTCTTTAAAGTGTGCCATAACTGATGCAGTCGTTATCGCCTTTTTAAAATCTTAAAAGCTATTTCTTATTCGTTTCCCTAATTAAATTTATTATCTTTTTTTGTTAAATTTTTATAGTAACTAGTGAACCAAATAAAAACTCGTACATTTCTAATATTTTTTGGTATTTATTGGAAATTTTAAAATTGCTTCAATATTTTTCCCAATTGTAAAACCACTGGGAAAAAACGTTAGAGACTGTGTGGCCAATTAATTCTATTTCCGATTTAGAAAAGGGGCATTTATTTGTTTTTAGTTTTAAGTCAGTTTCTTCTAATCTAATACAAATTTGTTTTAATCTAATTAAAGCTTCTTTGAAATTGATTCCAAAAAAAATATATGTCATCAAGATACGCTATCATGGTTTTATACAAATAATCGCTTAAATATTTTTTATTGGAGCCGAATTTCGTATCCTTGCGGGATTATTTTAAAATTAGACAATTCAAAATTTGTAATAAACCCTTTCTTGTTTTGGTCCTCGTTTTTTTTTTATCTGAATTTGAAAATAACTTTGGGCCGTGTCCAAAGTAGAGTAAGATTTGGCCCCTTCTAAACTTTTAAAGAGGTCTTGTAATCGTGGTATTGGGTGTTTGTCAGCTACAGTTTCGTTATTAAGTTTTCTGTAGTCTACTAAGAATCGGTATTCGTATTTTTATTTTTTTGGAATTAAGAATATAGGTGCCACGTAATTGCTTCTACTCGGTTTAATAATGTCCGCGTCTATCATTTGGTCGATTACAGTTTTTAGTTTTTCTCTTTGTGACGAGGAAACTCTAAATGGTGATTGAAATATAGGTTTATTTGATTTTAATTTAATTTCCCATGGTTCCTATATTAACATAATTTATGTCTAGTGGGTCTGACATAAATAAATGTTTATAGTAGTTAATTAGTTTTAAGGGTGCTTAGTTGCATTATTTTGATTACGTTTCTCTGTTTATCGGCGACTTCGTTAATAGTTTCGTCATCATATTGTATTTCCGTAATTGTATGTATTGTTTTTATTTTTATTTCCGCTAATTCTTTTTTTATTTTTGGTGTGTTCATTTTTTGTTTTTATAATATTTGCTATTGTTATTCCCTTGGGAATGTTAAAATTCATCATTAGGTATATCACAGCCAAAATGTAAAACGTGATTTTTTTATCTATTCTTAAATTTATTATTGTAAAATCAAACATAATTAATAATCATAAACAGAATCTTTATTGTATATTATTTTATATTTAAATTATATATGTACAAATTCAATTTTTTATTATTGTTTTATTTAAAACTTGATGTGTGGTAGGTACTAGAAAGCTTTTTTTATAGAAGAGAGTGGCCATCACAATAAATAGCAGCCATTTTTCGTCCGAAGAATTCTGGCCCTTTATATTTTTGAATTTGTTTATTTCAGAATTAATAATTTAGTTTTAGTTTTAGAAATAATTTATTAATACCAAATAGAATTTTGTACCTAATTATATTCGTAGTTATATTAACTCACCATATAATTTAATCTTATTTTTCATATATGTATATAGATTTATATATTTGTATTCTAATAATCATGCAAGTGCATACATCGCATATTATGTTATACATATTACAGTAGATAATTATTAAACTCATAAATAATATTTATTGAACTTCAGTCTTGAATCAATAAAATATGTACCTAAAGCAAATTTTATTATGTATGCTCGTAATACGTACAAGCATAATAATATAAAAGTTTAAAAAACTGTAAAGTTGTTCTATCAGTATTAGTGGTGCTGAATGAAATCTTAACTAGCAGTTTCATTAATTTTATTGACCTACCCACCCCTTCCAATTTAATGCCCTCTGACATTTTTTCTTAAAAACATAGCTTTACAAATAAATCTATACCATTTTGTATAGAAACAATTTGTAAGCAGCTATCTCCAAATAGTTAATTTATTTTTAATATTCATATATTATTGTTCAAATTGTTCTAAATTATTTTTTTACAATTTTTTAAAAAAATGAATGTATAGATTTGCATATAGATTAAAATAAAAACGACTCGACACAAATTTGATAAAAGTATTAGGTAATAATTAAGGAGTAATACTCAAAAGTACCAACTTTATTATTTTACCCACTCACCCAATTTTCAAGGTGCTTTAATGCTGAGGAAGAAATCATAGAAAAAATAATCAATTAAATGAAATGATTACAATAGTATAAAGTGTGTAAGAATAAAAAAGACCTATGGTTATCTTAAGCATAATAAGTGACATGATTTAGGCTCTAAGTACTCATTTTTAAACACAAAATTTGTATATTTATATTTAATATATTTTATTCGGCAATAATTATATGTTAGTATAAGAATAGTGTTTAGTATAATTTGTATTAATTTTAGCTTGTCTTTCATATTGTTATGTTTCCCATTTATACAGTAATGTTTAAGTGTACAAATTCAAATGGTATTGATAATCGTTTTAAATTGAAAAATTAAATATCGTTTTTGTTTAACTAAAAGAAGAAAGATGAGATTAATAATTGGTAATATCGAACATTATGAAGTTATTATATGATCAGTTATCAATTATGGAGTTGGGTTCATGGTTCATTATGTATCTTACTTAGTTTGCTCTCGTCTTTGTCTTATTGGTGTTTTAGTTCATAATAATAAATAAATTATTAATTAAAGTTTATTGTTTAGTTTAATTGAATTATAAGACAAAACATAAAACCGTTTTAAAATAAAATACCACTGGGAAAAAAATCGATATTCTTTAAAGTATGCTGATGTAATGAAGCTGTTCTAGGGGGACGGGTGCAAACATTGCTACAATACTACACTACCATAATATGCTACTATACTACTATACTCATATATTGGGTTGCTAATAAGTGATGACTTGAGGGTGAATCATATGTTTAGTTTAACAAATTGCTTACCGACGTATCGTTGTATAGCCGTTATAATTTAACATGGTGAAGATATACAAATGTACAATCCTGGGTGACGGACACCGACCACTTATGTTAGATCTATACTCAAGTCAGTCAAGCGTAATATTCTGTGTGTGTGTGTGTGTGTGTGTGTGTTTGCATTGGGTTATAGGAAAGAATGATTACACTTTAAAATGTATGATAGATAACAAGTTGACAGTAAGTACAATTACCAGGTTTAAGGAAACGTGGATTAACCAAATACGGCAGCCCGTCTACGTTATCTGCAACTACCGCATAGGTTTGGAAAGATGTAGGTAGTAAGGACTTTAGATGAGCAAAAAAAAAGTTCTCCCGCTGGACGATCCCAGAGAGGAGACAACACAGCCGAAAAGATCGACGCGTATCTTGTCTCCGTGCTTTTAGCGGTCCCCACCCTGGCGGCTTCCATATGATCGCCGAAGTGGCTATGTGGCACGCCAGTTTGTGGACAATGCAGGTAGTTAATTTTGAAGTAATTTATGGCGTACTTATTTAGCAACACTTATAATTTTGGTGATGGAACTGGTACTAGTACCTACTACGTCATTTTGCCAATTTATTTTACAAATATTGAATATTTAATGTATTAAACTTAATTTACAAAAACATTAAACGTATATTGTACGTCCATAATAATTGTATTCGCCATGAGACTTTTCTTTATGAGTTATTTTCGATCATTAAATTGAATTGTCCAGTCTTTACATTTGGTCAATTCAGGCTCAGGAGAACCTTGTACACCAGCACTAATTGCAGTGGTTGCAGCATAACATCCACAACCACATTTACATTTATAATCATCAAAATCATAATTGAATATAAAAACTCCAGCCAAATTGTGCGTCGAGACTAATTTACCCTAAAAGAAAAAAGAAAAAAAGGAGATAAAATGAATGTGTCTATAACTAGATTAAAAATTAGTCAAATGTTCTAAAAGTTCTACTACGTCTAGAAAAAGTATATATAAGTGTTCTGTCAATATTTAAAATCTGTATGAATATGATATTATGTATAAAAAAAATGAAAAAGAGAGATGATACTGGAGACGTATGCCGCAGCTGTTTTTGCGAGAGAAGTTGTAATAGTAGGATACATTATGTATTTCAAATTTATATTTGTAAGTGATGATAAACTATTGCTAACAAAAAACGATTCAGAGTGAAGTTCTATATAACACATTTTGAAGTTTAGTATTTTCAAAATTTTCGTCAAAATTACATGCTAAAATACTTATAAAAAAAAAAAAAATGATGTCCTTGAATAATGGGGTCAGGTTGCAGCCAATGTTATAAATAATTTAATGTATACTTGTAAGCAACGATAAACTATTGGTAACGAAAAACCAGTCTGACCGGTGTTCAGTTGATAGTGCTGTTTTATCAACGATAACTATGTCATATCATAGAAAAAATGGCCTCTTTAAAGTATCACCTACGCCGATTTCCTTTCAGAAAAGACGCTACAATTGAAAATCGGAGCAATATTAATGGTGGACAAAATTGTCTACAGTAAAATATATATAATTTTAAATAATAAAATTGTTGTGTCATAATACAAAACAAAACTGATACTGGGAATGGGTGTGGCCACTGTTGTAAGTGGGTTGTACTATGTGATTTTGGCATCGTCGGGTGGGTGAAACCAGCTGTCATTGTTGTTCCTCAGGTGGGTGATATCTACCATTCATTTTTTTTTTCATTACAAGTTGATAAGTGTAAATTTAGCAAGCTAAGTTTATATACCTATTGTAACGAAAACACTAAAATATATTTTACATAAAACACATATTTTTGGTTATACGCTTATTAAGTGCGATACATATTAATATCATTTTTTTTTCTTTTCATTAGTATCTTACTGTTATTATGTACGAATAATATTAACAATCATTATAATATTTGTTATTTTTTTTTTATACAATACAATTTGTTTCTGCCATAATTTGAGCAAAAATAAACAATATATGTCCTTTTTGTTTTGAATAATTCTATGTGTAAATTTAATTAATTTTTACTTAGTATTCTTAAATTATTATATAATTTCGACGGTGTGCTATCAGTTAAGTTGTAACCCGTCAATCGTATGGTGTACTCTAGTCTGATGAGTGTTGTTCGTGGCAAAAATTACATTATAAAAACTCAATTAGAAATAATAAATAAATAATTATCATAAATTTTTCCCGTTCTTTATACATATATCTAAATATCTATTGGAGCAACATTTATGGTAAAATACATATCCTGTGAAAATTTAAAATATGAAATCATTTTGCCGTTTTTTAAAAAAAATCGCATTTTTCGTCCTTTTTGGTTTTTCCCAATTACAGTATGAAAAATACTTTAGACATCAAAAACCACATTTTTGTCTATAGCTAAATATGATAACGAAAAAAATCATTTTTTTTTGTTATAATGAAATTAACGTAATATTTCTTCAAGAAAACATGATTTGCAACGATTTAAAACATTGAAATCTGTAAATATTTGAAATTTTACCTATTTAAAAATCTAAAAATGTCCTTTCTAATGCATCAAATACAGAAAATTATTTGTGAAACACTTTATAAGTCGGAACCAGATTTCATTTGGAAAAGTTATTTACAGAGAGAATATATAAATCACACATCATAGTAAAATGAACAAATTAAATTAAAAAATCCAAAAAAAAAAAAACTTATTTTGAAAATATTCAATTCCTGTAGATTTCAAAAAACGTCGCGTTTTAATTATTTTATTATATCTACAAATATTAAATTTAAGTTTTCAGTAGAAATGTCATGACTCAGCGAATATTTTGAACCGAATTACAATAAAAACAAAATTGATAATAATGTTTAATTCTTAAAATTTCCCGTTTTTGTGTATTCTTTTCCAAGTTTTCTTAATAATTATAATTAAGAGAACTACATGAAAAATAAAAAAAATTGACTTCCTCAGATAATAACCAAATAAATTTTTTTTTTAATAAAATGTTAAATTTGAATTTGGTAAAATATTTCTATATAAAAATCAAAACCAAAAAAAGACGGACGTACTCTGCACGTGGGTGCATGTACATTTGTAGGTGGGAAGTTTTGAAAGTAGGATGCAGATGGGAATTTATTGTATATCTGTAATCAACGACAGACTATTACTAGCGAAAAAGTGATTCTGAAAGGAGTACACTTGATAGATTAGTTTTGTCAACGTTATATTGTATGTCATAATATGGTAAAATGATTACAACGATTTGCGCTTCCATGATAACAATAACGAAATTATTTTTTATCTCTCAATCTTTTTAACTTGAATAATGAGGTTTTCCTCATAATCTCAAATTATAACTATATTTTTAAAAATCGTCTTCTTTAAAATACCACACTGAGAGCATTTTTTTTTAGAAAAGATGTTTTACACTATAATCGGTGTATGATTTTTGGAAGTAAATGTTTTCACATAAAAAAAATAAAAAAAAAAAATAAACATCCTTGTAAACCCGATACATTGTTTGCTAAATTTCGAATCGTTTTAGATTCATTGAAAAGCTAATACATACCTTGACACTTTTATTTAGTTCAATATTAATAGAACCTTTATCAAGACTACACATATTATTGGCAATAATATTGCGATGACTTTTTGGTGTAAACATAAAAAATAAATTAAATTTACAAAATGTTTTAAATAAAAATATATTCTTACTTTTTTGTAGAAATTTGATAAATTATCTATACAGAATCGTCGAGATTGACTCGCTTTCGTTGAACAGTACTGAAAATAAAAAGACATCCTAGGATAATAGGGTTGGGTGCAGCCACTGTCTACCTTAAATATATTATAACTTATAATAATTAAGTAATGTATACCTGTAAGCAAAAATAAACCATCGCTGACAAAAAAACTATTCTGAGCGAAGTTCAATGGATAATGATCCTTTAAAAATTTTTTTATAATTTCTAACAGAAGTAATTGTTTTATTTCCATTATAAATTAAAGTTATTATTCTAACATCCATTAGATTCTGAGTAGAGCGAAGAGAGTTCCTCAGGAATTATCTCATCAAACATGATAAAACCAAAAAAAACTGTGGAAAAACGGGAAAATCTAAGAAATGTATGTATTAGTTAAAATATATTACGGCCTTTTTTTTTCCTGCGGACAACATTTCTACCAGCAATTTTGTTCCAACTTATAATAATAGCAATATTTCTAAAAAAAATTCAACTAATGCTATACTTTAGAGAGGAGATTTTTCGATTTGGGATATTACAATTGAAATGTTTCTAAAAGTCAATTAGCTTTTAAAGGTATTTTAGGGAGGTATTATTTTGTTTTTTCCAAGAATTTTCCAGGCAATAAAACTGGGTTTAATCATTTGAAAACCGGGAATATCGGTACAACATTAAACAAATATTATTATGGAAAATATAGAAAGCCTATTTAATTATTTTATTATAATATGACTTATTAATTGCCAACAAAGCATCACTATCTGCTGAACTCCGCCCAGAAGCGTTTTTTTTTCGTAATGAAAGTTTCATTGTTTCTTACAGGTATACATTCAATTATCTAAGACAGTGGCTGTATTCTGTTTTAAATAAAAAATGCACTTACAGTTGTGTATGTATCTGCTGTAAGAGGGTAATCAAATGATTTTGAAGAGGCTACTCCAATTCTTATACTCATAAGTATTTTACTACTCTTTACTTGGGAAGTTATTGTTTTAATTTGATCTTCCTGAAATTATAGATTGTAGACTTTTACTTTTGAATATAATATATTTTATAATTTAGGAGATGCAATTGATATTAATTTAAAAAATTATAATATTAATATTATTGTTGAATATACCTGTACACACTAATGCACGTTTACTGTAAACTATTATAAGTAGTTTTATTAACAAATAATTCTTAAATAAAAAAAAAACATCATTGAAACTACATAAATATAATTTAAAGTTGTAAACAAGTGTATTATTATATTTACAACTTTATCTGCTGGATCTTGGGGAGCCATTTTTGATTTGTCGAGATCGTAATTACAATCTACCAAGTCACACGCCGGATACAAAAATAACGGTATTACCTCTTGTAAATACACTAATTTAAAACCTGAAAAATAATTAAAGACTATATATTATGCTCTTATAATCTTTTCATTCGAAAAAAAATTATTATATTTTTTATAATCTCCATAGACCATGAAGTTGTGACCATAAACAAAAAAAAATTCAATTCGTAATATTCATACATAGATTTAGGACTTAATTATATTTGTAATAAAACAATTGAATGCGATAAATTACAATGGCCAGTTCTAAATATGGATCTAGATATTCCTCTGTTCAAGAAAAAACAAAACATACGATCAATATTTAGGGCGTTTACCGCTTGGAAGCACCACACTCGATTTCTTGGGTCGGTCGATGGGGTCATTATATAAGAGGACGACCAAGGTTATAAACCTGGGTTGTCCCCACTTGCGTATTTCCTCACCAACAGTTCCTTTTGCTCTGATCTTTCGAGTGGCACCTAATTAAAGGTTTCAAGTAAATTATTTACTTTTTGGTGTGGTATATGTTACGTAATTGTCTAATCATGATCAGTATCACTGCACCATATGAATGCGCGATAGCGGTCGTTGGAATAATTAAAGTGTAAACCTCAATCCACACGCTCAGCGAATAGTGAATTCAATAGTGAAAACATAATACTCGGCAGAAATTCCGCATCTTTGTAAAAAAAATTGAGCATTTGATTATTTGCTTATCCATAAAATGTGCATTAAATACAACTTTTAAAAATTGAATGAACATTTTAAATTGATTTCCTAGCGCCACTGTCCTGTTTTCTCGTCAAATGCTTCTTTACGATTCTATCAATAACATTTTTCATACATGAGAATGTTAGGTTTTTTTTTATTTGCTATACATTTTTTTTGTTAAGTATTTTTTGTAAATGTATTGTCATAATAATATACCATGTTGAATGTTTCCTATTCCGGTATTCAAAATTGTTTATTGCCTTTTTTTGTAATTAATTAAGTTCCACAGACATAATTCACCTCACACTTCTTACATTCATATTTGAGCCTTCATACTTATTCTCTATCGAAATAAAATAAAATTTCGGAACTTCTTTTCTCATTATCGCCTACATTAGAATCTTTCTCAGCACTCTGTCATATAACTTCTCTAAATTCACAATTAACGATGTACATCATGTTTTTTCTTCTTTCAGTACTTTTCTACAATTTGACTAAAATTTGACTACAAAACACCGCTGATTTCATTGACACAAAATCAAAATGATTCTTAGATATTGGTGACTCATTTTTATTCTCTATTTTATAATTTTTCCCATATCTCAATATTATGATTCATCAATTTTCCTCCTATATAATTTCCACATCGTTGTACATTTCTCTTCTCTATAAAAATATGTATTACAAAACTCATTCTCCACTCGTCTTAAATGTTCCCTTTAAGCAACAGCCTACTGAAAACACATAACCAGCCTATCTCTATAATTCTCCCAATATTTTCCACACTTCTTTTTGGACATATTAGGGATTGATCCCTTTTTATTTTTTATTATTCTCAAAGACGACCACGCCTCCTCAAATTATGAACAATTTTATGACTTTATTTCTTTCTTTATGTTACGAAAAATCATACATTTTTACTTTGTATAATAAACATTACCTGGATCTGGTGAAGTTCTGATCAATAAACCAAATAATGTATTTGGTTTATTAACTTGTAGAGCTTTGAATAATCCATAGATGTCTGTTTGCATGGGTTCTTTGTATCCTGCGTAATCGAGCGCGTAGGGGTTATACGGCTAAATTGTTAATGTTTATAATTAATTAAAATAATAGGTACCTAAATCAAAGTTTTAATTATTATTATTACCAAATACATATTATCAAAAATTAATACATCAATGCGTTTATCGTCTATCATTGTGCTTAAATCTTTTATAAATGATTCCATATTATCCGTTTTTAAATTTTTAGAGTAGAAACCATAATTTTTATCGTTATAAATACAAACTCTCTTTAGATTTGCCGCTAGTGAATCAATGTTTTTCAGTTTGGCTGAAAAACACTTATAATTAAATAGTGAATAATGAAAAATATATTTCTGCTATTTATGTTTAGGACACACGGTCGTGGATCCTTGCCGTTGTCTCTTTAACGTACGGTTATTATTAACGGCATGGTTAAAATATACAATTATAGTCAGAATATATCCATATCATCGAGGACACTTTCAATTTTGGCGTGATCGAATCAATGTAAAAATAAGTTTAATGATATACTATAATTTTATATAAAATCATGTTCATACAATTTACCTAAAGTTTATTTTTTCTAGACTGAACTTTTAATAATATAATTTATGTTATTTTTCATAAATTATTGGGAAATAGGTATAAATCTATTATTTTAGTTTATATGAATTATTTTTAATACATACGTTCATCACTACTATACCATGAAACTGCTGTACAAGGACTATCTTTTGGAATGGAATCGATGTTATTGTTCTTAGAAATGCAACATACTATCTTAATATCAGATAATGGTACCGTATCTAAACCTTCATTAAATTTGTAGGAGTATTATATTTAGATTAACAAATTAGAATATATTAGAAAAATAGAAAAGAAGAATATCAATTAAATACATACTCGAATTGTCAATGAAAAATGTCAAAATTATAAATAAATATATGTGAAATATTTTATTATCAATAAGTGAATCCATTATTATATCTAATCCTATATTTGTGAATTTTACTAACAAAGTGTTCAGTTATTTTATTGAAATATATTATCCTACTGAAAATGAATATTAATTACATCAGAATTTATTATAATGTTTTAATTAAATTAAAATATGTATATTTGATGTTCGAACAAATTAATTTATTTAATATTTACATAGTGCTTTTGAAAAAAAAAAAACATTGGTTAATAATTATAATTAATTACTATAATTGTCATATATCCACTGATACCAACATTGTCTTGTTTTATTAGTATGCCCTAAATTTATATAACGTAATTTATTTAAATAGATTTTATGTTATTAATGTATTTAGTGTCACATAACATACGGTGCTTCGTTCATCCAGCATTTTACCAGAAATAAACGTTAATTTTTGTGAGTATGACATCTAAAACGAAAAACTGAATTATTTAATTATTTTTGTGAACTCAGTTCCTCTCAGACGTATTAAAAACTGAATTGATAGTGTTCATGGGCAACGACTGTGCTGTGGTTTAACCAACAAATGACAATGTGTTGCATTGTTGAAAAAATTAAAGAAGAAACTGACTTTGATTCTTTATGGAATATATTTTGAAAATTCCACTCCTATAATAGGAAAAATAGGGGGTGAGAATCAAATTGTTTGCGGACGGAAAGCAGTTAATTGGACCAAATGTACTATGTGTATTGTGTAAACACAATAATCTGTACAGACGTTGTAACGAGACTACTTGTCTGTTGATAGCATATGAGCGACGCGCCTGTTGGTCTCGATATACTTACTCTTTACTTATTAATTACTAATTACAAATAATAATATTATATATCAAATGCTAAATAAATTTAAATGTTGTGTGGTATGTGTTTGTTGTATAATATTATCACTATTAATGACCAGTAGTGTAATTTTAGCTCTGAAATAGCATTGATATATTAATAATATAAAGGGAAAAAAATGTCTAACAAATTCTTTTGAACTTTTGAATTTTTGAACAACGTCTAACAAATATGTGTGAATATTTTGAGATCAGTTTCGTCAAATTTGTGCTTTTGTGTGGTGTTACATGAAACTGGTACCACACATTTTATACTTCCTGTATTTTGGGAAATATCGTCTAACAACTTTCAAACAAAATCTATTAAATATGTGTTATTATTTTGAGACCAGTTTTAACAATTTTGAGCCTGTGTTTGGTGCTACGTGATGTTGGCACCACAAATCGCATATTTTGAATATCTTGGAAAATAAAGTCTAACAAATTCTAACAACTTTCAAATAATGTCTAACAAGTCTAAAATAAGGTTGTGAGAGATATTTGACTGACTTTCTTTCAGAAAAGGCGCTACACTTAGAAATCCGGGCAAGTCTTTTGGTGGAAAAGTTGTTAACACGACGCACTGAACGCAACATCGTAATCAACGCGTGATCTAACAGGTGGAACCGCACGATTAAGGCGGCGTGGACTCACAGAATTCTCCTGGATCTGAGAATATGGGTCTTGGGATGACCTGAGGACCTCACTTTTCACGTCATGCAGATCTTAACAGGTCACGGGTGCTTCAGGCACTACTTCTGCCGGATGGGACGAGCCCTAGACACGAAGTGTCTATACTGCCGATACCCTAAAGACACCGTCGAGCACATGCTTTTCGTATGCCCTCACTGAGAACTCTACCGGCAAGACGTCAGAGAGTATGTTGACGAAAAAAACATAGTTCCCAGTGATGTTCAAAACCTACTCTGAGGCCCAGAAGACATCCCATCCTGGGATTCTGACCGGGCTTTACATGATCAGAGGCAGCCTCCTTTCGGGGCTTACAGTATTTCTACTTCATGGTAGAGGACATACTGAGTTTTTAAGAGCATGATGAAATGATAAGGTAAGCTGAGGCAAGAGTTGATCAGTTGCCGTAGGAGCAACCGCCTCACCAGTCCTGGGTACCAAAGTCTTTAAACAACAGGACCCAGCCACCGGCTCAAGGTCATGTACAAGTTAAGTTAAGTTAATATAAGCGTAGTTAATAATGTGAGCCTGCCTAGGATAATGGGGACGGGTGCAGCCACTGTTATTGCTCGCGAATGGGAAAACAGGATTTTAAAAAACATTACTTAATTATATTTATTAATAAACGATGGCAGTAGTGCGGTAGCAATGTGAAAAACTAATCTCTCACTGCTGTCGGTTAATTGAAAAAAAAGGTTTAGTTTTTGTTTATAAAATCATTTCTAATAAGTGCTACTTCATTACGCGACAGAATAATATAACAACCGAAGCTTGGTAATTATAAAACAGATAAAAATGGTGCGTGAATGCATCGTCAGAAACGCCACGTTATTTATGTATAACCACGATTAGAATGTCATATCAATAAATTATATTAGTGTAAAAACCGTTTGTCGTAAAAAAAAGATAAGGTTAGGATGTTAGATTATTTGTTTATGTTTGAATGTGTAAAATGCTTACTATGGAAAGTAAAATTTTAATTTTTTTTCCTTAAAAAAGAACACTGTTTCATTCAATTGTTGCATTTAAAATTATAATACTATTTCATTATTTTGGGTTTTTCTTATTACTCCGTATTCGTATTTAATGGCAATCCTAATTTCGGTTTTTTCTTATCATTGTTTATTATAATATCATGTTTATACCCATTTTTGTAATCATACATATTCATGTTAAGTGTCATTTATTTATTCATTGAATATTTTATTCTTAACTATTACAGTTGCTCTACTCGGCTTTTTTTTTGTTTAACTTTGCAAGTTAATTCAAATAAAAGTAAGTAACTATTTTGTTTTCATATTAATTAATGATTTCAATTATGATACTTATGTTCATGTGGTAGCTTAATTTGTATAAATTTAACTAATTGTTTGATTACTCCTGGAACCCATACGATTAAGATACTCCGCTTGTTGTAGGTTCATTGATAGATACATGATTACGTTTGAGTTTAATCGGAGTAGTTCGCCGAATTGGGAATGAAATTAGCGGCACTTTTTAAAAAATTCGTATATAATAAACCGAGATCCAACAAACGGCGGGACCTTTTCAACAATGTCCAATAAACTCTATTAAACAGTTCTGTGTGGTTTTTGAAGTTTTTGAAAAAGTTAGCCGTTGGTGTGAAGTTAGCGGTGCTTTTGGATAATTGTCTACAACTTTTTAACGATCGTCCAACAAATTATAAATAATTTCCAAAAATGTCCAAAATATGACCAACAAATTTGTCGGATAGGTTTTTTTGATTTCTATTGCATGGGTGCCGCCAAGTTCAAGTAGATTATACATCATAGTGATCGCTTCACTCAAAATCTAAAAATAAAAATTAAACATCATTGTAAAACAAATACATTCCTTACTTCACTCAGAATCTAAAATAGAAATTGACTTAAATATTTAGGGTTTCGTTAATGGTACGTGTCATAATTAAGCAGAGATGCGAAAATCCAAAAACTATCAGAAAAACTAGAAAAAAGAAATTTATCTATAAAAAATAGAAATAATGTAACATCCCAAAATTGACATATATTTTTATAGACGATATCTGTTTTGTTTTCCCTTCGCCCTCGCGTGTGAATACTCAACCATCAACACAAATCTTCTGCCACCCATCTCTCTATAAAATATATATTCAATATAGTAAATTTTATATATTCAAAAAATCATTGATAGAAACACCTTTGAGATTGTAGATAATGCGAATAAAACTTAAGATAAATTAATTCAATATGCAATTTAAAAAGGATTCTCTTATGTAAATAGCAGACACGCTTTCAAGAGTATTTATTTAGAATTTACATGAAGAAAATAATGATAGTTTACAAGTAGCCGAATTTGAAATTTAAAGCTCTATAGATCATTTTCCTAGGTCGATCACAAAACTGGACGAATATGTAAAGGAGACTAAGAATAACAGTGATTTAAAACTCATTAAAGATTTGATTGCAGCAGGCCATGCTCTTGTAAAATACTAGACAATTTAAAAGCTTGTTGGAATTGTGTGTAATTTATTAGTAATTAGCAATGGGTTATTATTAAAGGATAGTAAAACAGTAGTACCATTATCTTTGCAAATAGAAGTTCTAAATAAAATACATTACAATAAATTTGGCATACAGAGATGTAAATTAAGGGTTAAGAGAATGTTTTATTTGCTAAACATAAAAATGAAATTGAGTTAAAGGTGAAAAGTTGTATTCTGAGTGCAAAATCTCAATATGCAAAGAGTAAAGAATTTATGAAACCAAGTGAAACCCCAGATGCAAATTGGCAGATTGCAGGCATAGACATATTTCATATTAATAATAACAATATTTTATTGGTAATGGACTATTTTTCAAAGTATTTTGAGATAGCATTGTTAAAAATAATTTATTTTAAACTTGTCACATCAAAATTGGTTTTTATATTCACAAGATTTTAGGTATCACGTGTTATGAAATCGAATGGGGCAGGCAATTTATATTAGAGCAATTCAAAAAGTTTGATAAAGAATTAGCCAATTCTTCTCCAGTATAGGCTCAATCTAACGAAATGGTATAACGAGTTATGCAAACAGTAAAAAAGGTGTTCTGTAAAGCTTTAGAGAATGGTCTTGATTGGAATAAATATCTAATGGAGTATATAGAAACACTCTAGATAGTGAATTTATTCCACCACCAGCTGAGATTTAATTCAAGAGGAAAGTGAGATCACTAATTTCCAGTATAGACAGTTCTAAGGTTAAAGATAGTATTCAGATAAAAGAGGAGTTAATTAAGAGGTAAAAGAAGCAAAAACTATGATATGATAGAACAGTGAAAATGTGAACATTTTGAAGTAGGTGATCCAATTGATATCCAGATTAAAAACAAAAATAATTTCTAGTTTAAAGAGGTTATAGTAGAGGAAGGAACTTCAAAATTAAGGTCGTTAATGGCAGAGCGCTATTAAGAAATATAAGAAGGTATTTAAAACATAGCATTATTTTAATGGCGAGGAAGAAAATATAGAAAAAATAATCAATTAAATGAAATGATTACACTAGTAAAAGGTGTAATAATTCTCCACTCTATATAACTTCAATAACCTGCTTCTCAATATCCTCTGATACATTTATAATCCTTCGACTCATTGTACTATCAGATAATGGTATTTTAATTATTTCTTTTTCTGCTTCGACTCCTAACATAGTCTTTACTATAATACGACAAGCTGGCATTAATAAGACTCTCGGCAATCAAATAAAATTTGTATATTGTTATGTTTCCCATTTATACAGTAATGTTTAAGTGTACAAATTCAAATGGTATTGATAATCGTTTTAAATTGAAAAATTAAATATCGTTTTTGTTTAACTAAAAGAAGAAAGATGAGATTAATAATTGGTAATATCGAACATTATGAAGTTATTATATGATCAGTTATCAATTATGGAGTTGGGTTCATGGTTCATTATGTATCTTACTTAGTTTGCTCTCGTCTTTGTCTTATTGGTGTTTTAGTTCATAATAATAAATAAATTATTAATTAAAGTTTATTGTTTAGTTTAATTGAATTATAAGACAAAACATAAAACCGTTTTAAAATAAAATACCACTGGGAAAAAAATCGATATTCTTTAAAGTATGCTGATGTAATGAAGCTGTTCTAGGGGGACGGGTGCAAACATTGCTACAATACTACACTACCATAATATGCTACTATACTACTATACTCATATATTGGGTTGCTAATAAGTGATGACTTGAGGGTGAATCATATGTTTAGTTTAACAAATTGCTTACCGACGTATCGTTGTATAGCCGTTATAANCTGTGTGTGTGTGTGTGTGTGTGTGTGTTTGCATTGGGTTATAGGAAAGAATGATTACACTTTAAAATGTATGATAGATAACAAGTTGACAGTAAGTACAATTACCAGGTTTAAGGAAACGTGGATTAACCAAATACGGCAGCCCGTCTATGTTATCTGCAACTACCGCATAGGTTTGGAAAGATGTAGGTAGTAAGGACTTTAGATGAGCAAAAAAAAAGTTCTCCCGCTGGGCGATCCCAGAGAGGAGACAACACAGCCGAAAAGATCGACGCGTATCTTGTCTCCGTGCTTTTAGCGGTCCCCACCCTGGCGGCTTCCATATGATCGCCGAAGTGGCTATGTGGCACGCCAGTTTGTGGACAATGCAGGTAGTTAATTTTGAAGTAATTTATGGCGTACTTATTTAGCAACACTTATAATTTTGGTGATGGAACTGGTACTAGTACCTACTACGTCATTTTGCCAATTTATTTTATAAATATTGAATATTTAATGTATTAAACTTAATTTACAAAAACATTAAACGTATATTGTACGTCCATAATAATTGTCTTTTCCGTGAGACCTTATGGGTTACTTTCGATCTTTATAGCGAAGTGTCCAGGTTTTGTCACATTTGGTCAATTCAGGCTCAGGAGAACCTTGTACACCAGCATTAATTGCAGTGGTTGCAGCATAACATCCACAACCACATTTACAGTGATAATCATCAAAATCATATGTGTATAGAAAAGCTCCAGCTAATTTGTATGTCGAGACTAATTTACCCTAAAAAAAAAAAAAGAAAAACAGAAAATGATACTGTAGACAGATTCTGCAACTGAGTATGGAACGTAGTAACAATAGGACGCATACAGTTCTTTAATTAATATTTGAAAGTAAAGATAAACTATTGCTTACGAAAAAATGATTCGGTTGGGCTGTAATATTTACGATCTTCCTTAAAATATATATTATTCTATATTATGTAACACAATATCCTGGTATACTCATACTTATTCTATTTTAAAACTCTTAAAATAAAAGATAACATTACACTCAAGTTTATTTTTGACTTCTTAGTATGACTTATAATAATCGTTCTGTACAATTTTAAGGTCTTTCTGTGATGCTCAACACCACGAAAAAGTATTTATAAGTTTTCTGTCAACGTTTTAAGTCTCTACAAATATTTTAAACAGAATCACTGTTGAAACTTTAAGAGTTTCGAATTCGTCGCCGTCGCAATTTTCCTTTTCATCTGGATAGCCATCACTGCTTGACTGCACCACTTGCTGTTTCGCAGTCCCTATCATTTTGCGCTATCGCCAGTTTTTCTCTTTTTTTTCCGTTATCCATATTTTCTTTATTTTTTTCTGCTTGTCTGTTCGGTGCTGTCCGGTCGTCCGCAGTGTTTTGTTTGGTCGTTGTTCGAATTTTGGCTTTTAATTAATTTCTCTGGCATTGTGTTTCATTTTTTTGGTGTTGTGTATCGCATTTTTTTTCGCTATTCACTTAAGCCTTCGTGCTGAAGAAAACCACATGGTCAATGTCACCAAGTTGTTTTTGGCAGAATATTAATCTGTCCAATATATCTACATTAGTTCATTCAGATTTCTTTATAGACATATATTATTGTTTTCCTTTTACAGTTTCACACAAAATTTTGTTTTTAGTTCAAAAGGATCGCATGAGTAGGCGATTTATGGCCTGAATTGTTGCATAGTACTATAGTAGTTGTTCTGTGTCCTGATGAATTAAGTAATTTCGGTTGTTTTTGTTGTTGTCTTGTGGTTGCAGTTTTGGCAGATTTTTGCTGCAGTTGTTGGTTTTATTTGTGGGCGCAATTCATTAAAAGGTTTTGGTAGTGATAGTCGTGACATTCGGACTCAAGCTGTTGTTTTCTTTATTATTTTATTATACCTATTATACGGGTCTCGGTGCTGTCGCATGGGTGAAACAAGCTGTAATTATGGTTTCTCAGGTGAGTGATACCTACCATTATTTATTTTCATTAAATGTTGATAGGTGTAAATGTATCCAGTTAAGTTTATTTACCAACTGTTAGGAGCTAAGAGCGATACATATTTATACCATTATTATTAATTTTTTTTTATTAGTATTTTACTGCTATTATGTATGAAAAATATAATAATCATTTTTATATTTGTTATTTTTTTTTATATAATACAGTTGGTTTCTGCCATAGTTTGAGTAAAAATAAACAATATATGTCCTTTCCGTATTGAATATTTCTGTGTGTGAATTTAATTAATTTTTACTTAGTATCCTTAAATCATTATACAATTGCGACGGTATGGTATCAGTTAGGTTGAATTCCGTTAACCGTATGGCATACTTAATGTAATTTGATTGAAAATTTAACAAATATCTATAAGAGCAATAATTATGGTATAATACATATCGCGTAAAAATTTAAAATAAGAAATCATTTCGCCGTTATTTGAAAAAAAATCATATTTTTCTTTCGTTTTGATTTTTTCCAATTATATTATGAAAAATACTTTTTATGTCAAATACCATATTCTCTGTCTAAAGGTAAGTATAAAAACGAAAAAAAAATCATTATTTTGTCAGAATGAGATTAAAGTAATATTTCTTGTAGAAAACATAATTTGGAACAATTTAAAACATTGAAATCTGTAATTATTTGTATTTTTACCTATTTAAAAATCCAAAAATGACATGAAAATTTTTTTTAAAATATTAAATTCCTGTAATGATTTTAAAAAAGGCTACGTTTTAATTATTTTATTATGTCTACAAATATTCAATTAAGATTTTTAGTAGAAATGTCATGACTCGGCGAATATTTTAAAACGAATTACAATAAAAAAAAAAATTGGAAATAATGCTTAATGATAATAATGTCTAATTCTAAGTTTCCCGTTTTTTTTCAAATTTTCTTAATAATTATTTTTAAGAAAACTACACGAAAAATCGACTTCTTCAAGTAACAACCAAACAAAATTTTTTTTTAATAAAATGTTAAACATGAGTTTGGTAATCTATTTCTATATAAAAATAAAAACCGAAAAAAGACGGACGCACTCCGCACGTGGGTGCAGGCACATTTGTAGTCTGGAAGTTTCGAGAGTAGGATGCAGACGGGAATTTATTGTATATCTATAATCAACGATAAACAATAACTGGCAAAAAACTGATTCTGAGTGTAGTAAATTTGATAGATTTGTTTTGTCATTATTATATTATATGTCATAATATGATAAAATGATTACAACGATTTGCGCTTCTATAATATTAATAAAACCTTTATCAAGACTACACATATTATTGACAATAATATTGCGATGAACTTTTGGTGTACACATAGAAAATATATTCAACCTACAAAATGTTATAAATAAAAATATATTCTTACTTTTTTGTAGAAATTTGATAAATAATCTATACAGAATCGTCGATATTTACTCGGTTTGACTGAACAAAACTGTAAACAAAAAGACATCCTAGGATAAAAGTGTCGGGCCACAGTTATACCTTGTGATAAATTATAGCTAATAACTTATTAGGAAGGTATACCTGTAGGCAACAATAAACCATTGCTAACAAAAAAAAAAAAAACGATTCTAAGCGAAGTTCAGTTGATACTGCTTTGTCAACAATATATATGTCATATTATGGTAAAATAATTAAACAGGCAATGTATTCAATTTTCTTTAATATTATATTTTGTTTTACACTGTATATATTTTCCCGTTTGTCCTGTGTTTTCCATTGTTTTTACCATTATTTCCCTTGGTTTTTACATAAACCTGGAATGGGATCGTAAAATGGCATCCTTAAAGAAAGTTCCCAGCTATATTTCCTTTCAGAAAAATTACTATCATTATAAAGTGAAGCAAAATTGCTGGTATAAAAGTTGTTCACGGGAAAACAGAAGGCTGTAATATTTTTTTTAATAATACCTACTAACATTTCGTAAATGTTCGGTTTTTCAACATTTAATATTTGTTTTTTTCGGATATTATGAAAAAAGCTTGGGAAATTTTTAGTAGAATTGCTATACACATAATAATAAAAAAAAAAAAAATTATAATTGTATTTTAGTATAACTAATACATTCATCACTACACTCAGGATCTAAAATATTTATACATAAAAGTATTTTTATAATTTCTTACAAAATTAATGCTTATTCCTTTATAAATGACAGTTATTATTTTAAAATCCATTAGATTCTAAGTGAAGCGAAGAGTTTCTCAGGAGTTATCTCGTCAAATTGGAAAACCGAAAAACAACGGTGGAAAAATGGAAAAATATAAAAAATTTAGGTATTGGTTGAAATATATTACGGCCTTCTTTTTTCCTGTGAACAATATTTCTACCAACAATTTCGCTCCAACTTAAAATAATAGAAATGTTTTTAAAAAGAAATCCGACTAATGAGCTACTTTTGAGGGTAATTTTTCGATTTGATATTTAATAGTAAAAATGTTTCTAAAAGTAAATTTTATTGGAAATGTATTTTAGGGAGGTATTATTTTGATTTTTACAAGACTTTTCTAGGCAATTGTGAAAAACTAAGTTTAATCATGGGAAAACCGGAAAAATTGTATAGCATTAAGCATAATATTATTATAGAAAATATAGAAACCTAATTTGATAATTTTTCTATAATATGATATATCAATTGCCTACAAAACATCACTATCTACTGAACTCAGTTCAGAAGCGTTTTTTTTTCGTAATCAATGTTTCATTGTTGCTTACAGGCATACATTCAATTATCTAAAACAGTGGCACCATTTTTTTTAAAATTAAATAAAAAATGACTTACAGTTGTGTAAGTATCTGCATTGAGAGGGCCATCATATAATTTTGAAGAGTATACTCCAATTTGTATAACTAGATATATTTTACTACTCTTTACTTTAGAAACTATTGCTTTAACGAATTCCTCCTGAAATTATAGAATGTAGACGTTTACTTTTAAATATAATATGTTCTAAATAATAGGAGGTACAATTAATATTATTTTTTATATATCACACTCGGATTATTAATAGTATTATTGAATATAACTTATACTCGTATAAAAATTGAAAATTACTGCAAGTAGTTTTATAGCCAAACAATTCTTAAATAATAAAAAATACTAATTAAAATTACGTAAAGATATAAATTCATGTTGTGAATAAGTTTAATGGAATATTTACAACTTGATCTGCCGGATCTTGTGAGGGCATTTCTGTCACATCATCATAGTAATCACAATCTACCAAGTCACACGCCGGATATACAAAAAATGGTACTACCGGTTCTAAATACGGTAAATTGAAACCTGAACATATGAGTATTATATATTATGCTAAAATAATCTATTTTTAAGACAATACATTAATTTTTTTGTAATTTTTGTCAATCGTAATACTCATACGTATATTAAAGACTTAATTTTACTTGTAATAAAACAATTAAATACGATAAATTACAATGACTAGTTTTAAATATGGGCCACATGATATTCCTCTGTTCAAGAAAAAGCAAAACTTATAATCAAACGTTTATATCGTTTACCACTCGGAGGCGCCACACTCGATGTCTTGGGTTAGNTATCCCGAGTCATCGTATACGATGGGATCATACGGCTAAATTGTTAATGTTCATAATTAATTAAAATTATAGGTACCTAAATCACAGTTCTAATTATTATTATTACCAAATACATATTATCAAATATTAATACATCAATGCGTTTGTCGTGTATCATTTGGCATAAATCGTCTATTAAATCATCTATTTTTTTTGTTTTTAAATGTTCATAATAGTAACCATATTTTTTATCGTTATAAATATAAATTCTCGTTCGATTTGCTGTTAGTATATCAATGTTTTTCAGTTGAGCTAAAAACATTTAAAATTAAATAGTGAATAATAAGAAAAAAAATGTAATTCTACTATTTATTTTTAGGACATACGGTCGTAGATAACGATATAGTATAATTTTATACTTTATCATGGGAAAACTTTTTACCAAAAATTTCAATTTTTCAGGATGTACTATTAATAATGTTATTTATGTTATTTTTTATAAATTATTAGGAAATAGGTTTTAATAATATACTTATAGTAATAATAATATAAATAGGTCTACTTAACCATTTAAATGTTTTGTTTATAAATGTTCAAATTAGTAATTATAATTTTTATCGTCATAAATATAAACTCTCTTTAAATTTTCCGCGAGTACTTCAATGTCTTTCAGTTTAGCTAAAATCTTTTATAATTAAATAGTAAATAATAATAAAAAAATGTAATTCTACTATTTAATATTAGGATATTGCCGATGTCTCTTAGACGTACAGTTATTATTAACGGCATGGTTACAATGTATATAGTCAGAATGAATACATCTCACCGAGGAGTGTTATGACGAATTAATATTTTGTATTACATTATGTGCAAATGATTATCATAAAATTAATTTTATTTAGGATGGACATTTAATAATATCATATATGTTATTTTTCGTAAATTATTAAGAAATAGGTATAGATCTGATATTTTAATTCATATAATTTTTTTTTTAATACATACAATCATGTTTACTAAACCATGCAATCCCTGTACAAGGAGAATCTTGTGGAATGGAATCCATGTTATTTTTTGAAGAAATGCAACACATTATCTTAATATCAGATAATGATACCTTACCTAAAACTTTCATTAAATTTGTAAAAGTAAAATATTTAGATTAAAAAATTAAAATATTTTAGAAAAAAAGAATATCAATTAAATACGTACTCGAATTTTCAACGAAAATAGTCAAAATAATAAGTAAATTGATGTGATATTTTCTATTATCAATAAGTGAATCCATTATTATATCTGATCCTGTGTTTGTGAATATTGCTAACAAAGTNAGTATATTATCCTACTGAAAATGAATATTAATCACATCAAAATTTATTTTAATGTTTTAATTAAATTAAAATATGTATATTTGATGTTCGAACAAATTCATATATTTAATATTTACACAGTGCTTATGAAAAAAAAAGAAAACATTATCGGTTAATAATTATAATTGATTACTACAAGTGTCATATATCCACTGGTACCAACATTTTCTTGTTTTATCAGTATGATCTAAATTTATATAACATAATTTATTTAAATATATTATATGTTATTGATTTGTTTAGTATCATGTAACATACGGTGCTTCGTTTATCCAGCATTTTACCAGAAATAAACATTAATTTCTGTGAGTATGACATTTAAAATTAGAACTGAATTATTTCATTATTTTTGTAAACTCAGTATCTCTCAGACGTACGAACAACCGACCCGATAAGTGGCCATAACCAACCGCATATTATGCTCTGTTCGAACCATTAGATGACAATGTTTTGTATTGTTGGGGGATTAATTAGTTCCGCCGTTTTAATATAGATTCTTCGATTATTAATTTAAATTAAGTATAATAAACAAGTTGAAAACCTTGTCTTAAATACTGTATTTTGCTGATTAAATTAAAGAGGAAACTGATTTTGATTCTCTATGCATGAATTTTTTTCAAATTTCACCCCTAAAATAGGTTTAATAGGGGGTGATATTTAAAATGCTTGCGGAAAGCACTAAAGTGTACAAAAATGTATTACGTTAATTGTGTAAATACAACAAACTGTATAGACATTGTTATTCGACCACCGGTCTGACGATTCGTTACAAAATGTTCTTACGTTTTACTTTGTAATTACTAATTAAAAATAATAATATAAAGCAAAAAAAACTTTCTAACAAATTCTTTTGAACTTTTGAACGACTAACAAACATATGTGTATATTTTAAGACCAGTTTTGGCAATTTTGACCTTGTGAGGTGGTAAGTGAAGTTGGCACCACAAATCCAAAATTCGAATATTTTGGAAAATAATGTCTAACAAATTCTAACAACTTCCAAGAATGTCTAAGTTTTTAAATTTTTTGAGAAAACTCTTGAGAAAATCGAAAAATGACCTTTTTTAAGAACCCCCGCCACGTCGCTCTTCTTTCAGAAAAAGTGCTATACTTAGAAGTCTGTGTAAGTGTATTGGTAGAAGAGTTATTAACAGACAAAAAAATAAACATATTTGAAAATCCATAAGCTTCTTCACTCTACTTAGAATTTAAAAGAGTTGATTCTAGGGATAGCTGTAGTTGTTGCCACAGTTATAGGTGACTATTTGTGAAGGTAAGATACATAGTTTTTTTCTTTAATTTGTACCTGTAACCAACAATAAACCATTGTTTAGAGTAGCGAACGTATAGAGAGGAGCTAAGGGGCTGAAGTTCCCCATTGCTCGTTTTAAAATACATAAATATATATATGTAGCTTGATGCCAGAAGCGCCAATATAATTCTTTTTTAAAAATCAGTTAGAATTACAAAAAGAAAAGGTACAATTATTTATTATTAAATAAAATTAATTTAAGTTTTTGTAAAGATTAAAATTTACACAAACTTTTACGTTTCATAAAATACACAGAGCCTTACGGGGATGTAAAATTTCAAATCCCATTTCTCATCAATCACAAAATGTGTCATTGGCCCTTTTTTCACCAAACCACAGATATATATTTTATATTTTTCAAGTTACAACCGTAATAATATTTAGTGAATAAAGTTTTTTTTTTTCATAAAATACACTATTTTCGTATGCAAATAATTTAACTTACCACCCCTATCTATAAATAACCTTACTATATTATCACATTATAAAGTATAATTAAATTTATAAGGTTATTATTTTTATTTAACTAAGGTAACAATCGTTAAAACAAGGGTTTTGTTATTAAAATAATTTTAGCGGTTGATATTATTGTGCATTCGCGAGCTGCCACATACCTACGCAACCTTAGATAATAACTATGATTTCAATGTTAACTTACGGAACTGATAGTACTAACAATTAATGTATTTTTAAGTTAGCCCACGGATGTTGCAGATAATAATAATGTAACCTTTAATTATTGAAAAACAATTATTTAGATAATTTTGTTTTCACTTATTTCTCTTCAATGTCATTGTAATTATATTTTGTATACTTTTAGATTTTTCGTAAAAAACCTATCTCATAGATTTGCACAATAAAAAAACTTTTTAATTGTTATTTATTCCTTATAACAGAAAAAAAGATATTTTACATTCTTAATATTTTTATATTTCTGCGTTGCGTATAATAATAATATTATAATATTTAAAGGGAAACAACCTGAGTTGGCCATCTCTTTTTGTGTGTTCTATTTTTCTACTAGTAATTTTGCTCTAATTTATATTGATAACAATTTTTCTAAATGGAAATTTTACTAGAGAAATACTTTCGAAAGACCATTTTAGATTTTCTCTCAAGTTTTCTCATCAAATGCGAAAAAACTGGATAAAACATAGGAAAACTGGGACAAACGTAGTAAAACTGGAAAAAACGGTACTATATTAAACAAATATTATTAAAGAAAATATAAAAAGCCTATTTAATTATTTATTAGAATATGACATATATATTGTTGACAAAGCATTACTATCAATTGAACTCCTCTCAGAATCGTTTTTTCTTTAACAATGGTTTATCGTTGTTTATCCCATTATCCTAGGACGTTTTTTTTTCGGTCTCTTAGTACGTCTTATAATTAACGTTTTGTCAAATGTTCAGCATTTCTGTGATGTCCAACAATTTGTCTATTAAGTACCTACCAAATAAATTTTAAGTAAACAACTCGCAAAATTAAAATGTCTATAAACAGCTAAGGAAATACTCAGCAGTTCTGAACGTTTTACCTTGTCTAGTGAAAATATATCATATAAGTTTGATGTCATTATTTTAAGTCTCAATGAATATTTTAACAGAATAACATTAAAAAAAAAAAAAATCGAGCAGACATATTTCGCACGTGGGTGCAGTACTGTTGTAGGTGAAATGTTGGGAGGATAGGATATAGACGGGAATTTAATATATATCTGTCAGTAACGATAAATCGTCGCTAACGAACAAATTATTCTGAGGGGAGTTAAGTTGATACTTTAATAGCGTTGCTTTGTTTACAACTTATAATGCGGTAAAATGATTACAACAATGTGCAAACCACAATGCATAGTGTATACCTGTAGATATCCTTACTTTATGCTGGAGTCGATGAACGGCAGTCACGATTTAATTGTGACTGCTAGTGATTAACTGCTAAAATTTGGAGCTAGCTCTTCGAGAGAGATTTTCGAAAGAAGTTAATGGAGCATAGTTGATGTGTGCAGGGTGATTTTCCTAGAATTTCTCGAGCGATCAAGACGTTCAAATTTCGGATAAAAAACCGTTATATTTTATTTGCATTTTGTGTGGAACAGAGACTTGAATTGAACCGAAATGAACTGGTTCTGGAACACAAAAACACTTAAAATCTAAGGAATCTAAATCTAAATGAACCCGAATTAAATATTTTCAAATAACCGGAACCGGAACCAATATTTAAATTACAACAACAGGTTTTACAATGATAAATTATGTTGTTTTTTATTTCATGGCATATGCTTAATTTATCGGCTATATTACTCATATCACTAATGAAAAACGACTGCTTTGATAATCTATTTTTATTTTTATTTAAAGTTGTTTTTTTTGTGATATCATGATAATTAAAGTTACTGATTATTATCTCTGTTTTGTATATTAAAGTTAAAATAAAAATAATCTATAATCACTATGAAGTTACAACTGTACATATTACTATTTTATTGACTATTGTCACCAAATGGCAATACTCTACTAAATACAGCAGCCCGCCTATGATATCTGTAAATGCAGTATAGGTATAGAAAGATGTAGGTATTAAGAACTTTAGATGAGAAAAAAAAAGAATGGTTCCGCTAGGTGAACCCAGAGAAGTGACGACACGACCGAAAATATTGACACGTATCGCGTGTTAGTGCCTTTCGCGGTCCTCAACCTGGCGGCTCCCACATGATCGCCGCAGTGGCTAAGTGGCATGTCAGTGTGTGGACAAAGTGTGCAATGAATTGTGAAATAATGGCATACTTAAGTAGCAAAACTGATATGTTTGGTAATGGAACTAGTACTAGTATCTACTACTACTGCTCATTTATTTTACAAATATTGAATATTTAATAAATTACACTTAGTTTACATAAACATTAAACGTATATTGTTTAAGTCAATAATAATTAGGTTTATCATGAGACTTTTCTTTATTCATTAATGTCGATCTTTATGTCGAAGTGTCCAGCTCGTACATTTGGTCAATTCAGGTTCAGGAGATCCTTTTAAACCAGCAGTAATTGCAGTTGTTGCAGCATAACATCCACAACCACAATCACAGTGATAATCATCAAAATCATAAGTGTATAAAAAAACTCCAGCCAATTTGTGTGTTGAGACTAATTTACCCTAAAAAAAAAAAAGGAAAAAGGGGATGATACTGAAGACGGATACCGCAACTGTTTGTGGAAAGTAGTAATAGTAAGATACATACATTTTTTTAAATTAATATTTGTAAGTAAAGATAAACTATTGCTTAAGAAAAAACGATTCTGAGCGGAGTTTAGTCGATAGTGCTACTATATGAACGACAAATATGTCATATAATGGTAAACATGGCTTTCTTAAAGTACCTCCCCATGCCGATTTCCTTTCAGAAAAGGCGCTACACTTAAAAAACGGAGTTATATATATGGTGGAAAAGTTGTCCACAGAAAAAAAAAAGATAAAAAAAATAATCTTAACAATTTTAAATAATAAAATGATTGTGCTTTAGTTAAAAAAAAAAATAGTTAATACTAAGGATTGTGGCCATTTTAATTTATACCTGTAGCTAACAAGAAAACCATTGCTAACAAAAATAACGATTCGGTTTGAAATTCGGTTAAAAATGTGTTGAAAGACTATAATATGTATGTTGTTATAAATATAAATATGTATAATATTTAAATATATTATTCTATATAACATAATGTACTCTATTTTAAAACTCTTAAAAAAAAAGACAACATTACACTCAATTTTATTTTTGAATTCTTATTCTTATTCTAATTACCTCTTAGTACTTATAACAAATAACTTTACAATAAAAATTGCGTTAATAATTCGCAAAATGAATATGTCTATAACTAAATCAAAAATTATTTAAATGTACGAAAGTTTTACCACGTCTAGAAAAAGTATACATAAGTTTTCTATAAACGATTTAAGTCTCTACAAATATTTTAAATAAAATCACTGTTGAAACTTCAATAGTTTTCGAATTTGTCGCCAACGCAATTTTCCCATTGTCATCTGGACTGCTTAGCTGCACTACTTGCCCTTACGCAGTAACTATCAATTTGCGCCGCCGCCAGTTTTTCTCTTTTTTTTCTGGTCATCCATATTTCCTTTTTTTTTCTTCTGTTTGGCTGCACGGTGTTCACCGGTCGTTCGCAGTGTTTTGCTTGGTCGTTGTTTGAGTTGTGGTTATTAATTCATTTCTATCGCGTTGTGTTTCATTTGTTTGATGTTGTGTATCATATTGTTGCTCTTAATTTGACATTCCTTTTGTATATTTTTATTTTTCATTTAAATTAATTAATTTTTACTTAGTTTTCTAAAATTATTATACAATTGCGACTGTGTGCTATCAGTTAGGTTGTTATCTGTCAACCCTATGGCATATTCTAGCCTCTTGGCTTAATTTAAATAATAAATTAATTATTTTCAGAAATTTGTATTGTTCTTTATATTTGTTATTCGGTATTACTCGATTAAAAATTTAACAAAAAATATCCATTGAAGCAATTATTATGGTATAATAAATATCTCTTAGAAATTTAAAATAAGAAATCATTTCGCCATTATTTGAAAAAAAAACCTTATTTTTCGTCCTTCTGGTTTTTCTCAATTATATTATGAAAATAACTTCAGATATCAAAAAACACACTCTTTGTCAATGGTCAAATATAAAATGTTTTAATGAATATTTGTAAGTAATGATAAATCATTGCTAATGAAAAAAACGATTCTGAGCGGAGTTCAGTTGAATGTCTTTATCAACGAAAAATATGTCATATCACGGAAAAATGGCCTCTTAATGTACTTCACTAAGTCGATTTATTTTCAGAAAAGACGCTAAATTTAAAAATCAGAACAATATATATATAGTGGATAAAATTGTCCACAAAAAAAAAAAATATATATAATTTTAAATAATAAAATGGTTGCGCCATAATTAAAAAAAAGTAGCGGATACCAAGGGGTGTGGCCAGTGTTGTATGTGGGTAGTTGGGAATTTAAGATACATTAAGTTATTTTATTTAATTTTTACTTGTAGCTTACAAGAAAAACATTGCTAACAAAAACAATTCGGTTTGAAGTTCAGTTTAAAATGTGTTGAAAGGCTGTAATGTTTACGATGTTCGTTGAAATATTTATAATTCTATATTATATAACATTATATACCCGAATACACGTATGAATCCCCTTAAATATCCTGTAAAAATTTAAATAATGAAAATGCGGTTATTTTAAAAAAAAATTGTATTTCCTGAACTTTTTGGTTTTTCCCCATTATATTATGAAAAATACTTAAGATATCGAAAAAACACATTCTTTGTCAATAGTTAAATTTAAAAAAGAAAAATATTAATTATTTTATCATACTGAGATTAAAGTAATATATTTCTTGTAGAAAACCTAATTTGCAATAATTTAAACCATTGAGATCTGTAAATATTTGTCATTTTAGCTATTTGAAAATCAAAAAATTACTTTTTCAATGCAACAACTACAGAGAATTATTTGTGCAACACTTTATAAGTCGAAACAAGATTTCATTTGGAAAAGTTGTTTACAGAGAGAAAATAAAAATCACACACCAAAGTAAAAACTGCGAGATTAAATTAAAAAACAATTTTGGAAATATTAAATCCCTGTTAAGAATTCGAAAATCAGGTTTAAATATTTCATTATGTTTACTAATATTAAAATTAGGTTTTTAGTGGAAATGTCATGACTCGTCGGATATTTATAACTGAATTACAGTAAAAAACATAAATGATAATAATGCATAACGACAATATTGTCTGGTTCATAAAATTTCCTGTTTTTTGTACGTTCTTTTCCAAGTTTTCTTAATAATTATTATTTAAAAAACTACACGAAAAATAAAAAAGTCGACTTTTTCAGGTAATAACCGAACAAAATTTTCTTTTAATAAATGTGTTTCACTGGAATTTGGTGAAAAATTTCTTTGGAAAAGTCGAAACCAAAAATGGATGGACGTACTTCGCACGTGGGTGCAGACACATTTGTAGGTTAAAAATAAAGATAAAGACAGTTGCTAATGACGACCTTATTTTTAATTTTTCAATATTTTTTGGTCTAAAAATCGGGATTTTTTCATTATCTTGAATTATAATTATAATTTTAAAAATAACCGCTCTAAAGTACAACAGAAAGAAAATTTCTTTTTAGATAAGGTGTTTTACTTTATAATCGGAGTATGATTTTTGGTAGTAAAAATATTCACATAAAAAAAAAGATAAATATACATCTTTGTAAAACCAGTTTATATTCGCTAAACTCCGAATCTAAAATATCATTGTAAAGCTAATACATTCCTTCATCCATTCAGAATCTAAAATTTAAAATGTTTTTTTAACGATTGGCAATTTTACACATCTTTTTGGCTCAATATTAATAAAATCTTTATCAAGACTACACATATTATTGACAATAATATTACGATGACCTTTTGGTGTACACATAGAAAATATATTCAACTTACAAAATGTTATAAATAAAAATATATTCTTACTTTTTTGTAGAAATTTGATAAATTATCTATACAGAATCGTCGATATTTACTCGGTTTGACTGAACAAAACTGTAAACAAAAAGACATCCTAGGATAAAAGTGTCGGGCGAAGCTACTGTTATACCTTATGATAAATTATAGCTAATAAATTATTAGGAAGGTATACCTGTAAGCAACGATCAATTATTGCTAACGAAAAAACTATTCTGAACGAAGTTAAATTGATAATAAACCTTTAAAACCAAAAAAAAAAAAAAAAAAAAAACATATTAGTAAAATTAATACTTTATTATTATAAATATTTTTATAATTTCTAACAGACGTAAAAGTTTATTTCCATTAAAAATTAAAGTTATTCTAACATCTATTAGATTCTGAGTGGAGCGAAAAGAGTTTCTCAGGAGTTATTTCATCAAAAACTTGATAAACAAAAAAAAACGACGGAAGAACGGAGAATACAAGAAATGTAGGTATTAGTTAAAATATATTACGGCCGTTTTTTTTTCCTGTGCACAACATTTCTACCAGTAATTTTGCTCCAATTTAGAATGATAGCAATGTTTCTAAAAATAATCCAACTAATGCTGTACTTTTGATAGAAGATTTTTCGATTTGGGATATTACAATATAAATGTTTCTAAAAGTAAATTTGACTGGGAAGTGATTTTAGAGAGGTTTTATTCTTATTTTTCCAAGATATTTCCAGAAAATTGTAAAAAACTGGATTTAATCATGGGAAAACCGGAAAAAAATTAGAAAAACCGGGAATATCTGTACAACATTAAACAAATATTATGATAGAAAATATAGAAATCGTATTTAATTATTTTTTTATAGTAAATATTATAATATGACATATCAATTGCCTGCACAGCATCTATATCTGCTGAATTCCGCTCAGAATCGTTTTTTCGTTATAAATGTTTCATCGTTACTTACAGGTATACATTCAGTTACCTAAATCAGTGACTGCATTTTTTAAAAATTAAATAAATAATGCACTTACAGTTGTGTAAGAATCTGCTTTGATATGTTCTTCAGATGATCGTGAAGAGTATACTCCAATTTGTATAACTAGATATATTTTACTACACTTTACTTGAGAAATTATTGCTTTAACGTATTCCTCCTGAAATCATAGATTGTAAACTTTTATTTATAAATAAAACATGTTCTATAAAAATAGGAGATACAATTGCTATTTATTTTTAAATAATATATTACTAATATTATTGTTGAAGATACCTTAAACTCGTATAAAAATAAACTACTACAAGTAGTTTTATTGACAAGAAATTCTTAAATAATAAATGCATCAATTGAAACTACATAAAATATAAATTAAAGTTGCAAACAAGTTTAATATTTTATATACAACTTTATCTGCCGGATCTTGGGAGGGCATTTTTGACTGATCAGAATCGTAAACACAATCTACCAATTCACACGCCGGATACACAAAAAACGGTACTACCTGTTCTAAGTACGGTAAATTGAAACCTGAAAATAAATAAGTACTATATATAATGCTAAAATAATCTTGCCGTTAGACAATACATTATAATATTTTTTGTAATCTTTTGTTGATCGTAATACTCGTATGTAAATTTAAGACTTAATTATACTTGTAATAAAACAATCGAATGAGACAGATTACAATGAGCAGTTCTAAATATGGATATTCATCTGTTTCAAGAAAAACCAAAACATAGGATTAAATAGTTAGGTCGTTTGCCACTCAGAGGCTCCATACTCGATATTTTGGGTTAGCCGGGCGGGGGCCATTACATATGCCTAATGTTTATGAGACGCCTCTTGCGTACTTTCTCATAAATAGTTCCATCTGCTCTGAACTTTCGAGTGCCGCCTAACTTAACTACTGTGCCGGTTTTTTTTAATAGGGATTTACTGAGTGTGTCGAAATTGACTTTCGCTGTGTTCATCTTAGTTCTTGATAAATTTGTTTTGGTTTGCCGAAACGCTTTGAACATTATCATGAGTTTTTAAGGGAAAAAAGTCAGCTTAATATGTGTTTTTTTTTTTTTTACAATTATATTTCAAACTTCAATGAAAATATATTTCTCATACTTCTTGCCAATGTAATCCAAATATCAACAAAAATCGAATAATATAAAAAACAGAGGTATGACATGCCGACAATGTCGTTAAATGTTTCAAGTAATTTAGTTACTATTCGGCAGAAATTTAACATCTTCAGAGTCACTGTGTGAATAAGTTTGAGTGTTTGTTTATTTGCCTATCCAAAAAATGTACATCATAATTAACTTTTTAAAACCGATTGTACATTGTGAATTGATTACCTCGAAAAAAAAAACCAGATCATTTATTATACTCCTTATTCAAAATCTAAAATTAATCTCAACGCATTTTATTTCTTTTACTGCAGCTCCACTGTCTTGTTTTCTTCTCAAAAATTTCTTTACGATTCTATCCATAACATCATACATACATGAGAATTTTTTTTTGGTACTTGCGATACATTTTTTTTTTTTTTTTTTATAAAAATATTGTCATTATAATACACCATGCCGAATATTTCCTATTAGGATATTGCAAGTCGTTTATTTCCTTTTTTTGCCATGGATTAAGTTTCCCAAACATAATTTCCCACACACATTATACATTAATATTTGAATCATCATACGTATCATCTATCAAACTAAAATACAATTTTGGAACTCCTTTTTTTTACTAACGCCTATATTAGAACCCTTTTTAGTACACTGTCATAAAATTTTTTTAAATTTATAAAAAGTATACATAGGTTGTTTTTCTTATTTCTGTACTTTTCTACAATTTGACATGCAACAAAACAACGGATCCATCCATTTCTTTGACACACAACCACAATAATCGTAGATATTGTTGTCCCATTTTTATATTATTTCTTATAATTTTTCCCATATTTTCATACTATGATTCATTAAGTTTACTACTATATAATTTCCACATCATTGTACAGCTTTTTCCCTTTTAAAATATCTATTTATAAAGAGTTTTCCCTCTTTCTTTACTATTTTGAAATGTTCCTATCCATCAACAGCTTATTGATAAATCCAAATCAGATTCTCTATAATTCTGCTAATATTTTCCACACTTTATCTAGGATACCATTGGAATTGATCCCTTTTTCCTTTATATTACTCTCATAGACGACCATAGTTCCTCCTCATATTATGATAATTTGTATAACTTTATTAATTCCTTTATGTTACAAGAAATGATAATTTTTTATTTTCCATAATAAACATTACCTGGATCTGGTAACGTTCTAAGCATTATACCACATAATGTATTTGGTATTTTAATCTGTAGATTCTTAAATAATTCATAAATGCGTGTTTGCATGGCGTTTTCGTATCCTGAGTCATCGTACATGTAGGGGTCATACGACTAAAATTGTTAATATCATAAATAACCAAATGTATACCTAAGTCACAATTGTAATTAATTTTGTTATTACCAAATACATATTTTCAAAAATTAATACATCAATGTGTTTATCGTGTATCATTTGGGATAAATCGTCTATTAAACCGTCTAAATGTTTTGTTTTTAAATGTTCAAAGTAGTAATCATAATTTTTATCGTCATAAATATAAACTCTCTTTAGATTTTCCGCTAGTGCATCAATGTTTTTCAGTTGAGCTAAAAACATTTAAAATTAAATAGTGAATAATAAGAAAAAAAATTTAATTCTACTATTTAATATTAGGACCTTGCCGATGTCTCTTGGATGTACAGTTATTATTAACGGCATGGTTACAATGTATATAGTCAGAATGAAGACATCTCACCGAGGAGTGTTATGACGAATTACAATTTTGTATTACATTATGTGCAAATGATTATCATAAAATTAATTTTTTCTCGGATAGACATTTAATAATATCATTAATGTTATTTTTTGTAAATTAATAGGAAATAGGTATAGATCTGATATTTTAGTTCATATAATTCTTTTACAATACATACTTTCATCACTACTATACCATGCAACCGCTGTACAAGGAGTATGTTTTGGAAAAGAATCCATGTTATTTTTTGAAGAAATGCAACACATTATCTTAATATCAGATAATGATACCTTACCTAAAACTTTCATTAAATTTGTAAAAGTAAAATATTTAGATTAAAAAATTAAAATATTTTAGAAAAAAAGAATATCAATTAAATACGTACTCGAATTTTCAACGAAAATTGTCAAAATTATAAGTGAATTGATGTGATATTTTCTATTGTTAATAAGTGAATCCATTATTATATCTGATCCTGTGTTTGTGAATATTGCTAACAAAGTGTTCCGTAATTTTTTTGAAGTATATTATCCTACTGAAAATGAATATTAATCACATCAAAATTTATTTTAATGTTTTAATTAAATTAAAATATGTATATTTGATGTTCGAACAAATTCATATATTTAATATTTACACAGTGCTTATGAAAAAAAAAGAAAACATTATCGGTTAATAATTATAATTGATTACTACAAGTGTCATATATCCACTGGTACCAACATTTTCTTGTTTTATCAGTATGATCTAAATTTATATAACATAATTTATTTAAATATATTATATGTTTTTGATTTATTTAGTATCATATAACATAGGGTGATTCGTTTATTCAGCACTTTACCAGAAATATACTTACAATTCTCTGAGTATGACATCTACAACGAAGAACTGAATTATTTAATTATTTTTGTGAACCCAGTACCTCTCAGACATTAAAAATGATCCGATATATGTCCATGATACTTAAAAGGGAATAAGCCGACGCCCGTAACATTCATCACTTTTGAAAAACCGAAAAAACTGATGAAAAAAGAGAAAATATAGGAAAAGTATGTATTAGTAAAAATATATTACGGCATTTTCTTTTTTTGTAAACTATTTTTCTACCAGCAATTTCGTTCCAACTTATATTGCAAGATTTCTAAAAGGCAATTCGATTAGGAATGTACTTTAGAAAGGTCATTTTTCGATTTTCGAGTCTTCTTATCAAATGCGGAAAACCGTGATAATACATGGGAAAAACGTAGGAAAACTGAAGAAATTGGTACTATATTAAACAAATATTATTAAAGAAAATATATAAATCTTATTTAATTATTTTATTAGAATATGACATATATTCTGTTGACGAAACATTACTATCAACTGAGCTCCGCTCAGAATCGTTTTTTCATTAACAATGGTTTATCATTGTTTATAGATATACATTAAATTATCCATAAAAGTATCTGCACCAGTGTTCATTACCCTAGAATTTAACCTTTTGTCAAATGTTTAGTATTTCTGTGACATCCAACAATTTATCTACTAAGTAATTACCAAACAAAATTTGAGTAAAAAACTCGCAAAATTATTATGCTAAAATGTTCTGAATGTTTTACCGTGTCTAAAAATAGCAATCATATAATTTTTATGCCAGTATTTTATGTCTTAATGAATATTTTAACAGAATAATATTAAAAAAAAAAAATTGGGTGGACATATTTCGCACGTGGGTACCGTTGAAGGTGAGAAGTTGTGCCTGTATAGGGGAAACTAGCTCACGGTGAGCACGGAATCGCCATCTGCAAGCCTTTTTCCCCTACGTAGGGAACATGATCAAGGTTATCTAACCATGAACGAATGTATACAAATATATACATTTTCAAAAGTGTTTAATACTGGTTTTAACTAGAACTCTAAATTAATATTCCAAAAGCAGAACCGGAACCAGAAACTCTTAATGAAATAATTGAGTACCAGAACCGGAATCGTAAAAAGCAGAAGATACCAGTTTCTGGTACAATATATGATATTGGCAGGTATGTTTCATTCGCTGGTAATATATAATAATTATAAGAGTAATGATAAATAATATTCAGAAAATGGCCTTATCAGGTTCGCCAATGATTATCCGTGGTCGGCGACTGGCTGACGACGCTCGCATCCGTAGTGGACTTTTCTATAATGATGGTGACGAGCTGATAAAGAACGCGGACGTACGGCTACATTACCAACTTTGACAACCAACCCAAACTTTTGGCGGTGACGACCATTTACGCGATTTTACACTCTGATTTAACTAATAGCACGCAACGGAACGGAGAAGTTGACGCGTTCGCGTGTATGACGGACAATATAAATTCTCGGATACATCTGGCGAATCGAACGAATGTCGACTTATATCAGCAAAAATGTTAACGGAACGCCTGGTCCGCATATAGAAAATATACGTACCCACTACTATGGATGTACGAAAGCGACTCAATGTAATGATAAAATTATCACTAGCGATTAAGATAATGCACCGGTACGCGCTGGATACACGGGCGATAGCACATATATATATATAAATAATACATTCATTTTTTTTTCATAAACGTTTTAAGACCATATTTTTTCGATTATCTTAAAAATTACGGCATTTCAAAATATACCTCGACGAACTTCGCTCTGAATCGTTTTACGCTATCAAGGGTTTATCTCAGCATTCCTTTATGTATAATAATTTCCTGACTTCTCATTTACAATAGTGGCTGTACCCATCATCAGTACTAATACTGATACTAGCTCTGTTTCCTCCTATTATTATGAAAACATCTCGGAAAATCTAAAAATGACTTACTTGATGTATCTTTTAGATAAAATTTCCTTTCAAAAAATGTTGTACATTTGAAACATAGGAGCAAGTCGAAAAATGACCTCTCGAGAGTACTTCCCCAGTTCGATATTTATTCGGTTGGTTAAACTCAAGATCTCGGAAAGGTTAGGTTGACAACTCTTATGACCTGAAAGATTTATTAATTTTTTTAATTATAATCTTCGTGTTTTTCTGTCAATGGTCGAGGTCATTTTATAAAAACTGAGAAACACTTAGTGTACCAAAAATCTGCGAGTGTTATTGGTCCTGGCTTTTTTCATCCATAAAGCTCGATATATTTCACAAGGTTCCAAAAGGTGATTCTTTTTTAGTAATAGCTAGCACTAAAAAAAATTATTATTTATCGATTATATTCTTTCAAATCATCTTTTAGGTGAAACTCCTCAAGTTGTTTTAAAGCAAACACAATCTTGTTAGTAGTTATTTTTTCAATTTTATTCATTAAAGAAGCAAGAAAATAATAGTAAAAAATTAAACAAGAAGCCGTTTAGTACAACTTAATTATACATACAGTGTATGTCATACACCTTATACATACAAAATATATTTTCATAATATATAATAAAATTAATAAACCTTTTTTTAAATGGAAAATAAATGTGTAATACTTACGTAGTTGAATAAAAAGCAATAGTAAAATAGATTACTGGCTTAGGCAGAACAGTTACACGGTGGTGTGGGAAATGAACTGTCAAATATAATATAAATTGTGTGAACAAATATTATTAGTGCGTAAAAAGTAGAACGGATACACAGCGGTTTGTCTGTCGATGAATATGTGTATATATTGTCCTACGTGTGTGTGTGTGTTTAATATACAGTTATCATCGCTACATAAACATATACATACTTCTATAAAGATGTTTAATTTTGACCGGCCGCTACGTACCACTTGAGATAATTTTTTAATTCATTTATTTCCGTCTACCAAATTTTCTTACTTAATGTTCTACTACGAGAATATAGAAATAATCAATTTCTTCGAAATGTTTAAAATTCACAGGAAGTTCGTTGCTTAATATATAAGGAGAAATTATAAGGATACGTAGCTTTCGATAAATTGTTACAATAAATATAGGTTTGGAAAGATGTAGGTAGTAAGAACTTTAGACGAGCAAAAAAAAAGTGCTTCGGCAGGGTGCATCCAGATAAGAGACAACACAATCGAAATGTCTTTCACGGTCACCATCATGGCAGCTCCCATATGATCGATGCAGTGAATTGGAGGTGTGTGGACAATGTGTGTAATTAAAATTGTGAAATAATTTATGGCGTACTAATATGGTAACACTGATATATTTGTTGATGGAACTAGAACTAGTTCTTACACTTCAATTTGTTTATTTATTTTACAAATGTTGAATATTTAATAAATTACACTTGGTTTACATAAAAATTAAACGTATATTGTGTAAGTCAATAATAATTGAGTTCGTCATGAAACTTTTCTCTATGGATTAATGTCGATCATGACGGCTAAGTGTCCAGTTCGTACATTTGGTCAATTTAGGTTCAGGGGATCCTTTTACACCAGCAGTAATTGCAGCGGATGCAGCATAACATCCACAACCACAATCGCAGTGAAAATCATCATAATCATAACTGTATAGAAAAGCTCCAGCCAATTTGTGTATCGAGACTAATTTTCCCTAGAAAAAAAAAAAAGGAAAAAGAGGACGATAATGAAGACAGATGCCACAACTGTTTGTGGAAAGTTGCATTAGAAGAATACATAAAGTTTTTTAATTAATATTTTTAAGTAAAGAATAACCATTGCAAATGAAAAAACGATTCTAAACGGAGTTCAGTCGATAGTGCTACTATATTAAAAACAAATATGTCATGGTATATTATCATGGTAAAAATGGTCTCTTCAAATTATCTCCCCACGCTGATTTCCGTTCAGAAAAGGAACTACACTTAAAAATCGTTGAAATACATTTGGTGGAAAAGATGTCCACAGAAAAAAAAAATAAAAAAATAATCTTAACAATTTTAAATAGTAAAATGGTTGCGCCATAATGAAAAAAAAAAAATAGCTGTTACTAAGGGATGTGGCCATTGTATGATCTTTTCAAGTTTTTTTAATAAATATTATTATGAGAACTACACGAAAAATAAAAAAACCGCCTTGAAATAAATATGCTTAACTTAAATTTGGTGACATATTTCTAGATAAAAATCAAAACCAAAAAATGACGGACGTATTGCGCAAATAGGTCTAAGCACATTTGTAGGTTGAAAGTTTTGAAGGTAGGATGCAGACGGGAATTTAATGTATATCTACGAGTACACTTGATATTGTTGCTTTGTCAACATTACACTGTATGTCATAATATAGTAAAACGATTACAACAGTTAGTGTTTTTTTAGGAAAACAATAACGACCATATTTTTTATCTCTTAATCTTATTTAACTTGAATAATGAAGTTTTTCTCATCATCTCGAATTTTAATTATATTTTTAAAAATCGACCTCTTTAAAATACCACATTAAAAGCATTTTTTTTTTCACAAAAGGTGCATAATTTTTGGTAGTTAAAGTGTTAACATAAAAAAAAATGAAAAATAACTATCTTTGTAAAACCAGTGCACTGTTCGGTAAACTCCGAATCTAAAACATCATTGTAAAGCTAACAAATTCTTTGATCCACTCGGTTACTAAAATTTTAAATGAATTTTCTTTGATTGGGAATTTTATACTTCTATATAGCTTAATATTAATAAAATCTTTATCAAGACTACACACATTATTGACAATAATATTGCGATGAATTTTTTTTTGTACACATAAAAAATATTTTGAATTTACAAAATGTTTTAATTAAAAATATTTTCTTACTTTTTTATAGAAATTTAATAAATTATCTATGCAGAATCGTCGATATTTACTCGGTTTTCCTGAACAAAACTGAAAACAAAAAGACGTCCCAGGATAATTGGGTTGGGTGCAGAAATTATTATACCTTATGATATATTATAACTTATAACCCTTAAGTAATCTATACCTGTAAGCAACAATATACCATTGCTAACAAAATAAAACGATTCTAAGCGAAATTCAGTTGACACTGATGCTTTGTCAACAATATATCCGTCATATTATGGTAAAATAATGAAACAGACAATATATTAAATTTATTTTAACTTCATATTTTGTTTAGCATTATATCTATTTTCCACGAATTTTTACATTAACCTGGAATTGAATCGAAAAATGACATTTTTAAAGANTTTTTTTTGTAACCCATGTTTAGCGTTGCTTTCAGGTATACATTCAATCACCTAAAAACAGCGGCTGCATTTTTTAAAAATGAAATAAGTAATGCACTTACAGTTGTGTAAGTATCTACATTGATTTTGTCATCATATGATTTTAAAGAGTATACTCCAATTTGTATAACTAGGTATATTTTACTACTCTTTACTTGGGAAATTACTGATTTAACGTATTCCTCCTGAAATAATAGAATGTAGACATTTACTTTTAAATATAATATGTTCTAAATAATAGGAGATGCAATTGATATTATTTAAAAATTAATATTATTATTATTTTTGTTGTAAACCTAATGATCACATAAAAATTCTAACCTATGGAAGTATTGTTATAGATGAGCAATTCTTAAATAATAAAAAATACTAATTAAAATTACATAAAAATATAAATTCATGTTGCGAATAAGTTTAATAGAATATTTACAACTTGATCTGCCGGATCTTGGGAGGGCATTTCCGACTGTCCGTCATGGTAATAACAACTTACTACGTCACATGCCGGATAAACAAAAAATGGAACTACCGGTTCTAAATACGGTAAATTAAAACCTGAAAATAAATAAGTATTATATATTATGCTATTATAATGTTTTCATTTAACGATACATTTTAATATTTTTTATATTTTCAGTAGACCATGTAATCGTAACTTTAAACAAAAAATATTTCAATTCTTAATACAGAAATGCATATTTATGATCTAATTATACTTGCAATAAAATAATTGAAGGATTTAAATTATAATGACTAGTTCTAAATAGGTACCACTGTTCCTCTGTTCAAGAAAAAGCAAAACTTATAATCAAACGTTTATATCGTTTACCACTCGGAGGCGCCACACTCGATGTCTTGGGTTAGTCGGGCGGCTGCCACTATATCAGGGGATGCCTAATGCTTATGAGACGCCACTTACGTACTTCCTCACCAATAGTTCCATTTGCTCTGAACTTTCAAGAGCCACCTATCTACTGTGTCAGTTCTTCTTAATAAGGATTTACTGAATGTGTCCTAATTAACTTTTGGTTTATTCGTCTCAAGTTCTTGAAAAAATTCTTTTGGTTTCAGCGAAACTGTTCGAGCATTATCACGAGTTAAAACAAGTGAGAAAAAAAAGTCAGCGTAATTCTTTTATGTTTTATTTTTTTACAATTAAACTTTAAACTTTAATGAAAACGTATTTTTTATTCTTCTTGAAAAGGTTATCCAAAAATCAACAAAATCGGTTTACATAAAATTTTATTTTTTTATTGCAGTGCCACTGTCCTGTTTTCTCGCCAAAATTTTCATTACGATTCTATAAGTAATATCTTACATACATGTGAAAGTTAGATTTTTTGTACTTGAGATACATTTTTCCTGTTAAGTATTTTTTATAATATATTGTCATCATAATAAACCATGTCGAATGTTTCCTATTCCGATATTACATGTCGTTTATTGTCTCTTTTTGTTATAGATTTTTCTTTCTTCTCTCAGTACTTTTTTACAATTTGACTTACACAAATCACCGGATACATCGTCGAGTTCTTTGAAACAAAACCAAAATGATCTTAGATATTGATGTCCTGTTTTTATTCTCTTTCTCATAATTTTCCCCATATCTTCATACTATGACTCATCTAGTTTACTCCTATATAATTTCTACATCATTTTACAGCTTCCTTCCCTTTTAAAATTTTTAAAAAACTCTAAACCAGCCTATCTTTATAATTTTGCTTAAATTGTCCATACTTCATCTGGGACGACATAGGGATTGATCCCTTTTTTCTTTATATTACTCTCACAGACGACCAAACTTCCTCCTTATATGATAATTCGTGTAACTTTATTTCTTCCTTTATATTACAAGAAATGATAATTTTTCATTTTATATAAGAAAAATTACCTGGATCTGGTACTGCTCTGAGCATTAAACCATATAATGTATTTGGATTTTTAATTTGTATTTTCTTAAATAATTCATGAATGCGTGTTTGCATGGCGTTTTCATATCCCGAGTCATCGTATACGATGGGATCATACGGCTAAATTGTTAATGTTCATAATTAATTAAAATTATAGGTACCTAAATCATAGTTGTAATTATTATTATTACCAAGTACATATTATCAAATATTAATACATCAATGCGTTTGTCGTCTATCATTTGGCATAAATCGTTTATAAAATCATCTATTTTTTTTGTTCTTAAATTTTCATAATAGTAACTATAAGATTTGTCGTTATAAATACAAATTCTCGTTAAATTTACCGTTAGTGAATCAATGGATTTCAGTTTGGCTAAAAAACACTTATAGTTAAATAGTGAATAATATGAGAAAAATGTAATTCTGCTATTTATTTTTAAGATAAACGGTCTTGGATAATGATATAGTATAATTTTATACTATATCATGGGAAAACTTTTTACCAAAAATATGCTGTCTCTTGGACGTACGGTTAATACTTATGGCACGGTTAAAATATATAATTATAGTCAGAATGTATTCATCTCATCGAGTATCTTCCTTATTTTGGGGTTGACGAATTAATGTAAAAATAAGTTTAATGATATGGTATAATATTATATTATATCATTGACAACCTTTTTACCCACATTTAAATTTTTCTAGGATGTACTTTCAATAATATCATTTATTTTATTTTTTATTAATTATTAGGAATTGATCTATTATTTTAGTTCATATAAACTATTTTTTAATACACACATTCATAACTACTAAACCATGCAACCCCTGTACAAGGAGAATCTTGTGGAATGGAATCGATGATATTTTTCGAAGAAATGCAACACATTATCTTAATATCAGATAATGATACCTTACCTAAAACTTTCATGAAATTTGTATGAGTATTATATTTAGATTAACAAATTAGAATATATTAGAAAAATAGAAAAGAAAAATATCTATTAAATACATACCCAAATTGTCAATGAAAAATGTCAAAATTATAAATAAATTGATGCGACATTTTCTATTATCAATAAGTGAATTCATTATTATATCCGATCCTGTATTTGTGAATATTGCTAACAAAGTTTTCAATAATTTTATTGAAATATATTATGCGGCTTAAAATGAATATTGCATAAAAATTTATTATAATTGATGTTAGAACAATATTTGATGTTAGATCAAATTCATAAAGTTAGTATTTACACAGCTCTTTTGATAAAAAAAAAAAAAAAACGATTAATAATTATAATTGATTATTTAAAGTGTCATATATCCTCCGTTACCAACATTTTTGTTGTTTTATTTGTATGCCCTAAATTTATATAACGTAATTTAATTAATTATATTATTAACATAAGGTGCTTCGTTCATATAACATTTTACCAGAAATAATCGTTAATTTCAGTATGACATCTAAAACAAGGAAATTAATTATTTAATCATTTTGTGTACTCAGTACCTCTCAGGTTCGAATACTAAGTTTTGTTGAATAAACTAAAGAGAAAACTGTTTTTGATTTACTACGCAAAATAATACTATGTATATTGTGTAATTACAATAAATTGTATAGACCTTGTAACTCGACCATCGGTTTCACGAACGCATATGAACGACGAGCCTGTTGGTATCATTGTAATACGTCCATACGTTCAAACAAATTTTTTTAAACTTTTGAACCTAACCTAACAAATACGTGTGAATATTTTGAAACCCGTTTAATTTATAGTGTATTAAAGTGGCAACAATGATATTTTTGGTGATAGATCTAGTACTAGTTCTTACTACTTCAATTTGCTCATTTATTTTACAAATATTGAATATTTTATAAATTACATTTAGTATACATAAAAATTAAACGTTTATTGTTTAAGTCAATAATAATTAGGTTTGTCATGAGACTTTTCTTTATTCATTAATGTCGATCTTTATAGCGAAGTGTCCAGTTCGTACATTTGGTCAATTCAGGTTCAGGAGATCCTTTTAAACCAGCAGTTATTGCAGTGGTTGCAGCATAACATCCACAACCACAATCACAGTGATAATCATCGTAATCATAACTGTGTAAAAAAGCTCCAGCCAATTTGTATGTCCAGACTAATTTACCCTGAAAAAAAAAAAGGAAAAACGGAATGATACTGAAGACGGATGCTGCAACGGTTTTTGGAAATTAGTAATAGTAGAATATATACAATTTTTAAATTAATATTTCTTAGTTATGAAAAAACGATTCAGAGTGGAATTCAGTCGATAATGCTACTTTATAAACAACAAATATGTCATATCATGGTAAAATTGGCCTCTTAAAATTATCTCCCGTTCAGAAAAGGCACTACACTTAAAAATCGGAGAAATATATTTGGTGGAAAAGTTGTCCACAGGAAAAAAAAAATAAAAAAATAATCTTAACAATTTTAAATAGTAAAATGGTTGTTCAATAATTAAAAAAAATAACTGATACTAAGTGGTGTGGCCATTATTGTAAGTGGGTAGTTCGGAATGTGAGATACATATAAAAATTTATTTTAATTTGTACCTGTAGCTTACAAGAAGAACATTGCTAACAAAAATCAAAACGATTCAGTTTGAAGTTAGGTTAAAAATGTATTGAAAGACTAAATTATGTACGTTGATTTAAATATAAATATATGTATATAATATGTAAATATATTATTCTATATAATATAATGTACTCTATTTTAAACTCTTAAAAAAAAGACAACGTTACACTTAATTTTTTTTGACCTCTTAGTATGACTTATAATGAATGTTCTGTACAATTTCCAAGTTTTTCTTTGATGCCCAACACTTTTTCAACAAATAAATCTACAATAAAAATTGCTTAAACAACTCACAAAATTAGTATGTCTATAACAAGATCAAAAGTTATTCAAATGCTACGAAAGTTTTACTATGTCTAGAAAAAGTATATAAGAGTTTTCTGTCAACAATTTAAGTGTCTACAAATATTTTAAACAGAATCACTGTTTAAACTTCCAGGGGTTTTGTGGCATCGCAGTTTTCTCTTTTTTTATCTAGATATCCACCACTGTTTGGCTGCACTACTTGCTATTTCGCAGTCGCTATCATTTTGTGCCGGCACCGGTTTTTTTCTTTTTTTCTCGTCGTCCATATTTCCTTTCTTCTATTTGGCTACTTGGTGCTCTCCGGTTATCCGCAGTGTTTTGCCAGGTCGTTGTTCGAGTTGTAACTATTATTTAATTTTTCTCGCGTTGTGTTTAATTTTTCTGGCGTTGTGTATCACATTGTTGCTTTTAATTTTACATTCACTTTGTACCTGAATCGTGTTGTAGTTGTTGGTTATAATTGTAGGCGCAGTTCGACAAGAGATTTCGGTGGTAAGAGTTGTGACTTTCGAAATCAAGCTGTTGTTGTTTTCTTTATTATTCTATTGTACATATTATTCGGGTCCCGACGCTGCCACGTGGGTGAAACCAGCTGTCATTGTGGTTCCTCAGGTGAGTGATAACTACCATCAGTTTTTTTCCATTAAAAGTTGATAAGTGTAAACGTAACCACTTAAGTTTATTTACCAACTGTTACCAAAACATGAAAATATATTTTATATAAAACACATATGTTTGCCTATACGCTCATTAAGAGCGATACATATTTAGTACATTTTGTACATAAAGTAATATTTCTTGTAAAAAACATAATTTTCAACAATTAAAAACATTGAAATCTCCAAATATTTGAAATTTTACCTATTTGGAAATCACAAAAATGATCTTTCAAATGCTCCAACTACAGAAAATTATTTGTGTAACACTTAATACGTCGGAAGAAGATAGTATTTTAAAAATGTATTTACAGATTTAACACAAAAATTATACATCACAGTAAAAGTAAAATATTAAATTAAAAAAACCAAAAAAACAATTTTGAAAGTAATAAAATCCTGTAAAGAATTTAAAAATCGCCTGGATTGAATTATTTTACTATGTCTATAAATAATAAATTTAATTTTTTGTAGAAATATCATGACCCGGCGAATGTTTTAAACCAAATTACAATAAAAACAAAATTGTAAATAATGCATAATAATAATAATGTCTTAAAATTTCCCGTGTTTTGTATATTTTTTTCCAAGTTTTCTTAATAATTATGATTAAGAGAACTACACGAAAATTTAAAAAATCGAATTAAAATAAATATGTTAAACTTAAATTTGGTGAAATATTTCTAGATAAAAATCAAAACCAAAAAAGGACGGACGTACTGCGCACGTGGGTGCAGTTACATTTGTAGGTCGGAAGTTTGGAAAATAGGATGCAGATGGGAATATAATGTGTATCTATAATACATTATACATATATCTGTAATCTAAAATAAACTATTACTAGCGAAAAAAAGATGCTGAACGGAGTACACTTGATATTGTTGCTTTGTCAACATTATATTGTATGTCATAATATCGTAAAATTATTGCAACTGTTTGCGTTTTTTTAGGAAAACAATAACGACCATATTTTTTATCTCTTAATCTTGTTTAACTTGAATAATGGAGTTTTTCTCATCATCTCGAATTTTAATTATATTTTTAAAAATCGACCTCTTTAAAATACCACATTAAAAGCATTTTTTTTTTCAGAAAAGGTGCATGATCATCGGTGCATAATTTTTGGTAGTAAAAGTGTTAACATAAAAAAAAATGAAAAATAAATATCTTTGTAAAACCAGTGCACTGTTCGGTAAACTCCGAATCTAAAACATCATTGTAAAGCTAACAAATTCTTTGATCCACTCGGTTACTAAAATTTTAAATGAATTTTCTTTGATTGGGAATTTTATACTTCTATATAGCTTAGTATTAATAAAATCTTTATCAAGACTACACACATTATTGACAATAATATTGCGATGATTTTTTTTTTGTACACATAAAAAATATTTTGAATTTACAAAATGTTTTAATTAAAAATATTTTCTTACTTTTTTGTAGAAATTTAATAAATCATCTATGCAGAATCGTCGATATTTACTCGGTTTTACTGAACAAAACTGTAAACAAAAAGAAGTCCTAGGTAAATTGGGTCGGGTGCAGCCACTGTTTTACCTTATGATATATTATAACTTATAACCCTTAAGTAATGAATACTTGTAAGCAATAATAATCCATTGCTAACAAAAAAAACGACTCTAAGCGAAATTCAGTTGTCACTGATGCTTTGTCAACAATATATACGTCATATTATGGTAAAATAATTAAACAGACAATGTATTAAATTTATTTTAACATATTTTATTTAGCATTATATCTATTTTCTTGTTTTTCCTGTATTTTTCCCGGTTTTTACATAAACCTGGAAATTAATTGAAAAATGACATTCTTAAAGAACGTTCCTAGCCATATTTCCTTTTTAATTGATGCGAAATTGCTGATAAAGAAATTGTTCATAGGAGAACAGAAGGCCGTAATATTTTTTTTATAATACCTTTGTACATTTCGTATATTTTCGGTTTTTTTACATTTAATATTTTTGTTTTGGGTATTATGAAAACAGCTTGGAAAACCAAAAAAAGATTTCCAAAATAGTTTCTAGTAGAATTGCATTACACAGTATAAAAAAAAAAATATATGTATATATCGTATTAAAACTAATACATTCTTCACTACACTCAGGATCTAGAATATTTATATTGATTTATTTATATATTATAGTATATTTATAATTTCTAACAGAATAAACGTTTATTTCCTTTATAAATAAAGTTGTTATTTTAACATCCGTTAGATTCTAAGTGAAGTAGAGATTTTCTCAGGAGTTATCTCATCAAACATGGAAAACCGAAAAAAAACAGTGGAAAAACCGGAAAATTTAAGAAATTTAGGTATTAGTTGAAATATATTACGGCCTTCATTTTTCTCGTGAACAACATTTATACTAACAATTTTGCTCCAACTTATAATAATAGCAATGTTTTTAAAAAGAAATACGACTAGGGAGGTACTTTTGAGAAGTGATTTTTCAATTTGTTATTTAATAGTAGAAATGTTTTTAAAAGTAAATTTTATTTGGAAAGGTATCCTAGGGAGGTATTATTTCGATTTTTCCACGACTTTTTTAGGCAATTGTGAAAAACTGGGTTTAATCATGGGAAAACCGGGAAAATTGTTTAATATTAAACATAATATTATTATAGAAAATTTAGAAACCTAATTTAATTATTTTACTATAATATGACATATAATTTGTCTACAAAGCATCACTATCTGGTGAACTCCGTTCCGAAGCGTTTTTTTTTTTGTAATTAATTTTTCATCATTGCTTACATTTAATTACCTAAAAAAGTGGCCGTATTTTTTTAAATTAATAAAATAATGCACTTACAGTTGTGTAAGAATCTGTCTTGACAGGATCTTGAATTGCTCGCGAAGAGTCTGCTCCAATTTGTATAATTAGATATACTTTATTACTATTTACATGAGAAACTATTGCTTTAACGTATTGCTCCTGAAATTATAGATTGTAAACTTTTACTTTTAAATAAAGTATGTTCTCAAAATTAGGAGATTTAATTAGTGCTCGAAATAGGAAATTTTACGAACCGGAACGCTCATAAAATTAATATGCAGATTATAATATTAGTTTTTAATTTTAATTTTTTTAATTTGTGTTTACTTTACAACACAATGTAATTAGCTAAATAGATACAAGTAGATATAAGTTTTTTTAAGCTTAAAAAATGTATTTATAGAATTCAAATTAAATAGATAGCTTATAATAATTTCCATAATGCTGAGTATTTTTCGTCAAATTTTTTTTGACGTTTGTGACTTACGGCGTTATCAACAGAATGTCTATCTTAGACTAAACATGAGCGTACATATTTTGCAGGACGAAATTCAGTGAGTGTAGTATCATTTAATGAAGATCTGAGGGGTGTTATAATTTCATTCATTGAGCTGAAATTTCGCTCGCACTCACTTGTAAAAATAGGAATAGTCGCAACGGTTTTAAAATATATTTGTGAGTCGTCCGAAACACCTTCTTTTCCTTCTTCCTTTTTGTATATTTGAAAACCCCGAACAATATCATTTTATTTATTTAATTGAAAGTGGTGACACAAGTAAAGTATTTTATCTTTAAATGTAATATTTTAGACTTCACCATTATCGGAAAAACACCGGAAAATTTTTTTTGGATCTAATACGCTAAGACCACTGAGTAAATCTTTATAATTATAAATGTTCTCTTGTTGATGTATTTCATTTTGACTGCTTACGTGTGATGAATTAGTTGTTATTTAATAAAAATTTAATAAAAACGAACTCATAATTTATAATTATATTACCTAACAGAAAAACGCACCTCACACATATACGGATACACCAAGTATCCGACCGGAGTAAAACGCAGACTAAATATATTGTGACATAGTCACTTGTCTGATTTTACAGTTTTACAATCAAAATATAATTAGATAGGTATACACAATACACACATACAGATTGCAGATATTTGATAGATAAAGTTCGTTACAGTTTATGTCGTTTGTGATAGAATACGTTATCGATAGACGATAGTGAATTAGGTTTTTTAAAAATACTGTTTTTAAGTTTTATTGCGATCATGGCTTTGATTGTATCGTTGTCTGTGGGTATTTTTCGATCATTAAATCGTTTACGATATTATTGGGATAATACGAAGAAGTGACACTCATGATGTCAGGTGAAGCCTCTTAGACGTCTATAAAAATTGAACTTTTCTCTATATTAAGTACATTATAATTATTATATATATATTATATTTTGTCAAAATGAAATTTTATAATTTTAATCTTTTTGATTGTGATACTGTCGATTTTTATGAACCAGAACTCTTAAATTTTAATTTTACAAACCGGAACGCCGTTCCGATGCGTGCCGGTCCATTTCGAGCACTGGATATTATTTTATTTTATTTAAAAAAATTATATTATTGATATTATTGTTGTATACCTAATAATCGTATAAAAATTGTAAATTACTACAAGTAGTTTTATGAACAAAAAATTCTTAAATAATAAAAAACATTAATTAAAACTACATAAAATATAAATTAATGTTGCAAACGAGTTTAATAGTATATTTACAACTTTATCTGCCGGATCTTGGGAGGCCATATGTGATTCTTCACTATGGTAAAGACAGGGTACCAAATTACAAGCCGGATACACAAAACATGATACTACCTCTTGTAAATATCCTAAATTAAAACCTGAAGAATAAATAAATAGTATACATCATGGCATGATAATCCTTCAAGTTTACATGACATTATAATATTTTTTATAATTTCTGTATACCATAAAATCTTTACTATAAACAAAACAAATTTTTATTCGTAATACTCATACATATATGTATGACTTAATTATACTTATAATAAAAACAATTAAATGCGATAAATTAAAATAAACAGATTTAAAAATGGATTACACGATATTCCTCTGTTCAAGAAATAACAAAACATACGATCAAATAGTTAGGTCGTTTATCTCTTGGAAGCACCATACTCGGTTTCTTGAGACAGTCAGGGGAATGCCACTAAATTAGGGCACGCTTAAGGTTTATAAGACTCCACTTGCGTACTTTCTCACCAACCTTTTGCTCTGAACTTTCAAATGGCAAATTACTACTGTGCCGGTTCTTTTTAATAAGGATATACTGAGTGTGTCTTAAGTAACTTTCGATGTGTTCATCTTGATAAAATCCTTTTGACATAGTGAAACTTTTCAAACATCACAATGAGTTACAATACGTGAGGGAAAAAAAGTCGACGTAATATTGTATTATTTAATTTTTTACTATTAAAGTTCAAACTTTAATGAAAACGTAATCTCTATATTCTTGCCCAGAATGTCCAAAATCAACAAAAATCGAATTGCATAAAAAAAAACATAAGGGTATGGCCTGCTGACAATGTCGTTTAATGTTTCAAGAAAATTAGTTACTACTCGGCATAAAGTCCACATCTTCAAAGATACTATGTGAAAAAATTTGAGAATTTGCTATTTCTTCATCAGAATAATGTATATAAAAAACAATTTTTTAAAATGAATTGAACATTTTGAATTTATTTTTTAGTGCTACTTTTTTATTTTCAGGCCAAACGTTTTTTAACGATTCTATCTATAACATCTTATATAAATGAGAATGTTAGGTTTTTTATACTTGAGATACATTTTTTTTTTTAAGTATTTTTTATAAAAGTATTGTTATTATAATACACCATGCCGAATATTTCCTATTCCGATATTGCAAGTTGTTTATTGCCTTTTTTTTTTGTCATGGATTAAGTTTCACAAATATAATTCACCTCACACTTCTTACATTCATATTTAAACCTTCATATATATCCTCTAACAAAACAAATGCAATTTAGGACTCCTTTTCTCATTTACGTCTACATCAGAATCTCTCTCAGCAATCTGTCATAAAACATTTCTAAATTTACAAAATGTAAATTTCTCTCTGTAATTTCCTACATTTTGACTCACACAAAACATCGGATCCAAAGTCGATTTTCTTGACACAAAACCAAAATTATTCTTATTTTAGATTCTGAGAGCAGCGAAGAATTCTATGGTTTTACAAAGGTTTTTAATTTTTTTTATCTGTGCGCAACTTTTCCACCAGATGAGTTGCTCGGATTTTTAAGAGTAGCACCTTTCCTGAAAGGAAATAGGTGTACTTTAGAGAGATCATTTTTCGATTTTTTCGGGACATTTTTCATTCAATTTGAAAAACCAAAAAAAAATATGGGAAAATATAAGAAATGTAAGTATTAGTTAAAATATATTACAACCTTCTTCTGGATTAATCCCTTTTTATTTTTCATTATTCACACAGATGACCATACTTTCTCCTCGTATTATAATAATTCTTATTAATTAATTTCTTCCATTAAGTTACAACAAATGATAAATTATCACTTTCGAAAATAAACTTAACCTGGATCTGGTGACGTTCTGAGCATTAAACCGTATAATGTATTTGGTTTTTTAGTTTGTAGACTTTTAAATAAATCGTAAATGCGTCTTTGCATGTTGTCATCGTATCCTGAGCTATCGCCTCCGTAGGGGTCATACGGCTAAATTGTTAATGTTCATAATTAATAAAAATTATAGGTAACTAAGTCACAATGTGTAATTATTATTATTTTTACCAAATACATGTTTCCGAAAATAAATACATCTGCACGTTTATCGTCTATAATTTTACATATGTCATCTACAAAATTATCGAAATTTTTATTGTTCAAATGTTCAGCGTAATAACGATAAATTCTATCTTTATAAATATAAACTCTCGTTCGATTAGTCGTTAGTGCATCAATATCTTTCTGATCGGCTGAAAAAGACTCATAATTTAATAGTGGATAATGAGATAAAAATGTAATTTCGCTATTTATTATTAGGACACACGTCGTTCATGAATTATTGCCGTTTTCCCTTAGACGTACGGTTATTATTAACGGTAAGGTTGCAAAATATAATTCAAAGTCAGAATGTATCCATCTCATCGAGGATACTTCCAATTTCGGCGTTACCAAGTTAATTTAAAATTAGGTTTAATAATATATTAAAATTTTATATAATATGTTACATCATTTTAATTATTTTTGAATACATACTGTCTCCAGTACTAAACCATGCAATTGCTGTACAAGAAGTATTTTGTGGTAAGGAATCGATTGTATCTTTCGAAGATAGACAACACATTATCTTAATATCAGATATTGATACCTTACCTAAAACTTTCATGAAATTTGTATGAGTATTATTTTTAGATTAACAAATTAGAATACATTAGAAAAATAGAAAAGAAGAATATCAATTAAATACATACCCAAGTTGTCAATGAAAAATGTCAAAATTATAAATAAATTGATGTGACATTTTCTATTATCAATAAGTAAATTCATTATTATATCTGATCCTGTATTTGTGAATATTGCTAACAAAGTGTTCAGTAATTTTATTGAAATATATTATCCTACTGAAAATGAATATTAATCACATCGGAATTTATTATAAAGTTTTAAATAAATTAAAATATGTATATTTGATGTTTTAACCAATCTATATATTTAATATTTACATAGTGCTTTTGAAAAAAAAAAAAAAAAATTAACAGTTAATAACTATAATTTATTACTACAAATATCATATATCCACAGACACCAACATTTTCTTTTTTTATTAGTATGCCATACATGTATACAACATAATTTATTTAAATAGATTATATGTTATTGATTTATTTAGTCATATAACATACGGTGCTTCGTTCATACAGCATTTTACCAGAAATAAACGTGAGTATGACATCTAAAACTAGAACTGAATTATTTAATCATTTTTTTGTACTCTGTATCTCTCAGACATATTAACTGATCTAATAAGTGATCATAAGCAACGGCATGTTGTGCTGTGTTCGAACCATTAGATGACAATGTTTTATATTGTTGGGGGATTTATCGATTTTGCCGTTTTAGTATTGATTTTTCGATTATTAATTTAAATTAAATATAATAAACAAGTTCAAAACCTTGAAGTCTTGAATACTGTATTTTGCCGATTAAATTAAAGAGGACACTGATTTTGATTCTCTATGCAAGAATTTTTTTTAAATTTCACCCCTAAAATAGGTTAAATTGGGGTGATATTTAAAATGCTTGCGAAAAGCAATAAAGTGTACAGAAATGCGTATTGTGCAAACACAATAAAATGTATAGACGTTGTAACTCGACCACTGGTCAAACGAAAGCGTATGAATGACGAGCCTGTTGGCTTCGTTATAAAACGTTTTTACGTTTTACTTCGTAATTACTAATTATACATAATAATATTAAACAAAAAGAGTGTTACACTAATTCTTTTGAACTTTTGAACAACGTCTAGCAAACATGTTTGAATATTTTGATACGTGTTTCGGCAACTTTGAGCTTTTGTATTATGCTACGTGAATTTGGCACCACAAATCGCATATTTCGATTATTTCGGAAAATAAAGTCTAACCAATTCTAACAACTTCCAAGAATGTCTAAAAAGTCTAAAATAAGCTCGGTATAGATATCTAGTTGAAGTGTTTTATACATGTGGTGCCAACTTCACATACGTCTCTACATTCCTTTTATTTTCCCTTTTTTTTTGGTTTTAAAATTTGATGAGAAAACTCATAAGAAAAACGAAAAATTACCTCTTTTAAGTTTCTCCCCCACCAACATCAATTTTCTTTCAGAAAAGGTGCTACACTTAGAAATCCGGGCAATTATTTTAGTAAAAGATTTATTAACAGGAAAAAAAAATTATAAAACCAGCTTCTTCGCTCCACTTAGAATTTAAAAGAGTTGATTCTTGAAAAAGATGTGGTTGTACTTACAGACGTGAAGGTAACATAAATTGTTATTTAATTTAATTTGTACCTGTTGCCAACAACAAACCATTGCTAAGAGTGGCGTAAGCAGGTAGGGAGGCTAAGCGGCCGAAGCCCCCATTGCTCGTTTTTATATACATAAATACATTTATGTTACTTTATGCAAGAAGCGCCAGTATAATTTTTTTTAAAAAATCAGTTAGAAATAAAAAAAAGAAATGTCTAATTATTATTTTTCTAAATAAAATTAATTTATGTTTTTGTAAAAATTGAAAATTATACAAGCATTTCTATTTAATAAATTGCACAGAGCCTTATGAGGAAATCAAATTTGAAATCACATTTTTCAACAGTCACAAAATGTTGCATTAGCCCTTCTTGCACTAATCCTCATGTATATAAATTAAATATACATATTTTTATATTTTTCAAGTTTCAACTGTAATAATATTTAGTAGATAAGGACTTTTTTTTTCATAAAATACACTATTTTCGTAAGTAAATAATTTATTTTACCCCCGCTATCTATAATAACCTTACTATATTATCACAAAATAAGATATAATTAGGTTTATAAGATTATTTTTTTTTTCTAACTGAGGAAACTCGTTTTAAACAAAGCTTTTGTTATTATTTACAACTTTGGTGGTTTGTGTTATTGTGCATACGCGAGCTGTCACATGCACATCCAATCTTAGATAATATTTATGATTGCTATATTTCACTTATGGAACTGGAGTGACCAATAATTAACGAATCGTTAAGTTAGCCCTCAGATATTGCAGATAATAATAATATTACGTTTGATTACTAAAAAACAATTATGTAGATAATTTTGTTTGCATTTATTTCTTTTCAGAGTCAATGTAATAATATTTTGTACACATTTAGATTTTACGTTGTCGTTTCCGAATAAAACGTACCTCATGTTTTGCATACTATAAAAAGTATTTAATGATTTATGATTGTATAAAAAATAAAAAAAATTAACATTTAGTTATGCAACTCACAATTTACTCAATTCTAATTTTTGCATTTTTATAAAAATAATAATAATATAGTTTTTAGTTAATAAAAAAATGTATATTAATTTATACAAAAATAGGTTAAAAGTAACATTTAAAAGTTAAAATATTAAGGCCGAATTGTACACACATGTTTTGTAAGGACATACAGAACCATTAGCGCACTTACAGATCTGTAAACCACATTAGGTGTTGCTCGAACCAGCTTATTTACGAAGTAAATTACCAGTTATTTACGAACCAGTGAACTAACTATTTACAGACCTTAAATGACTATAATTGTTATAATTATTGGTAGTATAACTTGTACGCGATGGATGTTTTGTCACGTATTGTTCCGTTCTTATCACAAATTCAAATAATATTGGTTAGTGTTACACAATATAATGGTACAAGATGATTTTTGTAACTTAAGTTACGTGTACCTAATTGTTACAAGTTACATAACAAACTTTAACTCGTTATATTAAAAAGTTACTTGAGAATTGTTTAACTGATTTCAAGTTACAAGTTACAAAAGTAATCAATTTACGTAACTCTGATACATGTAACTGATTACTGATAATTTCTACAAATAATAGCATCAATTTTATACATGTTTCCAACCTGTCTAAATCCTTATTTATAAACGGGTACACTCGTTAACCATGATAACTTTTTTAATATTTCAAATTTAATTTTTTAATTTAAATATTGAATTTAAAAATATTAAAATTGAGGTTCCTAGAACACAAGAAATATAGTGACATTTTATTGATTTCGAGATAATCTAGTTTAAATTTATTTGTATTTAATATAATTATTAAAATATTTAATCATATCATCACAATTCTTGTATTTAAGTGATAGAAAAACGGACATACTTTGCACGTGGGTGGTCAATGTTGTATAGGTGAGAAGTTGGGAAGGTAGGATATGGAGAGAAATATAATTTATATCTGAAAGCAACGACAAACCATAGCTAACAAAAAACTATTCTGAGCGGAGTTGATAGTGTTGTTTTATCAAACATATATATATATATATGCCATATTAAAATAAAATAATTAAATAGGCATTATATATTTCATTTAATAATATTTTTTTAATATTGTACCTATTTTCCCGTTTTTCTACGGTTTTCCCATGTTTTTTCCCCGGATTATCTCATTGATTAGGAAACATCCTGTTAAAATCGAAAAATAACCTCCCTAGAGTACTTTCCCAGTCCAATTTCCTTTACGTTGGTCAAATTCAAAGTCTTGGAAAGGTTAGGTTGACAACTCTCATTAAATGAACGATTTTTTTATATTTTTAATAATAATCTTCGTCTTCCTCCCAATGGTCAAGGTTTATATTTAAAAATTGTGAAATATTCAATATATCAAAAAATTTGCAAGTGATATTGGACCTGGTTTTTATCATTCATAAAGCTTGATAAAGTCCACCAGAGGTTTTAAATATAATCTTTTTTTATGAACTCCCCCCAAAAAAATAATATTTCTGGTTAGTTTTTTTTTTTTTTAAATCATCTCTTGGTTGAAACTCCTCAAGTTGCTTTAAAGATAACACGATCATGTCAGTAGAAATAATGTGTTGAAATATATATTATCACGGTCTTAGATTAATTTTTTTTTATTCGACAATCAATCATTGATTAATTATGGAAGAATTTTTGAAACTTTTACTCCTAAAATAAGTAAAATAGGGGGTGAAATTCAAAATGTTTGCGGATGGAAGACACTAAATTGGACAAAAATGTACTATGTGTATTGTGTACAGTGTACATACTATAAACTGTACAGACATATAAAAATACAGATATTATTGTATCTGTATATACATTATACATTGGTTCGACGTCAAAATATTTCTGATGAAAATATTTCGTATGCACAAAATGTCTCCTGAAAAAAACTTGTAGAACTTATATGAATATTTTCTAAAAAGAAATTTAACTGGAAAGGTACTTTAAATAGATTATTTTTTGATTTTTTAAGAATTTTCTCAATAAATGGAAAAACTAGGATAAAATATAGGAAAAGCCTGAAAAAAGCAGGAACAATGGAAAAATAATTACAATACTAAAAAAAATTATTAATGAAAATATATAATGCCTATTTATTTATTTTACCATAGGTAATGTGACGTATAATATATTGTTGACAAAGCAACACTATCTACCGCTCAAAATCGTTTTTTCGTTAGCAATGATTAATAATTGCGTAATTAAAAACAGGTACACATTCAATTTCTACTTTAGTTACTCCACTACTTTAGTTAATTTTTAAATTTTTTTCAAGAACAAAAATTAATTCAAATATAATTATTTGTAGTCCTCTTCCCTGTGAAAACAAAAAAAAAAAACTGAATATGGTTATTTTTATTATTTCTTTAGATATTCAAGGGGTATATCTTCGAAGAATAGCCTGTAGAAGGAAATTAAGAAATTTGTTTCATTAATAATTCCTGTTAGTGATCTCCAGATTCCCTAATGTATTTTTTTTGTATGGGAACATGGTACTTTTTATTACCATATTTCTTTAAGTTACTAAATTAATTAGTTTTAGCAGATTATCATTACTTATGTCATTTAAATTGTGGTTCCCTATTATAGGTTTGAAAGTAATTCCTGTCAAATTTTTGAATTTTAATCACCTATTAAAATCTCGATTGTTTTAGATTCTGTGTGTAGCGAATAATGTATTGATTTTATTAAGATGCTAATTTTTTTCTTCTTCATGCTAGGTACAAAAATTCCACCTTAATATTGCTCAGATATTTACGTGTGACATTAATTCTGATGGTACTTTTTTAAAGTCATTTTTTGATTTTTCAAACGGTTTTTATAATATTTGGGAAAAATCAGGATAAAACGTAAGAAAAACGTGAAATGTACGAAAATAATGTTTTTATTAGGGTTTTTTCAATTTTGTTATTTGTTATGATTCAGTTAAAAATATTCGTGGAGACTCTATGAACTTAAAATTGGGACATATAATTTATTTTTGCATTTTCTAGATGTGGTAAAATTTTCAAAAAATTTAAGCCATTTTTGAGTTATTTATAGACATTTAAATTTTGTGAGTTTTGTACATAATTTCTATTCGGTAGGTACTTTGTAGTAAAATTGTTAGACTTAACAATAATGCTTCAACATTTAACAAGGGTTTCATTAGGCGTCTTAATTTGTGGTAAAAAAAAAATTTGAATTTAATGTAGTATTTTTTTTTTTATTAAGGCATTTTAATATCAAACTTAAAAATTGACATAAATTGTCTTAAAAAGAACGATAGTGAAGTCAGAATTAAGCGTTGTTTTATCTTTATTATTCTAGGACGTCTTTCTTGGTACTGTGTCTAGCGAAGTTTCAAAATCTTTATAAAAAAAAGGTCCTTCTTTTCTTGTTGTATATATCCCACAGGTGTATCAAAATTAAGAAAACTAATATTAAACCACCGTGTTGACTATGTTAGTATGATATCCTAAGATAAAATCCTTTATATTTGGTAAAAAGGTACAATGTACATAAAAATTTCTACCAAATTGATATTGATCATTAGTTTTCCATTTTCACTTTATCTAATTTATTGTAAAACCTTCATTTTTAGTCTATATCTCTTAATTTCATATACTTTACCATGTTCCTATCTTCTTTTCATTAATGCCACCTATTCTAGGAAAATTCATTGGCTCCTAAATATTATATTTTTTACGAGGCAGGATTGTAAACTCTGCTCTCAACCTCCAACCTGAAGGGCCAGACTACCCCAATCAATAAGATAAGGATAAGGCTACTGCAATGCACATAAAGTGTATTGGTTGATGGAGAAGTCTTTTTTCTGACAATTTGTCAGGAATTGTTTTAGCAATAAATTGTTACTAACGAAAAATGGCACTGAAAAAAGTTCAGTTGAAAGTGTATAAACACAATGGGTATATTATGCATTTTATTTTCAATTAAAAAAAAATATTATTAGTTTTAAGTAAACAAAACAAGACTATACGACAAATCAAATCACCTTTATTTAATTTTTTGTTTGGTAATTTATAACAAACTTTATATACTCGCATTAAACATTAATTTTAATTTCGAAATCTTTTATATTAAAAACAAAAATAGTGATTATAAATTAAGGTAATATTATAATAAGTTATAAACACAGAAATACAATATAATAATAACTAATATGGATTTATTTTGCTTGGAATAAAATGTACTGCGTATAGGTACATCGCTAAAATACAATCAAACGTACATTTATTTAGACAAATAGACACTAGAAAAAAAATATAAATAATTATATAAATCGATTGACTTTGCATTATTATTTTAATTTAAGTTTTTAATATAAGATTTATTTTATGTTTGGTAAAAACGAAAATTGTAATAATAAAAGACCGTTTTTAGAAAGAAAATATAAACCGACAGTACAACCGTTTTCTGTACCTATAGTTGTTCGTATGCAAATACATTTTTTTGTTTTTTACAATGGTGCCTATAATGATTAATTTATTGCAATATTTTTAATATAATAGATATTTTACACGGAGTTGGTATATTATTTTTATTATTATTATATTTTTTTTTATAATATCACGTTTATAAGAATTTTGGAGATGAATTTAGGGAGAAAAAGATGAATTGATTATAATTCATAATATGAAATTGTATATTTTTTAATATTGAACAATATAGTTAACTAATACAACAAATAAATTATAGGAAATACAAATTTGTACATGTATATTAATTTTGAATAATTGCCACTTTAAAAATGTAAAATATTATTTTAAAAATATTCTCGGATTGATTAATATAATATTGTAGAAATATTGAATAGTATAAAAATCCATCGTTTAAGTAATACAAGTGTGTATTTCAGTGATTTATTTGAGATTATACTAAATGCATCGTAGAAGATGACTGATAAATATATACCATTGTTTTATATTTTGTACTTCTTGACGTTGTTAAATTTCTAACGGGAGTCGTTAAAATGAATATTAATAATTACAATATTATCGATAGCAAATATATTTATTTGATAATAAATACGTATTATTATATTACCATAGTAAAAATAAACGTGGATTGGTAACCATTTTTTTGGAGGCAGAGACGAAGTCTATTTATGTGCATGGAAAATCAGGAAAATATTTAAATCTGTCTTTTTTATTTAAAAATTAAAAAAAAAAATATAGCCGACATTATATTTAATTTTGGCCGAAACAAATAATTTTAAAAACAACTATGCGTGTGTGTCGTCCATTATTTCTATATATTATTATATGTATTAAACTCGAACACTTGATCTCAGAAATATATGAAAGACAAAAGAATTTTATATCATAATAATTTTATAATTTTGTAATAATCATACACAATTTAATTAAGGTCACAGATAATGAAGTATAAAACAATTAACGGATAGCAGATGCTATGAGTACAATATTTTTGAATTGGGAGCCTGACAACTATACCAAAAGGACAAATTTGATCGACTAACCCATGCAATATTTGTTTATAATATGTATGATATAAATATCATCATGATGTTATATTATGTGAAAAAAATTTGAAAATGTTTTCACTAGCTCTACCTTTGTTTTTGTGTCATGATAAAGTATTTCATGAAAAAGTCGGTCCATGCCGTATCTGGGGGTCTGTTCGAACCCCAACTCCCTGAAATTATTCTCAGATGCTGTCCTGCAGTCGGCTATCTCGTTGTTTTTTCATATATACGGCTTAGATATCTAAATGATTAAATACGTGTTATTGTGAATTTATGTACCTACCTATACAAATTGATTATTAATAATAATCAAATCAAATGTTGCGAAAGAAATGCATTTTTTTTCCGTACGTAATTATTATCCGTTCATTTATTATTATAGATAGGCATGGAAGTACTAATGTTTTTGTTATTATTTATGAAGAAGACAAACAGCGTAAATATTAATGTTACACAAATCGAAGTACGTTAAAATAACAACATGATGATGATTGTAGTATGGTCCCGAGATTGTCCGTTTGCCCCTTAAATCCAATAGTTAATAATATTATCAAGTATGTTATTCAACATATCGCTCTACCGAAGAGCTGTAGGCGTAGTATTAATCGTATTCAGTTATTATATAATATAATACAAATATAATAGCATAGGTACAAGAATAATTTACTATACCTATTAAGTGTTTTACAAGTACATAATATTTTGTATAGTTTTATTGATAACAATACTAATTATTTTTATTAAATCGCGGTCGTCCGTTTAGCCAAACAAATTTAGCCGTCCTTTTATTTTACATAACATTAAAACAGGCATCCAAACGGTTTTTAAAACAAAACCGTGTAAGTGACATACATCATGGACATATTTTCACTAGTTTTTTATTAGCCGTACAAATAATAACTATTACATTATTAAGACTTCACGGTCAATATCAAACCTGAGAGAACGTGATACCAACCGAATTTGTAAGAACGCGTAATATAGGCGATTATCATAACTTGTAAGGGGAGGGGGAGAACGAAAATTGGTCAACTTAAAAGTATCCAAATTCACTGTCAAATTGTTTTACAAGTGGTTCCGTTTCCTTATGACAATTATTATTTATCGCGTAATCGTGATGACATAAACTAAAACGTTTTTGAAAAACCGATATTTACGGAGAAAAATTGTACACTATATCCGTAAAATTATTTCAAAGAGTAAACGTATCAAAATTTCAGAAACCATATGGAAGTCCTTTATCCGTGTTATAGCGTTTAAAACAATTTCACAAACATGTTTAATAATAGTTAACGAAAACACCCGAATGTTCGAAAGCAGATAACATTATTGTCGAAATAATAAGTACAGATAAAGTTCTTCTTTATGTGGTGTGAATATTTAGTAATTCTAATAATATAAATATGGTGCAAGAAAAGTTGTCCAAGTTTTTGAAATCGAATTACGGATGTTAGAACAGTCTCATAATACTCGTATATTTATTATAATTTACACTTTAAACGCGTGTATTTTAATTTCTACCTCACTTTTCTAACGGGTTATGTTAGGTAAGTCTTTAAAAGAATATCGCGTATAATTTATATTGCATTTTTAAAATTGTATTTCTAATACTGAATTGTATACGTAACACCAAAATTATAATCATTATTATTATTAATCTTAATTTAATTGTATCAATAAAGTAAAAATAAATCAAAATTTAACAATAGATACTATAGTGTACAAAACACTATCGATGAAAATAATTTAATCGATGAGTTATGTTATTACTAAACTATTGCATCATACAGAAAATCAAACCACGAGTATTTTAATATTATTTGAATTCCATAACAATCTATACCAATCACACTCCTACCGACTCGAATTAAACAAAGTCTCGCAATAAAAAAATTAAATTTATAATAACCGTGTATTAAGTATTACAAAGAAAAAAACCTTATAGTAAAACCACAATACGTGTGTATGTATTTTATTTTAAATACATTCATGATCTATGTATTTTAAAAGTAATTTCAAATAAATTAATTCTTTAATTAGTTTTTCAGTTATAATAACTGTTATAATCTTTGGTAATATGAAGCAAAACAGTCATTCCCAACTTAATGGGAAATATTTGTTATGTATTTTCAATTACATTTTAAATAAATTTATTTATTTATTATTTTTTTTTGTATTTACTCTAATATTTCAATCAATAGATTATTTTTTTCTTTTTGTCATGTAGGTTTATTTAAACTTTTAATTTTCCAACCATTGACGTTCCTTAATTTTGAATTTCACAATTCATATTTTATTTATTATATGCACATCATAAAGCCATTAATTGGAATTCGTTAAAATGATTTTCATAAATATAATTTGATCTATTAGAACGGAAATATTCGGCAATTGTTTGGCAATAATTTAACCGTAACGGTTTTTTTTTTTTTTATAACTACTAAAATATGTTTTTCTTTTAAAATAAAACATTTATAAATAAATAAAAGTATAACATTTTAAGTTTATGAAAAATATTTTTATCATTTCTTTTTCTGTACAAGTAAAATTAGTAAATAAAATAAGTAATATTTTATGATCATCATGTAGTTTATCGTTTTTGATAATAGTTATGGTACTATTTAATAAAAAATAACGTCTCGAAATTTAAATCAAATTCCGTACGTTTAAGCTATACCATAAAGAATATTATTTAAATACATATTTCTTCATTATTTCATGTTCTTATAAACACGGACTAAGTTTTACATTTTGCATTATAACATTGCACGTTTTATCATATTACGGAGGTAACAAATTAATTTGTTTAAAACAACTTAGTCGATTTTTTATTGGTTTATTATTCTAGTATACTATACAAAATTAAAAAAAAAAACAATAATAATAAAACCTATGTAAATATGTAATTGTAGGTAAGTAGCTAATATTATCAGATTTATTTAATTAATTTCGCATACACTTTATTAAAATTTTAAATCGATGTATTTATAAGTAGAGAGTGGTTAAATAATTATCCATATTATGATTATTATTTGTATGTTATGTGTGTAATAATTATAGGTAATATTATATAAAACAGCTAAATAGCCGACTGTATGAAACGAGTTTTATGTATAATAAGTGGTATAAAGTTGGCAGCCACACACCAAAAGGGGACGAAAATTCCGTTGATTAATCCATGAAAATGTTGTTTGTGTAAAACTATACAATGATTATGTTTCTAGAATGTTTAATGAATATTTCAAATGTTTTACATATATAATCAAGTATAATATTATTCGGTTTCTTTATATTTGATCGCATAATTTGTGGCATAAATAAATATTTCATGGGTCAATCAATTAAATTTGCCTTCTCGGCAAACGATAGCTGCCGCGTTTTAAATCGAACTGTCTATTTGAGAGTAGGTATTTTAATCTATTTGTTATATATTTATGTGGTTCAATACGAGTATACAAATAAAACGTGTTGATATTTATTGCAAGTTCATTCGATAATAATCACGTGATGCCTGTTAGGGTTAGGCGTAAATGCTTGAGTAAACGGCGACCATATAGGTATGTACATTATGTCCTTAAAAATAAGTCCTTAACATTAAACTATGTGTATAAATCATATATATATATGCTATAATATTATGCGAATTCAGGTAACAAATATCCGAAGTATATCGATAGTTGTCCTGTCGCACGTTATTTCCCCGGATATTTTGAACTAAACGTTTATTTTTCCACGGACATTTATATCGACCGTTTACCCTATGTACAGACTCGTCTGTAACGACGAATTTTATACGTTTTCGACGCGGCCCATGCTGGAACCGGGTTGCGACCGGGACGTGACCGTGGTGAGCGTGGTCAGGTAGCTGGTGCTGAACCGCCGGTCGCTCTTGACCACCATCGACAGTGCTGTGGTCTCGGCCTCGTGCAGGTGATGCCGTCTGCACGGCACTTCGGACCCGAGCCCCGTCCGCCGGTCGTTCGGGCCGCGGTAGTCCGTGGCCACGGACGGGTACCGTTTGCGCCTGGGCGGTGGTTTCTGGTCACCGCAGTACCACATCTGCCGGCATATGCCTGAGATATCCCGCCGGAAGTTGGTATTGAGCCAACCGTACAGCAGCGGATTGGTGCACGTTGTCGACATGGCGATCATGTGGACGAACGCGAACACCTTGTACAGCATGTCGGTCGACTTGATCAGGTGTGGCTGGAACTCGACGAGCAACGTGAACACGGTTAACGGCAACCAGCTGAGCGCGAACACCACGGCGATCGACGACAGTATCCACATCGTCCGCTTGTTCCTGCTCAATTCTCTCCGCACTGCAAACGAATACAATCAGAATATAGTGAGCATTTTAGGTTATACACAGTATATACTATGCGCGTTATGAAGTCATTGCTGTATGCGACATACAACTTAAAGCGCAGGAAAAACGGGGAAAAAACGCGACTTATCATAATATTATGCATAAATAATAACACGTTCAACGTTGGACAAATTTACAATTAACATATCCTACCCGGAAAATAGCGATTTCCCCCCCCCTCCCCTTTAACTTTTTCTATTGTAAATAACTTATTTGTCATAATTTCGTCGACTCGACTAGTGCTGACGTTCGGTCAGTTTTTGACGGTTTTTGAAAACCGGTTAACCGAGTTTAATCTTAACTGGTTTCGGCTTTGACAGAATTTTACCGGCTTGACCCAACAGCACTAGACTCGACGCCTGTTTCACGCACGTTCACACGAATTTATGAATAAAGTGAAGACCTCGCTATATGACGTAGGCTGAACGCTCGCCATTGCACGCAGTGCGAATTCGGGTTTTTCGCGAAACGTATTGGGAAAAAAATTATACTATCGACCTACGCAATTGTATGTATTATTAATATGTGAATGCCAACACCAGCGTAACCAGTGTAAAAGCTGCTACGAAATTCGAAACGAAAACACCACCAACGATTGGTCCGTGTCTTCCATTTGAAGCACATACATTGAGGCAATATGGAATGTTTAGAAATCAATATTTTTGTTATGAACAATTCTGCATACGTCACGACACGGTACTGTCGCACGGCATTCAGATATATTTAAACGCCCGTCGCGGTGTTTTCGTGGTTTTGTTTTCTCGCCGCACTCGATTTTGGACGCACTACATAGGTATACAGGGGATTTTATTTTACGATTTTTGTTTTATTAAATTGTATTTATGACATAACGCCTACTACTAGCTTATAAAACAAATGTTATCTGTACCAAATGACGTAAGGTCTGAATTTAAAATTATATGCGCGGTGCCTTCAACGGTTTTTTTTTTTTTTAATACGAATTAAATTGTTTAGATTTATTAAATAATAAACGAAACAGAAAATGTATTAAATAGTGAACCATTATAGAATATTGACGAACAATTACAAGTTTTATAAAATCATAATCTCTCTCTAGGTTACAATCATAAAATTGGTTTGCAGCTAATTTCGATTCTGTCCACTTTCCTTTTCATTCGCACATATGAATTACATCCTTAATACCTTATTGATTGTATAATCATAATAATATAATTATATTCAACATACGTTATGACCTAATACAAAGTGGTACTCGAAAAATCAAATTAAGCGTTTTTTATTTTATATATACTTATATACAGAGTGATTATAATTTTATATTATAGAAATTTTCTTCTACAAAAATACAAAATATGACAGAAATATGTATAGCAAAAAAGTTGTTTAATTTATAAACATTAAAAATAATTTGTAATATATTTTTTTCACAGTTTTTTTTAAGGGGGGGGAGTGTAAGCACTCTTAATTATACATTTTCGAATATTCGTTAATGTGTTCGCTTAACATATTTACCGTGCTTGTTAAGGGGTAGGTATAAAAAATAAAACTGTATTTGTCGATATTAGTCAATCAATTTCAATTTAAGAAGATTAATATAGAGTTATTTAACATAACATATAATATTCTAGAACTTCAAAAAGCTATAATTTCGAAACTTAGTCAGTCCGTTTAATTCTGACTTCCCCATCGTTCTTAAATAGGCAATATACATATTCATGTTCAAAAAAAAAAAATAAAAAAAATTGAAAAATTAGATTTGTTCCACATAATTTTTTCATCAAAATTTGATATTAAAATTTTCTTAAAAAAAAAGAAAAACTACATTAAAATCAACTTTTTTTTTTACCAAAAAGTAAGACTCTTAGTGAACCTCCTGTTAAATTTTGAAGCATTTCTGTTCAAGTCTAAAAATTGTATCACAGGGTACCGAATAACCGAATAAATATTACGTATAGAACTTGCAAAATTAAAATTCCTATAATTAGCTCAGAAATGGCTTAAATTTTTTGAAAATTTTATCAAGTCTTTAAAAAGCAAATATAATTTTTTGTTCTAAATTTCAAGTTTCTACGAATATTTTTTTAACTGAATTACATCAAACATCAAAATTGAAAAATAATAAAAGCTTTTTTTTCATAAATTTCCCATTTTTCTTACGTTTTATCCTTGTTTTTCTCAGATATTATGAAAACCGCTTGGAAAATAAAAAAATGACCTCACAAAAGTACCATCTGGACAACATTCCCTTTCAGAAATGGTGGCACGCGTGTATATCCGAGAAAGATTTCTGGTAGTATTTTTGTAAACAGGATAAAAAAAAAAATTAATTAATAAACATCTTAATAAAACCAATATATTCTTCGATACACTAACAATCTGAAAAGGAAGTTATGTTTAATTTATGATAGGACCAATATGTAATTATGGTATAGGCCCCAACAAATTTGAAATTGCCCCTCTTTCTTAATGTTTTATGAAAACCGTCAAAGGCCGTGC